AGAGCCTATGGACACAAATACAATATTCTAAAGCAATTAAAGCATGTAAGAGCTCTGATCAGACCCGGAAAAAGACTTCCAAGCTGAATTTCCTTCTGTTGCTTCAGGGAAAGAAAATATTTGTCAAAAATAAAAGATACTTATTCTTGCTTGGAGAAATGGGGACAGAGTAGATAATGTAGCATCCTGTGAGGATCAAGATTTGATGATGGCATATAAAGACATTTAGATTCTCAAAACGCCTTTTTATTTTTTGGTACACTTGGTAGCTAACATTAAGGAAATAGCATGACCTGAAAATGCCTCTCATGTATTGATTACAGGCTCCAGTCTGTAATCTCAGCACTTTGGGGGACCGAAGTCAGCAGAGCACTTGAGCTCATGAGTTTGGGACCAACCTGGAAACATGGCAAAACCTCATCTCTACGAAAAATACAAAGAAATTAGCCAGTCCTGGTGGCGTGTGCCTAGAGTCCTTGGTACTCAGGAGGCTGAGGTGGGGGATTGCTTGAGCCTGGGAGGTGCAGGTTGCAGGGACTGGGATGATACCACTTCACTCCAGTCTGGGCAAGGAAGCCATACCTTGTCCAAACAAACAAACAGACCTCTCATGGTAATCTCACAAGAAGCACTTGACCATTATCCTGTCTTCCCTTCAGCATGTCACTGAAGGGAAAAACCACCGTTAATGGCAAAGCCACTGTTTTGAATTTTAATTTGACTGGAAAATTCTACCAGATTTTTTAACGAAAAGGAAAGAAAATAATGTATACTGCAGACCTACAAATTGTTCCATATTTTTTTTTCTTTTAGCTAAGTATGGGGTTTAGAGTTCTGTTCTTGTAAGCAGAGCATGAGTTATTCTGGTGCTTTCCACAAACTCCCCCCCAAAATGAGTAGTCTCATATTTCTACTGTTGAAGCAGCAGGTTATGAAGAAGGGGAGATCTAGGATTTGGATGGACCACAAGATTAATATAAGCTAATTTTGTTGTTTAATATATTTTAAATTAGAACACAATCCATTAAAGACAAGGATTATGTCATGTTCACCATTGTATTCCCACACCTAACACACTGCTCGACATATGCTGGCACTCAGTAATATTTATTGAACCAGTTTAAAATACAATCCAATCAGAAGCATATTAGTTTGAGTATTATAGTAAGATAATAGACATAATGACGTTTTATTCAGTACTGTTATAACCATATCTGAAGTACAGCCTTGGTTCCAGGTAGCACACACAATTCAAGAACAATATTGACAAACTAGAATCAGCTCAGAACAGGTCATACTTATAGGGAGAGATCTAGAAATGGCACTTCCACCACGAATAGTTGAAGAAATAGAGAAAAGTAGCTTGGAAAAGAGAAGGCTAAAGGTAGATATGAAAACTATCCCCGGGTGTTTAAAGGATGGTCATGTAAAAGAGGAACCTGGGTTATTCTATGTTGCTCTCAGGAGAGAACCAATATTACAAGAAAAGAATTTTCAGCTTTGGTGCTTTGATGTTTCTGTCTTACAGTTAGTTGAATGGGGTGCCTTATGACTTTTATTGTAGAGATTTGGTTATTGTTGGATGGAAACATGATGAGTGAGAGTTTGGATTAACTGTAAACTCATTTTTAATTATTCTGTTGATTTGTGATTTTTATTTCCTTTAGAGACATATTAGAGCAACTGTTAATCTTACTCTATATGCATGTATTTTTGTTTTTTTTAGAATGGCTATACTCCGTTACATATTGCTGCCAAGAAGAATCAAATGCAGATAGCTTCCACACTCCTAAACTATGGAGCAGAGACAAACATTGTGACAAAGCAGGGAGTAACGCCACTCCATTTGGCCTCACAGGAGGGGCACACAGATATGGTTACCTTGCTTCTGGATAAGGGAGCCAATATCCACATGTCAACCAAGGTATTCTGGCCCTGCCTCTTGCTTCAATCACGAAGCAATCATGTTTTGAATGCATGCAGACAGGAACCAATCACAGATAATTTGGGACAAAAGGAGCAATGTGTTAAAAAGAAATGGGGATATCTTGCAGACACCAAGAACAGGAAGGGAATCAAGCTTTATGAGAGACTAGAAAACCATAAGGGAACAAGGGAGAGACTCTCTGTATGGCAACATTTTTGCTTCTTGACTTTTCTATGCAAGTCTCATTGATCTCTACAGCCCTGCTTTCTTTGCTTCTCCGTGTGTGTCTAAAGAGGCTGCCCTATAGCTCCCAATGTTAACATCACTATAATTGCTCCAGTGTCTGCTGCTCCTCATTCCAAATTTCAAATATATATAGAGAAAGAATGGTTCCATCTGGGGTTTAGCTTAAACAGCTACTTCTAAGCTGGCAGACCCATGTCTACCACCCAAGGCATTCTTTGGCCCTGCTGGGCATCAGAGGCCTCTGGATAGGAGGCGGGAAACTCAGTAAAATATATATATACTTTTTGAGTCAACATAAGCCTAGCTTGAGGTGTTTGGTGGTGGTGGTGAAAAAATCTTTTTTGTTTTTTTAATAAGGCACATCAATCATTTTAGCCTTTCTCGAGGGACTGCCTTGTAGGCCTCCACATTAACTATAATAGAATGGCAGTCGAACTATAGAGAAAAATATTCAAATGTAAAAACACATATTTTTACAAGTACATGTTTTCCAATAACTCTATCCAATCATCTACATATAGATCTATAGATCCACCTAACTTTCTGTCTTACACTTATATGTGCTCTGCTATAGCCAGCTGCTGAGAAACACAGAATTGCAACCTGTATTTATTAAGTTAGTTTGTCATTTGATGTCTTGATGCTTTTTGTATTATGTTGTATGGACTTAGTGAAAATTAAGTTTCTTAGCTCTTTCCACAAATGTACAAATACCCTATGTTTTGTACATTTCACTGTTAATTGATACTTTTAAAATACCAGTGATAAGTTGGTCTTAATGACATTCGTAAGTAGGTTATGTAGCATGTATCCTTTAGGAAGCGCTATGAAACAGCAGGTTGCCTTGAATACTTCTGGATCTCAAAAGTGTTCCCGTACCTCCCCTGCCCTTACGTACTTTTCTGGCCTTTATAAAAAGTCCCCACAAACCCTTTTTTAAAGTATGTTGAGAGCAAATCATAGGGTTAGTCTTCCAAAGGATATTTCATTTTTACAAGAACGAACACCATAAAGCCTTATAGTGAAATTCATTGTATCAGATGGACAATCATTACAGTCCAGGGCATGGACTACTAAAGTCATATCATTCAGGTGGTCATTTACCTTGTTGGGGAAAATCTGATCATAAAGCATATAATATTTTATTTAATATTAGTGTGTGAAGGGGCATATGTTTATTAATAACAAATCTTCATTTGAAAATAAGCCAAAGAAATCCATAAACAAATTCAGCAGTATTTTGAGTAGGAGTAAAATTCCAGCTAGTTTATGAAACTGATCTTACAGTGCTTCTGATGGTATTATTTTTAATTTATAAAAATGACAGATATATATTGCAATCACTTCAGTATGCCCTCCTTTAAGGTTTTCTTCTAAATACATTACTTTCTTTGAGAGCATTTTAGCAGTTAACAAATATTTAATGAGTATTTTTGAGTTGCACACTTAGTAATGAAGAAAAACATTCAATTTTGAATCACAAAGTAACAGTGATTTCAGTATTACATTTGAGTGGTGTCCTAAACACATAGTGTATTTATCACTAAAGTAAAACTTTAGTAAGTTTTCTCAGATATATCTGAATAGTAATACAATATACAAAATTTTGCATATAAAACCTATAACCTTGCCTTTTGGATAGAATTATAAGATAATGCAACTGTAAAAATATCTCAGGCCAGGCGCGGTGGTCACGCCTGTAATCCCAGCACTTTGGGAGGCTGAGGCGGGTGGATCATGAGGTCAAGAGATCGAGACCATCCTGGTCAACATGGTGAAACCCCGTGTCTACTAAAAATACAAAAAGTTAGCTGGGCATGGTGGTGCGTGCCTATAATCCCAGCTACTTGGGAGGCTGAGGCAAGAGAACTGCCCGATCCCAGGAGGCAGAGGTTGCGGTGAGCCGAGATCGCACCATTGCACTCCAGCCTGGGTAACAAGAGCGAAACTCCGTCTCAAAAAAAAAAAAAAAAAAAAAAATCTCAGATAAAAACCAAAACTGATAAAAAATTTTCCCATTGCTTTTGAAGAGAAGATATATTCTTTATCTTTTTAAGGCCAACTGAAATCAATAGTTTTATACCCTCCAAATGATTATTTCTCATTATGGACTGTGATATAGAAATTATATTATATTCATTATCCAATCACCATCTGTAATAAAATAAAATAAAATAAAAAAGGTTAGTTGTTGAGTTTACCAGTGTATCTTAGGAAATTAGTTACTTTTTTTTGAAAAGAACTCCTTCAACACTTTCTATTTTCTTGATTTATTAGAAAATTTTTTTCCCCAGAAACCTTTCAAACAGTGTTTTTACTCTATTCTCACACAACCACATAATAATCATCAACACAGAAGACTTCTGTGACCAAATGTGGAGAGGTATTCCCCACATACCAAGCAGCACACACCAGCTGCGTATCTTCCAATTGAGTTCCAACACTGAACTGGAACTGGAAAGAGTGTTAGATCCCTTCAGTTCAGGGTTCAGTCCCCAATACTACCCTCTGCACAGACACTATCAGAAGTCTGGGCCTCTGAACTTCTGATCGACTGGCTTCAAGTTGGGGTTTCCAGAACACTCCCTTTGAGTTCCATTAATACACTGCAGTGGCTCACAGAACTCACAGAAATACTTACCTTTACCAGTTTCTTATAAAGGCTATTACAAAGGATGAAGCTGAAGAGACACATAGGGCAAGGAATGAGGGAGGGCGTACAGCTTCCATGTCCTTCCTGGGGGCACCACCCTCCACAAGGAAGCTCCATGTGTTCAGCTAACCAGAAATTCCCTGAACCCTGTCCTCTGGGATTTTATGGAAACTTCATGACATCGGCATTCATTCCCCCAAGGGTATTGGTTAGCACTCTCAGGAAGGTCTTATGACCCACAAATGCTGGGGGGAAGATTAGAGTCTAGCCTGGGGGAAGCGAAAGGAGGCTAGGAGAAGGTGGGAGATAGTTTGTTTCCTGAGGCTTGCCCCTGAGGCTAACACACAAGGTGTTGTGACAAAAGACTGTAACAAAGGGCTGTGGGAGTTATGAGATAGCTACTGTGGACAAAAACCTATATACACTGCAGGTTTACATTTTTGAGTTGGATATGCAAGTTTATCACAATAAACTGCAGAGATTTTATACTGGTTGTTAGTTTGGAATCTTGCATTGCAGAAAATCCATTCTGCAAATAGAGTAGAAAAAAGCACACACATTTAAAAGTCATCAAAAATGTCTTGATATTTGATGATCACTTCATGTAATGATCACTTCAATAATAGTTTTATGCAGACCATCTCTGTAAAAAGAAATATCCTGATATTAGTTATTTTAGAAAGGAGATACAAAACAATCTTGTTTTATCCTAATATTTCAGATTTTTTATACAATAGCATTATATAATATTTGTTAAGTGATGAAAACTTTAATAGAAAAAGGATATATGTCTTCTGTCTCACCCTGTGTTTTATGAAACTCAAAGTTGAGCTCACCTAGAGCTCTAAGGATTAAAAAGCCCCAGGCCCACGAGAAAAAAGCCTCCTCTCAAGTTGTAGAATGGGTTTTTCGCTGTAGGTTTCACTTCCATTTTTGGAATAAGGTCAGTGTTACTTTTTGATTTCCAGAAGTAGCACCGTGGTTGGAGATCATGAATTTTGAAGAATATGGCTTAGCTTTCTCAGCCCAAGTGCTAATGCAGGAGAGTGGACCTAAAATGCAGTGGTCAACAGGGTGGTGGATTTTAATCAGTTGTGAACTGGGGAAGAGGTGCTGACTCAGAGCCCAGGTAGTCACCTCAGTCTATTGCTGCAGTCCAGGAAAAGCATAAATATACTAGGCACGTGAGCAATAGTGAAGGGAGAGAAATATATGGTATAAACAGATTGTAAGCTAGAATGTAAGCTCTATAAAGATGGAAATTTTGTTTACTGCTGTGTTCAAGTTCCTAGAATATGAACAGTTCATGACATATGAAACATACCCAAGAAAACACCTGTTAAATGTAAATGATGTAGTAAGGCCACCAGAGTGTGGCATTGACTGAATAAACCACTTTTCCCCTCCTTTCACCATGCCTTCCTTTTTAAATTAGTTCATTACTGTACTTTAATTGCATATTCAAATAAACCAAATAATTACTTGGTGTACGTACACCAAACATATTGCATAAAACTTGGCAGTTTACAGTGCTATATAAATAATGGGGTTACTTTAAGTTAACCTTTAGAGGAATTTTGTGAAAAGCATATTCTCTTTGGGTGCTGGAGAAAGTTTTTCTGAACTCATTTCCTGTAACTGTCCATTTTTTTACACTGATGTGATATTTTGTTGATAAAATATGAATGATTATTCTGCTTATAAAATAGGTGTAATATTTGGTTGATCAGTTATTTAAATAAATAAGTCGGTACAGCAGGAGATCCAGATGGATTTGAAATAAATGTCATTTGAAAGCTTATTAGCTGAGCTATTTTAAAGCCTCACATCATAATATAAGTACCCAACATAGAAAATAGAAAATCTAATTTGCCTGAAGTGTTGATTGACTTAGAGGATATGTCTTAGATGAAACATCAAAAATTTAGAGAGTTTGCCTTAAATATCAGAAGATGCGGTTTCTGGGAAGAGGTTATGAGTTTTCCAGGATTTTTTCCAATATTTATCATAATATTATAGATGATGCAATTTATTTTCTTCTTCAAATGTATCCCTTTGGTTCCATTCTTTTTGTAGAGTGGACTCACATCCTTACACCTTGCAGCCCAGGAAGATAAAGTGAATGTTGCTGATATTCTTACCAAGCATGGAGCTGATCAGGACGCTCATACAAAGGTAAAGCAAATCATTGTCAATAATGTGACATATTCTGGCTGGGATGATTCCCAGTAGCCCCCATTTGGGTCACCCCATGTCCTGGGTCTTCCCTCCTCAAGAGTTCATTCTGAAGTATAAACTAATCATAACCCTCTCCTATCCACAAATCTATGGCGGTTCCCCATTTTTTTTGCTGGAATCAATTCCAATTGATAGCATGGGGTCAGGACCCTTTGCAGGAAGACTCCAATTTTGCAGACTTAATTCTACCCTCTCCCTTACTACTTTAGCTAGTTCACATGACTTGCTGTGTTCCTCATGTATTTGCTTGTCTCCATACCCTTGGTCTGGAAATGGGTTTTTCCCTCTCTATGCCATAAAATTCTTACCCATTCTTTAAGCCTGCTGTAGCTACATCTTTCCTGCATCTCCCATCAGAGTCATTCTGTATTTGCTGTTTTCAGATATTATTTATGCCTCTCTCTTAGTTCTTTGCAGATTAAGTCACCCATGTCTGATCTCTCTAGCCGATATGAAGTTCCTTGTGGTCAAGGGTTCATATATAATTTGCTAAATAATATCTTTAGTCAAACTGAATTCTCTGAACTCTGCCCAGTCCTTCTCCTCTACTACTCTTAATAACTAGAGTAGTAAAGTTTCTACTTTATCTATTTCTAACTTTTTATTATTATTTACAGCTTGGTTACACACCTTTAATCGTGGCCTGTCACTACGGAAATGTGAAAATGGTCAACTTTCTTCTGAAGCAGGGAGCAAATGTTAATGCAAAAACCAAGGTAAAATACTTGTAGTCATTTTCAATTCCTACAAGCAAAGAGGTTCAGCCATCTGGACGCCTCATTACTTAGCCAGAGCTACAAGTGTATTTTTCCCCCCTTTTTAGTTCGTCTAAAGTGATTTTGAAGAAGTGATGTAGTTTTGTAATTATTTGAGAATTTTCATTCTAATAACCTTTGACAGCCTTGCAGGTTAGCTTCAGAACTACATAAAGTTAAAGTAGCTGACATCGATTTAACAACTTACTGCAGGACACAATAGATGCCTGCTAGAACATCTTGATGTTCTGGCAGATTTCCTTTATATTGTTTCAGGGCCTTGCCCCCCCGCCCCTGACTCCTTATCCTCTCATGAAGAAATACAGACCTGCAGCCTAGACTGCATGCTTTTCATTTTTAATGAACTCTGTCACATTCAGAACATCACGTGGTCACGCTCAGTGAAGCAATAATGTATAAGGCCCGGGCTGGAAGTTCTCAAGGATAATGCACAGCTGACTGGATCCCAACAGTTTCCCCAGTGGCATTCAAAAGGTCCTATTCAGCAAAGCAAGGCTGCAACGCAACACTTTACTTCAGTGAATTAAATTTGGTTCAAGGTGAAGAGAAGTGCAGACTATAACTATGGCCATTATGCATAATACAACTTGCTGCTCCAAGTTCTTTGGTCCAAAGAAATATTTATTTGTACTTTTTTTAAAGGTCATATATCAGAAATTTCTTTTTTTCATTGCTTTCTTTTCTTTTACTTTTTCTATATTTTTTTGCAGACAGAGTCTTACTCTGTTGCCCAGGCTGGAATGCAATGGGCAGTGGCATGATCAGAGCTCACTGCAGCCTAGAACCCGGGCTCAAGTGATTCTCTTCCCTCAGCACTGGCTAGGACTACAGGGGTACAACACCATGCCCACCTAAAACATTTAAAAATGAAACATTCAACATTTAAAAATGTTTTTGTAGAGATGAGGTTTCACCATGTGGCCCAGGCTAGTCTCGAACTCCTGGGTTCAAACGAAATTCTCCTGCCTTAACCTACCAGAGTACTGGGATTACAGTGTGAGCCACCAAGCCTGGCCCAGAAATTTCTAATTAGAGCTATTTGAGTGGGCTGAAGTAAATGAGTGTGAGCATATTCAGGACTTTCCAAAGCCATCATTCAAGATTCTATAAATTAAAAATATAAAGAAGTTTTCTAAGTCAGGTATTCTCTTAGAAGCTGAAACAAAGTCATTTCTACACATAAGTATGTTTATAGCTAATTTAAAACAAACTTATTTTTAAACTATAAATAATACTATTAACATTTAAGATTCAAACTTATAATCTTACTCTAGCAAGAATAGCTGCTGCCTAGTTTCTGATCAGTTTTTAAGTTCTCGTGAAATTGTGCTTTGAGACCTATTTAAAGCCTCTAATATGAATTCTCAGGCATTAGCTCCTAATGCCTTTTCTGCTGAGCCAGCTCTGATAGAAGGACTCCAGGGAAGACATTTTTTGTTGTAATCCAAGTGTTCTCTCGAAATGAACAAATGTAACAACACAGTGAGATGTTGGCAGGGCTTGAAAATGCCTGTCATATTTTTAAATGTTTCATTGTTGAAATGGTTATAATATTTAGAAGGCAAACACTATATTGTCTAGAGAATACCAATGGTCTCCCTGGAGTTTGATCTGCATTGAATGAAGATTTGATTGAAAGAAAAATCTCATTTTATCATTTCAGTTTTTTTGTTTTGTGTTTTTTAAGTAAACTGTTACTTGGACTGTTGCATTTCAAACCATGCATCTTCAGGGAAATAGACACAAACCTCAAAGGACAGTCTTTTAATGAACTCTTCAGATTTTTTTTTTTTTCATGTGAAAATGATATCTTTGAGAAAGGAATTGGGTTTTCTTCCTCAGATCTTATCTGTAGTTAAGCTGTAACTATATCGTAGTTGTAGCCACTAAAAATGGTTTTATTGCTTTAAAAATATAAACATATATATTAACTTAATTCCTAAACTCTCATGATATGGTATAAAATATTTGGAAAAAGGTACTTACTTTAGAAGACTATTTGTTGCTTAAGATTGGAAGAAAACCCTGTTACAGCAGCTTGGGGCAAACCAGACCTGGTTAAATATATATTTAGTTGGTGAAGAGGGTTTAGAACAGCATATGAAAACATTGTCTTTATTAAAGATACTGTGAAGATTACAGAGCTCTTCAATGAGAAAAAATAATAACCAAACACCAAAGTGTTTGCTAAAATTTTCAAAGTTAGAAAAGAAAACATATTCGTGAACAACTTATCTGATCCTTCACCAAGCTTGAAATCTTGGCCATTCCCATTTTACAAATGAGGAAATTGGGGTTTAGAGAGGATTAGGGATTTGCAATTAATTGGTAGAACTGGGTCTAGAGCTTTTAGACACATGGGCCTATGACAGTAGATTAAGAGTCAACCAAATGTTTATGTAAACACTTGAATTGCTCCAGACTTACCTGGCAAATATACTCACTGGAGATTCCAGGTAAAGATTAGATTAAATCAGGGCTGGGGAACATATCTGTGGCCACAATGTCCACTGATCTATTGAGGGCGGGAATGTTGCTTTGGCATTACTAATTTACATATATTTATAGATCATTTAAATTTATTAATATGTCATAGGGGTATATTATTTTATTAATTTAAACACTAAGTTAATTAGCACATAGTGTGTAATTAGTAAATGCTTGTTGAATGAATTAACTTGGCTGATACTGAAGAGATGAACTAAATTCAGTGGATAAGACATTGTAAACACAAAGAATAGGAAGAATTTTTACGAAAAGAAGTATCACGTAGTGTATTCTCTTTAAATGTCCATGGATTATCTGATTTGGCAGCAGAGTCCCTGCAATAGCCAAAGGCTTCTTGGAGTCCCTGTAATTGATTTATATTTTCAGGTTTCCTGGGGCCATCCCATTGTAGGGATTTATAAGCAGATGTAACACTTCCAACATGACAGAACTGAGGAAGTGTCACACTTAGGGACACAGAGGTAGACCTTGACACATATGGGCATGTTCCTATGGGCAGAAAGAGTACAATGAATCTATAAAAGAAATCATGTAGCACCCACATATATAGTAGACAGAGCAAGAAAATACGTATGTTGGTCACAGGGCAGCAATGACATTGTATGAACGGGATATGTACACTTAAAAGCTTAGAGTATAAAAGGGCCATTTAGAACTTAGAGGCTGGGACAATTGGGCCTGAAACATGTAGATAAAATATTGTGAGTGGTGAGGCAGGTAGATTTTTTTTTTTTTTAATACTTTTAAGTTCTGAGATACATGTGCAGAACGTGCAGGTTTGTTACTTAGGTATATATGTACCATGGTGGTTTGCTGCACCCATCAACTTGTTATCTATATTAGGTATTTCTCCTAAGGCTCTCCCTCCCCTGGCCCCCCACCCCCCACAGGCCCTAGTGTGTGATGTTCCCCTCCCTGTGTCCATGTGTTCTCATTGTTCAACTCCCCACTTATGAGTGAGAACATGCAGTGTTTGGTTTTCTGTTCTAATTTAGTTTGCTGAGAATGCTGGTTTCTGGCTTCGTCCATGTCCCTGCAAAGGACATGAACTCATCCTTTTTATGGCTGCATAGTATTCGTTGGTATATATGTGCCACATTTTCTTTATTTAGGCTATCATTGATGGGCATTTAGGTTGGTTCCAAGTCTTTGCTATTGTGAACATTGCTGCAAAAAACATATGTGTGCATGTGTCTTTATAATAGAATGATTTATAATCCTTGGATTAAAAAAAATAGCCATTGTCTGATAACCATTGGCTGTCATGGTCTTCTGCATAGGATCTGAACCTCGACTGATGGTGGAGAAATTACTTAACTTTCTTATTTTCAGTTTCATCTTGTCTGAAATGAGGAGAAAAGCTGTTCTTGGAAAGGAATATAAAATTTAGATTTACTTTCAATGATTTAGAATCCCTAAAGCTAAGCTGAAGGTTAAGTATTAGGAGAGTCATGATGAACAGGCAGTGGTTTATATGACCTCTGCAGCCTTCATTTAAAAACAATTTTACTCTTACCTGTTTCCCAGGGAAGAAATCACAGGGGTCATGCTCTTTCTTATTTTAAATCTCTCCTTTCAGCTCACATCTGAGCAGAAGTCGATGGCACCCACCCCCTTCACCTTTTAAGGGAGCCCTTATTTTTACTGCTAACTGGTTAAAATGTGTTAATAGTTCTCATTTGGATTATGTGAATCTTGTTTCATCAGCTGCTCTCTTCTCTTTGTTTAGCAGACCATAAGGTGTGAGGGAGTGTTTGCTGTGAGAAATGGGTTGCTGATTATCTTGGGTTCCAAATAAAGCGTCCGTAATGGTTTCGTCGTAAATAAGACTATTCAAAATGAAGGCTAACCTAATTTTCTTCTCCCTCTGCAAATCGGGTGCTGGGCCCACCGCCACTGTCCTCCACAGAACGGCTACACGCCTTTGCACCAGGCCGCGCAGCAGGGCCACACGCACATCATCAACGTCCTGCTCCAGCATGGGGCCAAGCCCAACGCCACCACCGCGGTAAGGCAGACGCCACTGCCCCTCACCACGCTTTCTCCTTTTCCCTCCCTTGCCCTGGTGGCTTCCTGTCTGAGCTGAGTGAGGTCAGATTCACTCAGAGAGCCTTATTCCTTAAATAAGCCCCCTGGACTCTGGAAAGCCCCAGATTTTTAGGCAGGCTTTCCAGAAGTCACTGTGACTTCCCCAGAAGTGCTTGCCCTGGGAGGGAAAGCAGTCAGCCTGACTCGTTGGCTGTCTCTGGAGAGGGGGGCCCTCCTCTTGGGCTGTGGGAACGTGCTCTGCTTACAGCTGGCTCTCAGATGTGAGCACAAATTGACCCCCTGCCCCGCCCCCACCGCCTTCTTAAGGGAGCACAGTAAGGGAGCTTCTGGCTTAAACAAAGCTCATTGGGTTGTGGAGCCATTGAAATGTAAACTAAGCGGTGCAATTAAACAAACTGGGATCCCCGTGGCCTGGGCTGGATGCAGCCTGAATTGCTTGCTTGTGTTACTTTGCTGCATAGTGAGCTTCTGCACAGCTGTAGCTAAATATGTTACTGTGTTCCCTATGGTAACATCTTACCTGCAGCAGATGGCCTGACCTCTGTTGGGGGATAAGTGTACCTGGTACTTGCTAACAGGTTTGGAGGTGTCAAGAGGTACTTTCTTAAGCGCAATACGGTGTTTGTAGAAGATATTTGACAACCTTAGGGTTAAAGCGTCAAGTGCTTCTTATTAAAAAGAGCAAGCAGATGCAAGCTTGTTGTGTTACCATGGTGACCTGGGCTATAGTCTGAAGAAGTTACAAAGACAGATTTAGACGTAATGGTAAAAACTAGTGATTTTCCTAAGCTGTGCCTTGTTTTGGAAGGAAATGCTGGCTCATGCAGAGCAGCGGGTGATCTCATTGGCTCACATCGCAGTCCGCTCTCTCATTTCTCACTCTCTTTCTTTCACTCTCTCTTCAGAATGGCAACACTGCCTTGGCGATTGCTAAGCGTCTGGGCTACATCTCCGTGGTCGACACCCTGAAGGTTGTGACTGAGGAGGTCACCACCACCACCACAGTGAGTACAAGTGACTGATGATCTTCAGCCTTGTTGTCTTGGCTTTCAAGCTAAATACATGTACAGTACTTTTTCACTCACAAGATGTTTGGAGCTTTTAGTTTGGACTTCTTTTGTTGAGTGTATTGTGGCACATACATAGAAGTATGCAGAGGTAAATGAACTCACACAAGGAATACAGGGCTTTAGCTTCCTCTACTCAGCATTGATCCCTATACAATGTGTGAGTATAGTTTTATAATTAGTTCCTTTTTCTGTGACTGGCTTATTTTCTGGCTCCCCTGCCCTTTTCCTTTAGTTGTGTGTGACACCTACTGCTGGCAAAGCGGTAACACACTCTAGTGCAGACTTCTTCCCTTAGCCAGGAAGTCAGGCCAGCCTCTGGAAAGACCCTGGTCTTCCCAGCACCGTGCTCATAACTGGATCACATGGACTCCCAGTGAGAGCAATTCATCCTTATTTGCAACTTCTTTCTGATCATTATTTTTTAATTCAAAAAGAGAATAGCCTGTGCTTTGTAGGTAAATTATGCCTGTATCATGAAAAAGTATATATTTAAATTTTTTATTTTCTCTGTTTTGCATACAACTGCTGATTCTTCATGACAGATCTGTTATTATTATTACTGGCCTTTGCTAGAGAAACTATAGACGAGTAAAGACCATGATAATACTGGGTCCTAATGCTCCTGTACCATCAGTGGGAGCAAAGTTTAAAGGAGGCCTCCTGAGAGGGGGCTCCTACCTGAAAGTGGAAGTACTACTATATTTGCATTTATTCATTCACTAACTTTCTACTTTAAGCATGGATTAAAGAATGGCTCTTTGCTCTATCTTTGTAAAGTAGAAAAGTAGAGGAACAGCAAAACATGAGAAGTTCTTCAAAGACAGTAAGACCACAAATGAACAAATACATAATTCTGAAGGAGGTTCTAGTAAATGCTCCAAACTAAAAATTCATATGGAATTTGAAATGCTTGGTTCATTTGACAGATGTGAGGAAAAAGAAAGGAATTTTGTTCTTCAAGCTGACAGTAAGTTCCTGTTGACATACGTTGAAGTGATGGAATACAGTTGGTTTAACGTGCAATTTTAGGCAGAGTGGAGTATGATTTATTAATGAGCTGCAAGACACAAACTGAATTTAGACGGGGGAGAATAGCACTGCTTGTTTTCTGAGGCAGAATTTTAAAACCTTTGGCCAGTGCACCATAGTATTTTAAAAATTTAAAGTATGGCTTTAATAAATTATATAGGAGAAAAAGGTCTTGTCACTGCCTAGCACCATACTTGTAGGTCACTATATTTAACGGTTTTTTCCTTACTTTATGATTTCTTATGCCAGGAAAATCTTCATAGTAAGGATCTGCACATATATACCACTTTATTTTGATATCTTTTAAACAATGTGTACATCATAGTACGTGAAGCCTGTAGTGGCAAGATTGGCCAAGCACAACTGTTCTGCAATTAGAAGTCATGTTTTCTCTAAACTTTATTACCCTTTTCCTGCTCTGGGAATCTTTTATGTTTATTTTACCAAGTTATCACTAGATGGCAAGCTTGTATCTCTTGCTATCTTGTACCTACCTTGCTTCCATTCATTTCATTAACTGATTTGTTCGTTCATTATTTATTGGATGTAAAATATGTGCTAAGTGCCGAAGAGTTATCAGTGGTGAACGCCGGCAACTTCAGTGTAGTGAGAATGGAGAATGAGGCTCAGGCTTGGTAGGAAAATAAATTCATATTTTACTCAACAAAACGATTGAACTTATATGTCTGGTTTCAAAGACATCTCAGGTTTATAAATATTACTCAGGTTAATGACTTCAAACACAAAGATCTCTATTTAAAAAGAAGAGGAAATAAGCATTCTCTGGTTTGTCTCTGAATACTGTAATTGCTGTTTCTAAATAAGTTTTCAGTGTCCTTGTCAGAAATCAGATACAAGATCATCTCTCCACCACATCAAGCGCTGGGGAAGACAGGGACTTTTTGAACTCTCTGAGCTTTTTTCTTTTCTGGTAACTATTATTCTCTACATTCTGTAGCTGAGCATTGCTCCATCAAAAGTTGCTATACTTAGAATTCAAGTTTCTAGGTGAAAAGCCAATAAAAATAGAAAACATAACACCATTTCTGCTTTCAGTTAGGACACTAAGAAATCATTGTCACATGAACTGAACAAGTATCTCTTTTATCTAAATGGATAGTTTTAGTGGTTACGTTTCCATGCTGATCTCTCTTCATTGTCTGCTGCTCTTTGAATTGGTTTCTCTTATAATTGTGAGCTAAATTGTTTTGTGAAATGGAAGTTGGGAATAAGAATTGGAAGAATAGACTTCTTCTCTATGTCTATTTTGGGAGTCTTCTTACAATAAACTTCCTGTCTTTGGAAAGAGATTTTCAATAATTCTTTTTCCACATAATGTGTTATTAATGATATTAAAGACAGTAATATTTAAGTTGAAAAATATGTCAGGCATTAAGGGAAGATCTAAGGTTCAAATTTAGGTTGTTGGGTTTTAAAGCCCATGTTTTTAACCTTGCTGATATAACTGACTTCGGTTTTGCTGAAAGTAACTTAACAGGAATTTTATGAAAAAACTGTTTTCACCTGATTTTCAACAAAAAGAAAAACCACTTAACTGGTGCCTTTTATTGACTTTTGTGGGAGTATCATATTCAATATCATTTTTCAAAATCTATAGTCACTAAAAATGATTTGAAACTGTTGATGATCGCACAAGAGACACTTAATAGTTAAGTAAAATTGATAAAATTTAATGTTATTACCATTTAAATGCAACAGTTGAATTACACCTGTAGTACAACTGACACATTAATTCAACATGAACTGGATTTTTATGATGTGCATTATGAGCAACCATGTAGTCCTTTTGATTAAAGAAGGTTTCCTTTCCTAGTCCTCCTTTTGAGTTCTTTACTACAAAGTATGAATAAAGTTGGTAGACACCAGAGTAAGGCAGTCATTTGTAAAGGAAAAACCAGTTCTGTAGAAATTTCTGAGACATTTTGGAACTGTGGTCTGTTTCCTTAACCTTTGCTTTTCTAGCTTTACTTTGTGAGACGCAGCTGGGAGTATGAGACAGTTGAGCATTCTCCTTGGATTACAATCACTGTATGTCTGCCAGAATGGATATCAGAATGTTAGAGACACATTTCTGGTGACAGAAGCCAACAAGCCCAATCCACTAATGCAGGTTGGAAGAACTGTGGCATATGACTCATCCTTCTACTAATTGATCAACCATCATCAATTATTCCTATTATTTGTATAAAGTGTCACATTTTATGTTACATATAATTGATATACAGAGCATAAATCGCTGAATAGTAAAATAAAAATATTATATTTATATTATTATTATTTGAACATTAGAGAATATTTAAGTGAACTGCAGAAAATGTGAATATTCTAACTCCTAAATCTTATCTGATGCCATAAATCAGTTAACATGAAAATCAGAGGAGGAGCAGATAAAGAAGAGTTGTCTAATGCGTACAAAAGTACAGCTAGATAGAAGGAATAAGATCTAGTTTTAGGCAGCACAACAGGGCAACTATAGTTAACAAAAATGTATTGTATATTTCAACCTAACTGGAGGAATGGATTTGGACTGTCCCTAACACAAAGAAATGATAAATGTTTGAGGTGATGGATATTCCAATTACCTTGATTTGATTATTACACTTATGTTTACATCAAAATATCACTTGTACCCCATAAATATGTGCAACTATGTATCCATAAAGATTTAAAAAATTTAAAAATAGGAACCATAAAAATGGCAATGCAACAAATATTTGTAAAGTCATTTGACATCTTTTGAGGTAGAACCAAGATCTTTTCTGTAAATATAGTCCATCAATTATAAGTTATATTGCCATTCTTGCACAAACAACATCAATAATACATATTACATTGTGTGTGTGTGTGTGTGTATATATATATATATGCTATATTATGTATATTTATATGATCTTTATGTGTTCTGGGTATCTCTCTCTCTCTCTTTCTTTCTTTCTTTCTTTCTCTCTCTCTCTCTCTCTTTCTTTCTTTCTTTTTTTTTTTTTTTTGAGACAGGATCTCATGCTGTTGCTCAGGCTGGAGTGCAGTGGTGCTATCATGGCTTACTGCAGCTCAGTTGATTCTCCCACCTCAGCCTCCAGAGTAGCTGAGACTACTTGGGAGTAGTAGGTGGGCATGTGCCCCACTCCCAGCTAATTTTGTTTTGTTTTGTAGAGACAGGGTTTTGCCATGTTGTCCAGGCTGGTCTCAAACTCCTGGGCTCAAATGATCCACCTGGCTGGGCCTCCCAAAGTGCTAGGATTACAGGCATGAACCCAGCCCTGTGTATTTTCTTAAAGAGACTCACTTAGTGCAGAATCTTTTTAAACTTTTGACATGTTTTTTCAACCTGTGATAATTGTCTCAATTACATCTAGTTTGGTATTATTTTCAGTTACTCACCTTTGTTAAGACTAAAAAACATCTACCCTAGTTTTTCTAGAAAAAAACCCCGGTATTGGTATAATATTTAGTTTGGTTATCAAAGTTGTATTAATATATATGATTGGTATGAATATGTTTAGAAACAGAAACAAGTTTAGCTTGAACTCCACTGATGGAAGCGATGGGTATGGCCATTAAAAGGTAGCATCATAACCAAGATTACTCAGTGCGCTGTGGTGACTTAGTGAATATGTGATATAAATGCAATTGCTGGCCAGGGGGTTTGGCTGAATGAGGGTTGGCTAAGTGAAGATCAGTTAAGCACATATTTTCTTTTGCATAAAACAAATCCAGATATTGTCTACCATTTATAAAGCAGAAAGTTAAGAACTCTTAGTTTATTTCTACATTTTCCATATTATGATTAACAATATAAATTCATTATTAAATCTCTCATCCATCTACTATGTCTTATTTCTTTTGCCGTATTATCTGGTTTAATTATATTCCATTAAACTTGAACCTAGTATCCTACTCTTTTAACTTTTAAAGTAGTTTCTAATCTTGACCATAATATCTTAATTCTGTAGCAGGAGATATCCATGATCATTTTATTATAGCCTTGTTCTCTGTGTACATTATAGCTTTGTTCAGAGATAGTTGCATAAAACCATATTTATGTTTAAATAATCAAATTTTCAAAGGACATTTTGTTTAAAAGGAAAATACGTATTCATTTCTTGTTACATAAGTAGGATTTGTCATCCATTCAACAAATACTTGTTGATGGCCTTCTAAAGGTCAAATACTCTCTCATGTGTAGATGCTATTATATTTACCACATTGCATACAGAGGCCATTTTTAGTCTCTATACAGAAAAATATCCATGACCAATATGATCACAGTGTATTACTCTTTCTGTTGCTACATTTGTTTGCTGGTAATTCTGATAGCATTCAATGACCAAACTGAAGCAAATTATTATTTGCACTCTTCCAAGTACAAAGGAAATGTGGTCCCATTATCAGCACCTGAAAATAGAAACTGCGACTACCAGGCAATGAAACTTAATCATTTAAAAAGTATTTCCAGCAATTATTTTCAAACAGAGAAGCATATCCTTATTGAAATGTTTCTATGAAGGACAAATACTCTAAAACATTTCTGCAAAAATTAACTTTCTAATGTACTCGGATATAGTAGACAGCCTATCGCATTTTTAAATATTCCCAAAAAATTGAATAAAGGTCAGGAGCAGTATCTCACACCTGTAATACCCATAATTTGAGAGGCCAAGGTCAGCCTGGTTCGAGACCAGCCTGGACAACATGGTGAAACCCTGTCTCTACTACAAATACCATAATGAGCCAGGCATGGTGGTGTGCACCTGTAATCCCAGCTACTCGGGAGGCTGAGGCAAGAGAATTGCTTGAACCTGGGAGGTGGAGGTTGCAATGAGCTGAGATCACACCATTGTACTCCCATTCTGAGCAATAAAAGCGAAATGCCATCTCAAAAAAAAAAAAAAAAAAAAAAGAAAAGAAAAGTTGAATAAGATGTCATAGTAGGGTAATCTCAATCTTATATTTTAAATGCAAATCATTTTCCTACATTTTGTACACTTTCCCTAATACAGGAAAATGAATCTCAAATTGAACTGTGCAATAAACCCACCTAAGGAACTTAAAAAAAAAATACCCTGATACCAATTATAGTTGGGCCTGATTCCCATGGATTTTGATTTAATTGATTCATGATGGGACCCAAGCAACAATATTTTTAAAATTATTCTAATAATTGTAATATGTAGCTATAATTGAATACCACTGATAAAGAACATGGGTTCTAATTTTTGTGTTAAATTTCTAAATTAAAATGTATAATATTAAAATAATAATCAAATTGTATAAGAGTCTTTCTGAGTTTGTTCATTCAACAAATACTTATCAACCACTACTGTTCTCCAGATTTTTGGATGGATACTTTTGTTTTTCCTGCAGCATTTACTTTCAGTGAATAAGACACAGAATAAAACCATTTAAATATCACTAGAAATATGCAGGCAAGCTGAATTTACAACCCTTGTCTCCAGTGGTGCTTTCATATAACCAGCAGGAGACTTCCTTTACTTTCTCTGTTTCTTCCTGTCTTTTAACTAAGATTCCATTCAAAAGACAATGCATTTCATCATGATGTGGATTTTTAATTTATTTTTTGCATAATTTGGTATCATCAAGTTTTTTGATACATTATTTGAAAAGCTTCTACTATGTTTTAGGTGCTGTGGAAACAATCTTTCTCTAAAATGACTCACAATCTCACATGGAGGCAGATAGGCAGAGGGGGCACACACAGTGTGTAGCGTATGACACAACACACATACTGCTCTAGGAGTACATAGCAGCAGATAAACAGAGTTAAACACAGACATTCACTGGGGAGGATCAGGGAATGTTTCTCCAGGAAAGTCACATCTAACCTAGCCAAGAGAAGAGGGGAAAGAAGATTTCTGGTAAACGAAAGAATATGTGTAAAGATTTAGAGGCATAAGAGAACATGACCTGTCAAAATAAAGGCAGTTTAACATGATCATAGCATAGAATGAGAGATGAGGCTTTGCTACATCTCCCTTTTTACTGAATCACAGAGCTCTTCTGAGCCAGTTTAATCAGTTTTCTGACGAAAATGAGCCGCCGAGAAGCTCATGCAGTATCACATTATGATCACTTCCCCTTAGCACACAGTATTATATATGTATATAGTCAGAGTTACTCAGTTGAATTTGATTAACCAGTTGAATTTCTTTGTAAATATATTTGAAGTTATCTACTGCTTTTGGAAAGAAATGAATTGATGATAGGTTTATGATAGCCATTCAAGTAATTCTGTAATGTTTGTGTCAAAGCCTAAAAAACTACACAACCTATTTTTTTGTACTTTGATGGCTTTAGTTGAAGATGTTACTTTTATGTCAAGGGATTCTTTTTTTTTTTTTAAGTTTCCTTGACAGCATCAATTCATGCACATATTTTCAATACAGAAACTGAAGGTGTGAATTTGAGACTCAATAGTCTTTAGATGATGCTGAAAATAATGAGATTTGGATTTTTATCCTTTTGGGTACTTGTGTCTTTTATTTATTTATTTTAGTTGGCAAATAAAAATTGTACATATTTATGGTATACAACATGATGTTCTGATATACACACACACACACACATTGTGGAATGGCTAAATCAAGCTAGTTAATGTATCTATTACCCCCACATACATTTCCATTTTTTGTGATGAGAGCACTTAAAATCTAGTCTCAGCAATTTTCAAGTATACAGTACCTTGTTATTAACTATAGTCTCCATGTTTTACAATAGATCTCTTGAATTTATTTATCCTCTCTTATTAAAATTTTGTATCTTTTAACCAACATCTCCCTAATGCTCCTCCCACTTCCTTTTCCAATGCCTGGTCACCATCAGGTGTCTATTCTCTGCTTCTGGGAGTTTTTTTAGATTCCACATATAGGTGAGATCATGCAGTATTTGTCTTTCTAGGTCTGGCTTATTCTGTTATTTAAACAAATTCTGGTATATCTTGTGTCTGAAATAGTGTCAAGCATGCAGTAGACATTTAAAATGTTTCATTTAAAAAGTCCAGAGGCTCTTCACTTTTAAGATGCATTTAATATTGAGTCCCAATAATCATAATAAATTATACTAGCAAATATTTATTGAGTACCAACATATGTCAAGCACTGTTTTTAGAGCTCTTGCATATATTACATCATTTAATCTTCATTTTATGAAGTACTTTTCTATCCTTTATTTATAGTCGAGGAAATTGAGGCACAGATAGGTTAGGGGACTTGCTGAGGCCTTATAGGTAATAAATGATGAAGTTAGAATTTGAACCCAGACAGCTAAACTCAGATCCTTGTCTCTTAACCTTACACTATACATCAGGAATGAAAGGTGGTGGATCTGACAACCATGAAGTGCTGTTGCATAAGGCAAATAAGCAACAAACCAGAACCTTAGCCCACTGAAATATTATAGAGATGATTTGATCCTCTGATCCCAGAAGAGACGTGTTATATTTTCTACCCAAATAGTTTCTGTCTTTCACATTATTTACATCTTCTTTTCTAATGGTTTTGCTTTTAATACATTGCATATGCTCATTGCTTCTTTTTAAAGCTTTTCTGGAAACATCATTTCAGAGAAACTTTGAAAACATCAATCTGCTTTCTCAATATAATTATTATCAATAACACCATTGCTAAGGAATTTATTTTTCAAATGAGAACTCAAAGAACTGTCTCATGTACAACTTCTCTGGCATAATTGATCATTTATCTTCACAAAAAACAAATGAGTTTTCATGAAAGCAAATTTCCAAAATATACACATGGAAAAGATGCAGTAGTCCCGGCTTGACGGCTTGCTGCTGCTATTGAGTATGGCCTCCTCTGTGATGCTTTTCATCTTTTGTTTACTTTTGGCTTCAACATGAACATTAATGATTTTTGTTTTTCCAGACGATTACAGAAAAACACAAACTAAATGTTCCTGAGACGATGACTGAGGTTCTCGATGTTTCTGATGAAGAGGGTAAGACTTCTATTCAACCTTCTACGACACCTGTCATGTTCTTACACAAGGGCAAGTCGTCCTTTGTTTCAGAGACCAAGTTGTGATATGGATGATAGAATGTTATAATTTAAAGTCACTTTTTCACCCTTGTTTCAATACATTTTACTTTTGCCATGGCAGCGGGGGCCAGGGAGCAATTCTGTCTGATTAGTATATATTTTTCTGATATTATCTCTTTTTCTGTGTGTGTGTGTGTGCATTTTTTTTTTTTTTTTGACAGAGTTTTACTCTGTTGCCCAGGCTAGAGTGCAGTGGTGTGATCTCTGGTCACTGCAACCTCTGACTCACTGGTTCAAGCGCTTTTCCTGCCTCAACCTCCTGAGTAACTCAGATTATAGGCATGCACCATCACACCCAGCTAATGTTTTGCATTTTTAGTAGAGATGGGGTTTCACCATGTTTGACAGGATAGTCTCAATCTCCTGACCTCATGGTCTACCTTCCTCAGCCTCCCAAAGTGCTGGCATTATAGGGCATGAAAAACCGTGCCCAGCCTCTTTTTCTGATTAGTATATTTTTTTCTGGTATTATCTCTTTTAACTAGCATTATAATTAGGTTATCAAATAATATGACTGGAAAAGGGGGAAAACTGTATTACAGCTATGTAATAACACAATTGTTATTAAAGTAGGTTTTAATTGTGTTAAAAATCTTTTTTTTTAATTCAAATGCCTTTGAGTAAAGACTTTAAAGTATACTCCATCAATGAGTATTCTTCCTCAATTGAGAAACCTCTGTATTCTGGTTGGTTCATATGTACAGAATATATTTTAAGTACAGAGGAAAAAAGCCCAGAGAAAAAGAGAAGGTTTAAAAATAGTATAGCAGGAAGCAGTACAAATTCAACATATTAAGTATTAAGTCAGAAAATATTCCCCCTATAGTTTTAGAGCTGATAAAACATGGTCTAAGGCAATGGCTTCCTAAGTGCCGGGAATGCTGATGTTCTAGAAGGAGCAGTGGGGACTGCCGAGAGTGGGTGTGGGGCATCGTGCTAGAGCTGGAGGTGGGTCGGTAGGGTGTCTAGCTCCCTATCTCTACTTCAACTAGAGTAGCTGACTTTTCTAAATTTTATTCCTTGAATTTCCATGTAATATTCCATTCAGACAAAAAAAATCTACTAAAAAGTCATGAAAGCAGCATATAAGATTTGCAAGCATTTTTTACGAGAATATAGAAAAAAGAAAGAAAACACGCAACCAAATTTCAGTAGTGCAGCTATTGTTCCAATGCACATGATTGAAAAACTGCTTCCATACATGTATATGAAAAAATGTATGTTTGAAAAATTATTGCTGTTAAGAATGGCACTAGGTTTAATACCAATTGCTTTTACAGAGAAATATTAAAGATGATTCTTTAGGTTCTTCAAGATAGAATCCTAAGGTAAAACTTTACATTGAGATGTCCTTATTTAGAAAAAACTTGTTGAATCACCTATTGGTAATAGGTATTGAATTTTCTCATCTTTTATAAGAATTTATGACAAGAATGAACAAATGTTAGATCAAAGTATTTTTATGAGTAAATTCAAAGGGGTTCCCAAAGCTAACAGTTCCAAGTATTTAGTATAATTTTGTGTTCTATCTTAGTACTTGCCAACTGATTCTCAGCATTCCTGTATGCATCTTATATGCTTTTTGTGGGATCATCTTTCTTATCTTCACTTGTGTGTTGAACAGCTCTTAAACAGTTTGGTGACCACTTTATTGATGGGGAGGCACTTAGTGATTCAGGTACCATTAGAAGAAATTTTTGGAGTGAAAGCTTTTCTCTGCTTTTAATTTTTCTTAACTGGATAGAACAACTTGCTTAAATTTGTGTGCCTAATACTAATCTTTTTCTTTTGAAATAGCATGTGTAATATGAGTGGAATTGTGTATGTGTGCATTTGAGTATGTGGATTTTATTAACTTAGAAACTTAAAGTCATGAATTATTTATACTGCTAATGATTTTGTAGCTATTATTGAGACCTACTAACATAATTATATAATCTAGTGAACATTATAGATTTTTTTTTTTGCAATTAATATCTCTTCTTAGAATCTAAATTCAGAGAAAAGTAATTCTTTGGTCAGTTGACATTGAGCTAGCCTGAACATGATAATAACTAAGACCACTTGAAATGAATGCAGTTTATATTCTTGGTTGATGATATATTTTAGGTGTGATTAAAAATATATTAATAGTTGTAATGTGATTTTTAATATAGCTAAGAATAGAAATAAAGTAACATTTAAAAATTATTTAGGGTGAATTTGGCATATAAGGATAAATGAATAATGTAAGATATTTTATATAGTAAGAAGTTTCCAAAGTACACATGGTACCACTTTTGCAACTCTGTAAAATTTATAATGTATAAATTTAAATGTATAAATCAGATAAATTGAATAGTGATTATTTAATTTAAAAATAGCCCTTTATTTACAAAATAATTGCTGGATAATTCCATTAGTACATTTAAAGTATTTAATATTGAGTTTATTAAAAGAAAACCATTTATACAAAATAGCCTTTCAGATCTGCCTATTGCATTAAATGAGATGAGTTATAACATTCTGTAATTTTATTATTAAAAATATTATATATTAAATAATGTTGGTGATAGGAACTCTTGGTTCATGGAGAATATTGGTGAATGACCAAGATTTTGTGTTAAGAGAAGTACAGTTTTAGAAATAGCCGAAAACTTAATAACATTTCTTTCCCAGATGAAAATTCAAGTTGAATAATTTTCATGTAAAGGATTTATTTGAGTATTGATGAGTAACTTTTTCATGGAAAGAATTAGTATGAACGAAATTGGCTGGTTGACATTGCCAATGGCAACCTTTAAAGTTTTGGGAGGTTAATATGTTTTTATGAAACCTGATATCATCCACATGGACACAATGCAACATGTGTTTGAAGATTATTAGCTTATCCCTGTTTCCTCTACAGTCTATTGTTTATTAGTAGTAACAGTGTACTGATACCCAAAAAGAGTATTCAAACTTCTGCCATTAAGGATGGCACTATGTTTAATACTAATAACTTTTAAGGAGAAATATTAAAGATGTTTCTTTAGGTTCTTCAAGATAAAATCATAAGGTCAAACTTTACATTGAGATATCCTTACATTGAGATATCCTATCAAGCTAACTTGCTGTATACATATTAAAGTAGTCCATAATATCCACTCATGAATCCAATTAACAAATAGTGAATGTGATGTTATTGATGTTATTGTGTGGAACACTCTATAACTGGTGCACAGTGGAATCAAAGATGAGCATGAGGCATGCCTTTAGGAAGCCTATATGGAGAAATAATGTATAAATTAAAAGAGATACAATGGAAGGCACTATGTTATCCTTTTCATGTCCACTTGGGGAGATCAGAGATAGATATACCTAACACAGTCTCATTAACGTGCTGAGAGATGACAGATTAATAACAGGGTACATAGATTTTAGGGATTAGATAAGGAACAATATGGGAAAGTCTTGAGATAGGAAAGTACGAGAGAGAGAGACGCAGAGTGGAAACATCCTCCAGTCATTTGGTTTGCTGATGCATAAAAACATACCAGGCTCTGTTGTGGACTGTTTGAATTCTTAGCCGAAAAGTCTGGGAAACAGGATACCTTAAATATTTCAGTTAATGATTAAAACATTTAAACCTGTTTTTATAAAGATTTAACCAGCAGTGGTACACAGAAGGAGTTTATTGGGAAGAACCTGGAAAGAAGCAGAAATCTAAGAAAAGAGAAAGCATTTACTAAACCTCTATAATGCTAGGTACATGCCTCATTTAATCTTCATACCATTCCTGTGACACAGGCTGTGGATATCCTTCCACATTTTTTTTCAGGTAAGGAAAGACTTATTTTTGGAGAACAAGGCCTAGACACATTAAGTAGTTTGTTCAATGTCATGCAGCTATTAAGTGGTGGGTATGGAATTCAAACCTAGTATTGTAATAGCACAGCTATAATATAAATAACATCCTTTTGGAAGAATATGACAGTGAAATGCAAGGAAAAGACAGAACTGAGAATTCAGTCTAAGAGAATTATAGCATCCGGATCTAATGAAAGATGTGAAGGTAATCCTCTAAGTCTTTGTAGGATCATGAGTTGATCCCTGTCTTCACTGACTCAACTTCCCAGCCATAAATGATGAGGTGGGGTTCAGAGATTTTGGCATCTGTACAACCAAAATGCCTATAGAGATGTGACTCACTTATGCCTTATTCTCATGGATTCATGAATGGATGGCTTGTGCATACATCTCTGCAAGTACTCTGGAATGACATGTACTAGTAATCAAGAGAATGCCAAGCTGGCCAAGTGCTGGGATGAAATATAGAGGCACCTTCTCCACAACGTCTATTTTGAACACTTAACACTTAGAGGGGCTCTTCATCTCAGGTTTCAGTCCTTTTTCCCATATCTCAGCAGGAATAATATTTGCTTGAGAGGGAATGGGTTCCATAACATTTCAGAGAATCTTCCTCTTGCCAGCATCGTGAGGGATTGTCAGGAAGGGGAGCCATTCCACTTTTATTTTTTTTTGAGACAGAGTCTTGCTCTGTCACCCAGGCTGGAGTGCAGTGGGGTGATCTCAGCTCAGTGCAGCCTCCATCTCCCAGGTTCTTTTGCCTCAGCCTCCCGAGTAGCTGTGACTACATGTATGCGCCACTACACTAATTATTGTATTTTTAGTAGAGACTGGGTTTCACCGTGTTGGCCTTGCTGGTCTCGAATTCCTGACCTCAGACAATCCACCTGCCTCAGCCTCCCAATGTGCTGGGATTACAGGCATGAGCCACTGCTTCCGGCCACCATTCCACTTCGTTTAAGTTATTCCCATGCTATTGAGATCTGTGTCCTACGGGGGTTAAATACACCACTCACTATTGATGAGGAATCTTGTGGTTTCCAGATATCAAAACAATTGTACATAAAAAGCCCATAATACACTGATGCTTTACAGTTAGTAGAGAAGAGTTTTCACAAAATTGTTTGGAAACATTGGAAAATAAAACAAGAAAAAGCTAAGTCATAAACCTGGGAATCAGCATTCTGTTAAGTGCTGATTCCCACTTGAAGAAAAGAAAGTAAATAATGATTCTTTTAAAGCTGTCTGAGTTGTACAAAATTTTTTCCAAGTATACTGGCGCTCTACTCAAACAAATAAGAGCTAAAGCTTTTAATCTGAATATTATTTTAAATAATCTTTTCTCCCCTCTTGGCTTAGGCAAGGAAGTAGTTGTGCTATTTGCTCATGTAGGGAATTTTCAAAGAGAACTACATTAGTAAAGGGGTGAGTAAAGAAGATGAGTTCTGCTGTGGACATGCTAAATCTGAGATGCTTATAGAAAATTTAGGTGGAAAAGACCAGAAGGCAATTGAAATATAAATGTAGAGTTCATGAGAGAGTGTCTGGGACCAATAGAAATCTGTGTTTAACTAGTGGACCTCTAAGTCCACATGATAATATGTGAAATAAAAAGAAAGGGCAGATGGAAAATAACATTTAAGAGAAGTAGAGACAGAAAAGAAAGACTCAAAGATGTAAGGGGAAGACCAGGAGAGATTTGTGTCAGAGAAGTTAAGAGGAATAGTTTTTCAAAGAAGAAATCACTTCTCAGCCACTGATTAATTGCGGAAATTAACAAGCTTCTGCTTGATAAGTTTGTCTGTTAACAAAGAGGAGTCAGAGTGAAATAAAGAAGGTCTAAGAATTAGGGAAAGAAGCTACCATATTTCAAAGATGGCAGAAATATGGATGTTTTATCCATGGATGGGGAAAGACATTCATAGAATCTGTAACAGAGGAGAGAAGGCTGAAGATGAAGGGCCTAGCAGACAAAGTATCTAGGAAGATGAGGGGGGATAAGTCTTTGGAGGCAGGGATGGGCCAGCTTTACACGAGCAGAAATCTTCTCACCCACTAAGGGAAGCAAGAATATGACCGTGTTATTTCAGGGGCTCATTAAATACATTTAAAGCTTTGATCTGTATGCAGAATTTTCTAGTTATATACCAACTTGGGTGATTTTTTTCAAAGTGATTTTTCAGATTCTGTTAGTTTCTACTTGCATTCACTTTCCACCTCTCACTGCAGATATATCGTACTGAATAGCGTGATTTATATGCAACTAACTATCTTTGAGATAAATTTTATATAGCACTGACAAGATTAGTCCCCAGAGAGGTGCCTTTCCAGCTAATGCCAACACTGGGATAGTATTAAGACACTGCTTTCAGCATTTAGGTCAGCATTTAGGGTCTTTGCTTCTTTGGATCATTTCTCTCTGAGACATAGTCAAGACATTGTCTATATATCTAGGGCCACCATAGGTGTATGTAAAATACTAAAAACTTACTTTTAATATCACTCAACCTAGCAGCTGCCTTAGGCAGATAGCATCATAACAAAACCATCAAAATGCGCAAAATAAAGGAGAATGTAAAGGACATTCATTCATGAACTCTCAGTGTAATCAGAGGTGATTTTTTTGGTTGTTGTTGTTGATGTTGTTGAGACAGGATCTCATTCTGTTGCCCAGGCTGGAGTGCAATGGTGCAATCATGGCTCACTGTAGCCTCTACCTCCTGGGCTCAAGCAATTCTCCCACTTTAGCCTCCCAAGTAGTTGGGAATATAGACACAAGCCACCATGACCAGATAATTGTTTTAAATTTTTAGTAGAGATGAGGTCTAGGTGTTGCCCAGGTTGGTTTTAAACTCATGAGCTGAAGTGATTCTCCTGCCTCACCCTCCCAAAGTTCTGGGATTACAGGTGTGAACCACTGTACCTGGCCAATCAGAGGTTTTTAATTTTTGGCTTATCATCAGAGTCATAAAATTTTGATATATTTTATTAAAAATATACTCTTCAAATGTTTTTCCATCTTCTAACAAGATTCTATTTACACAAGAGGGGAAGGTTGGGTTCCTATAATTCATCTGCATGTTCTACCTGATCAAACACTGTGCCTTGCTCCTTCAGATGTGGAGGCACTCCAGCTAGACTCTATTCTTTTATCTTTATCTTTCTCACCTTTTCTTTTTTCACCCTTAAAAACCTTCCTCACCTACTGAGGTATAACAAGAGTGAGACCGGGCACGGTGGCTCAAGCCTGTAATCCCAGCACTTTGGGAGGCTGAGGCGGGTGGATCACGAGGTCAAGAGATCGAGACCATCCTGGTCAACATGGTGAAACCCCGTCTCTACTAAAAATACAAAAAATTAGCTGGGCATGGTGGCGCGTGCCTGTAATCCCAGCTACTCGGGAGGCTGAGGCAGGAGAATTGCCTGAACCCAGGGGGCGGAGGTTGCGGTGAGCCGAGATTACGCCATTGCACTCCAGCCTGGGTAACAAGAGCTAAACTCCGTCTCAAAAAGAAAAAAAAAAAAGAATGAAAGATAGATGGGAGAAATAAGAAAACTTCAAATGTAGGTCCTATTTTATTAAGGAGTTTTGAGGATTTTTAAGAACCAAGAAGTTAAAGCTTATTTGAGTTATATTTATTTCCTGTGACCATCTTGGCTGCTGAGAGACAGCAGTGAGAACTGGCAAATTAGGAGAAGCAAGATGAAATGCAAAAGCAAACAGACTTTGAGGAAGGATGGGATGCCCGAAGCTGAGTAGTATTCAGAATATGGTGCTGGAATTTTTGGGAGTAATGATGGAGTAGGAGAGTGGAGAAATAAAGAGAGAGTATATAAGCAGACTTTTGCTTTTTATTATTATTATTTTGTATTTTTTGAGACGAGTCTCTCTCTGTTGCCCAGGCTGGAGTACAGTGACACAATCTTGGCTTACTACCTTCACCTCCTGAGTTCAAGCAATCCTCCCAAGTAGCTGGGACTACAGGCACATACAACTGTTACCAGCTAATTTTTGTATTTTTAGTAGAGACAGGGTTTCACCAGATTGGTCAGGTTGGTCTCAAGTTCCTGACCTCAGGTGATCCACCTGCCTCAGCCTCCCAAAGTGCTGGGGTTACAGGCGTGAGCCACTGTGCCCAGCCAACTTTTGGTTTTTAAAGAATCTTTTTGGCTTTTCGCACAAGGGATCCATAATGTGCAGCTTGCATTGTGCTTGTATTATGTGACAGATTCTGTATTCAACCATTCCCTTCACTTTATCGTGAATAAGAATAGATGTAGTCTTCTGAAATGTTAATAAAACCCACATTTTTTACTGAAAGTAATGTAGGCTTAATCCTAAAGGAGACTATGCCTATATTTTGATAAATCTATAGTTAGAATTCATCTTAGAAGTTTTTTCTCTCAGAAGTAAACAACGAGGGGTATCCAAACTTAATATTAAAAGAATTAAAATTCAAATGATTGCTTTTTCTTGGCAAGTGGTAAGAAAATGAATCAAATCTTGTATCTCTAAGTTTTAACACTGTATAGTCGTTTGCTGGTGTTCTGTGTTCTGGTGTGCAGTGCAGTTTCATCCATGTCAAGGCAATGATGTTGGTGCATTTCACAATCATGATTATATTTTGTAGTTGATATTACATTCAACAAATAATCCTCCTTCTTCCTCTGATTGTTTCAAGGTGATGACACAATGACAGGAGATGGGGGAGAATACCTTAGGCCTGAGGACCTAAAAGAACTGGGTGATGACTCACTACCCAGCAGTCAGTTCCTGGATGGTATGAATTACCTGCGATACAGCTTGGAGGGAGGACGATCTGACAGGTATTTCATAAAGCTTATACTTGATATCAACCAGAAGTATCTGCAACATATTTTTATGATGATGAGACAAATGTAGATGCAATTATTGAGCACTTAATAGGTACCTTATTAATCTCAGAAGTTAGCATGCTATGTTATTCCATTCTCTAACAACTTGCCCATTTTAAAGAAAAGAAAACTAAGGCCTAGGAAGATAAAATAACTTGGCAAAATCAAACAACTAGTAAGAAGCAAACCCATCATAAATAAGAACTCTTATCGTTTAAATGTGGTGTTTTTAATCACTGGCCACTTTTTCCTCAAAAGGACAATTTTGCCTTACAGACATTCTCACTGAGTGGTATCACAGACACTTTGAATACTCTCCCACCCCCGCTTTTTTGTTAGTGACATATTTCTGTGGATAAAGTATGTTGTGAGGCTGAATTAAAAAGAAATACATTCAGAACAAACTATCTGGAACTGACTTTTTCATGAAAAAGAATCCAAACAGAATATCACGAGAGCCTGGATACAAGAGAAAATCAGAGCACAATCTGAGGGAGCCCAGCATTAATAGACAAATCTGGGAGGTTTATGTGATATTCTGAGATATGCGATCAGTGTTACTTTTTGTTATCATTAACTAGTACTACTGGCACTTGTTGTTTTTTGATGCAAGTTAGGTGATAACATTCTATGGTTCCTCATGGAAAGTGTGACTGATAAGGGAGGCCATGAGTATGGATGTCATAGCTAGGCACAGTGGCATGTACCTGTAGTCTCAGCTACTTGGAAGGCTGACGTTGGAGGATCACTTGAGCCCCAGAATTTAAGTGCAGCCTGGGCAGCTTAGCAAGACATTGTCTCTTAAGACAAAATAGAGTAAGTTTGTCCATGTAGTATAATGTGTTCTGCTGATCAATAATCTCAGGTTTACAGTTTTAAAGTTGGCTCCATTATAAGCTATTTTATGAATATCCAGCATACTTAGAGTCTAAGAAATAAATAGCTAAAAGAGTAATAGAGTCTAAGTGCATAATGAGCAAAACCAAACTTTTCTTGGGCTTTTTCCTTGAGCACCAATGCCCCCTTCCACTATCTTTTTTTTTTTTCTTTAGCTAGATAGACTTGCTACTTCATAGCCTAATGAGATGGGAAAGGGTATAGGCTAGTGGTACACATAGAGGGCCACCAAAGCCCTGAGGCTCTAGGTTACAGGAAAAGATGAAACCAACTGAGACCAAATGATGAGTAATAATGGCGAGGAAAGGTGTTGAGCAAAGGCTCGTAGGGTGTGTAAGAGAAAAGGGAGTGCAGTGTTGCTGGAGTGTAAGTGTGGAGGATCGGGAATTATATTTGCATAGTGGGTGGCTCCTTCTTCCAGTCAGAAAGAGGATGAATTTTAAAGGAGGCTTCCAAAGAGCTAAACCTGGAGATTGCAATCATTCTGAGAAGGAATTGTGCATGTATTAACTGTAGGTGCCGTGAGAGGACTTGCATTCTAACCTTGGTGAGAGTCATGGAGAGAATTTCAGAAATAAAACATTTGAAAGTTTTTTGAGACATGTGTAGGAGGCAAAACCAGTCAGATTTAATAATGAATTTCCTGAGTTAGGTGAAGAAGGGGAAGGAGATTAAATTGACACCTTGGCTTCAATAACTCAGATAAAGGGTGTTCACAGAAGGAGGAGCCCCTCTGGAGGTAGGAGTAGAAGGGACTGGTGTTCCATAAGCCCTCTTGATACATTGATAGATCTGTACCTTATACTCTGAGATTCTTAAAAGATTTCAAATTTGAATAGAATGTAATGTTTATGGCATTGCATAAATTGATGATAATCTGTAACTAGTAATATTACTGTCAACCATAAAGCTTCTATTTTTTGCATGATCTTCCTTATTAAGAATAAGTACTTGATTTGACCTATTTCTCTTCTTTCAAAGTACTTAGGTTGAGGAAGAATTTAGAATAATACTTTCTATGAAACAGGATGGATGGGTCAAATGCTTCTACTTAAATTCAATACTTTTCAGCACATAAGGTCAGGGGACATAAAACAAACAGACATACTGTGTTCTCCAGGTCTCCACTTGCATTTCTAGATCACCAGATGTATTCACCATTTCCAAATCAGAATTGCAGGCAGCATCTCATTTCCATGGTCTTATTCTTTTATTTTTAATTTTGCTTAGGCAATTCAATATAAGTTACCTGTTTTCAGTGACCATTTTTTCCTTTGCATTATGTCTTTATTTGAATTGCTTTCACTAGTACCATGCCCAGGTAGGTATTAACAGAGCATGGAAACAAGCCCTTCCTGGATTTATCCACATTTCCCTGCTCACCGCTCAACCTGTGTGTGTGTGTGTGTGTGTTGCTGGGGACGGGGGGTGCTTATATTCTAGAATTATGGATTTATTCTAAAATAAAGAGTTTTATATATTAAAATGAGTAACTAACTGAGCTAGAAGAGGTGGATATATGATTAAAATGAAAATCTGTGACATGACCCAGGTATGGCTTTGTTTCAACTATCACAGCTCCACCTTGTGGTTGATAACACATTAGCATGGCTTCCTCCAAACAACCCCAATTAGCCTATGTGTAGTTGGAGAAGACAGAAAAAATAGGCCGGGTGCAGTGGCTCAAGCCTGTAATCCCAGCACTTTGGGAGTCCGAGGTGGGTGGATCACGAGGTCGAGATATCGAGACCATCCTGGTCAACATGGTGAAACCCCGTCTCTACTAAAAAAATATAAAAAATTAGCTGGGCATGGTGGCGCGTGCCTGTAATCCCAGCTACTCAGGAGGCTGAGGCAGGAGAATTGCCTGAACCCAGGAGGCAGAGGTTGCGGTGAGCTGAGATCGTGCCATTGCACCCCAGACTGGGTAATAAGAGCGAAACTCCGTCTCAAAAAAAAAAAAAAAAAAAAAAAAGAAAAAGAAAAAATAACCTGATACCTAAAATATACATAGATATGGAAGATTGCAAATGCATATAATTTAGTGCAAATTAAATACAAATATAACCAAGTTATGATTAGTTGGATTTTATGTCTGTTTTATTTTATTGTTGCTTCCAAATTAAAAATACTTTCCAAATTTAATATAAAATGCTAAATAACAATGAACCACAGAAACTTCTTCAGGTTTTAAAACAAATTCATTGAAAATTTTGGATTTCTACTTGTTCAATAAAGTTTGCAACTCCACTAATTGAATGTTTAATAAATATTACAGTTTAGCAAGATAGTAATTATTATACTTTTCAATAAAATTACACTTTCCTACCACCTATTTGTTCAGAAAACAGTTGTACCATAGTCCAATAAAAAGTATAAATTAAGACCATAACAAAACCGCTATCACATCCCCTAGCTGAACAGCAAATAAAACTTTACACTTCTATGGCTATGTTATTATACATTTATTAAGTTAATAGCAGAACCATTGACTTAATGAAAAATTGGTAACTGTATTGGAAAATATTTAAACTTGTTTTTAATGTCTGAAATCAGAGTGAACAGTTTCTGACCCAAGGACTTAAATTATTCCAGACCTTTGTTGTGCTGGTTATATGATTTTACTGAGAATAATTCTTCAGTTATATTATTTTAGAGAGGATATTCTTTTAGAGGGAATAATTTCTCTGCTGTTGGAATAGTCTGTTTTTATTTCATTTAAGTAGATTATATGACATCATTTTTTTCAAAAGCAGTTAGAAACTATACACATTGATTAAACAATCAATTAATATTCAGAAAGCAGTAAGTAGAGGAAGTTAAAGTAAAACTTAGAGAAAGGTAGACACTCCGATATATGATTTTGATTTATTCATTCTTGCTTCCTCTCTCTGTCCAACTTTTCTCACTTTCTGTGTATATATCCTCATATCGTTCTCTCTCTAATCAATTTTTTGTCGTCAGATATCACTTTGTTTCCTTCTTTCTCTTCTTATTGGGGTTTTAGGAAAGACAAAAATCACCAGCACTTCTCTGTTCCTCTCAGTACAAAACCAATTTAGAGAAAGACTCAGGTGTCAACTAAATGGATATCAAAATTTCACTTTTATGAATGATACGCTGATTGCAAAGTGTGGCTTTACTTTTGTAGCCCAATGGGCTCTTTAATAACACATTCCTGAAATAGACTTGTCTGCTTAGCCATAGTCACTCCCTGAGAGCGGTAATTGAGACTTCATTCATTCTTTCAAAGTTTAGACATTTGCAATCTGGGAGCCACATCACAAGGTTTTATTTGAGGTACCATTATTTACCATTCAGTTTGTTCTCATTCAAATTAAATTTCCATTTTCCCTTTTGAGACCAGTGTTTCTGCTATTCCAGAAGATGGTTGAGTCCATAGACAAGCCGTATTGGAAATAGAAGAGGTTGGCTCCTCTACTATTTTCCCTTCCTTGGCCAATTTCAAAACAAAATAAAAGTAAATAGAATTTAAGAGTTGCTGATCTAATGCACCTGGTACAAAACACATCCAAGTGAATCTTAGCTATCTTTGTCATTTACAGAAGGAAAAAACTCATCTATTCCACCAACTGAGACAGGCTTTTGCTGAGATTAACCTTTTTCCCGATAATTTAATTTCCCATCAAAAGCTAAATGTAAAACCAGTTGTAATACAAATAGCCTCCAATTGCTGGAGCTAAAACTCTTGTTGATGAAATTATTTAGGCTCTGTCAAGAGCCTCAATCTTCTCCAAGAGCCTAATAACATAAAATAGCTAATTCTCAAATTATATTTAGATTTTGTTTTATTATAAACACAGATTTATGTATGTGTAAACACATAGGATCAGACAATCAACTCCTTTTATTCATGTCACTTACCCTTTAAGACTCCTTTTTGGAATATACCTACATGTAAAGTAAGAAGGAGGAGGTCCTGGATTACTATGAATTACCTATAAAGTGATGACTCCATCAAAGACAATTGATGCTGGCTATATTGACATCTCATACATATGATAGCACATTGCTTACAAAATTAAATATACTGGCAAAATGCAGATAGTTTCTACTAATAAATATGCTAATTTAACATTCAGTCCATAATTCTATAGTGCTTCATTAACCAAACACCTACTAGCTAAAAGTAAATGAACGTTTGCTTCTATTGTGAAAGCTTGCATATCTCTTTTTTTCCCTTATGGGCTTTGGGCTAATATTTTGAACATAGATCTTTAATACTTGAACTATACTGTATAAAATATAGTTTATTTAAGTGATCAATCTATTCTTTGAGTTTACAAATTGATTTAAAAGGAATGAGTTTGCATCTATGCAAATGTCAAGTTTTACCTATTACATTTGAGTATGTAATTTAGAACTTCAAAATTCAGACCTTTCAAAAATGTAATGCATGGTTTATCAAGGCCTAAATCCCATTTTGAAGCAAAACCTCACTTTTGGTCCATGGCCATTGGCAATTTGTCTTTGTGCTGGCAGGTGTGTCTGTGTTCTGGGCTGGAGCTTAGAAACAGTTTCTTGTGCTCATGCATCTCATCACCACGGCAACCAACACTCTGGTGCTTCACTCACCACATACAGGACATGCACAGGGGACAGTGCTCTCGTTTGAAATAATAGCATTGTTGGAGTCACCAGAGACAAACAAGAGGAACTTCACTTCCGCAGGAAGCATGCTTCTGGCCACAGTCCATTTCACTCTGTACCTTCCAGGGGAATGCACCAACATTCAGTCATTCACAGTTCAAAGAGGAGGAGAAAGAGGCATGGAGAGAAAATGGAAACTAATGAGCGAAAATGAAACTGGGCTTTCATTTTGTTCTTCTCTCTGAGAGCTGTCTACTTTCCTCCTAATATTTTTCTTAGTTGCAGGGAGATTAACATTTAGCACAGATTTAAGCAATCTATCCTGGAATTATTTCCTGTGAGAATTTCTTGTCCTGGCAGTAATAAACTACAGTTGCTGGTTTCAAACATTTCTGGGAAGAAAATGAATCAGATTAGGAGTATCAAATTTTAACTTCTGGATTCCCTTGTGCTCTTGCCATTGAGCAGTAGGAACCTGTCAAAGGATGTGTTAGTTTAGCTGTTGAACAAAAAGGTAGGACAACACAGAGACTTGTGTCCCCCTGGAAGTTGCGCTGTTAGCTAATAGCACGCTTTTTTCACTCTCCTGCTCGGCTCATCATTTTGTCATCCCAACCCTACTACCGCTGTTGATATATGCCATGGCCTCCTGCCCACCTACCAGCCTTCGATCCTTCAGTTCCGACAGGTCTCACACTCTGAGCCATGCCTCCTACCTGAGGGACAGTGCTGTGATGGACGACTCCGTTGTGATTCCCAGTCACCAGGTACGTGACATTTTTTCTTCATGTCTTTGCTGTCTTGAGAGCTTTTTAACATTATCGGATGCTAGAAATGTCCTGAGAAAGTTTTTAATTCTCCCCAAAATCATTCTTAATTTGGTTGACAAGCTAGGATAAGAGATTTGAGGATTTTCCTAAAATGTGAAAAATGTTCATTAGATGTTTTCCAATGAGCAGCGTTTTTCTGAAAAAGCATACTGCTTATTTCTTCGGCTATACTGAATTCTTCTGTGGAGATTATATATACACATTATTTTTTAAACAAACATAAAATCTTCATTAAAGGAAAAAGAGAGGTGGGATGCATTTAAGGGATGAATGCTACAGGTTAAGTTGTATCTTTCAATATTTAAAATTGCTAGCTATGAGAAAGGCTTAAAGTTTATTGTGGAATATTTTAATTCTAGTTAGGATTTTATCACTTTTGGTAGATTGGGTACAGGGAAGTAGATGGGTACCTACTCTCTTCAAAGACAGTTACACAAATGTAATCTTATATAATCTATTTAATAATGCAATTTAAAAGAGAATGCATTTTAAAAGATTCATTGTAAATAATACATTGGTCTTATATTTTTTTAATGAAAATTTTCCTAGGTAAACACTTTCCAGTGACGCCACTTTTTACATTTCATTATATTTTACTTTAATTGAAGCAAAGTGTTTTTATTCAATCCAGTGTTCTTTGTGTTTAGGTGTCAGCTCTAGCCAAGGAGGCAGAAAGGAATTCTTATCGCCTAAGCTGGGGCACTGAGAACTTAGACAACGTGGCTCTTTCTTCTAGTCCTATTCATTCAGGGTGAGTAAATCAATATTATGTATCCTGATCAAGAGGTAAAAAGAGATGGGGGTGAAAGTAACAGCTTTGTCCAGTAGCTTTAGCTGGTGACTAGCTTTACAGTGGAGGTGCCCTTTGTTTAAACTTGTAAATAACATTGCTTTATCCAACATAAACTCTATATCTACAGCAACAAACCAACAAAAAAGGTTGAATTCAGCATTAAAAAACTATTCTTTTAAAACAACTCATAGAATGCATCAAACAGCTTGCTACCTAACTGGAACGTACTGGCCTTCCTACTATTCATGTACTATCTTTAAGACATCTTAAAAAGAGGAGCTGAATCATTTGATTTCCAGAAAGTTTCTATTTATTAGGATTAGCTGATTGGTTCAATGAAATAAATGCCTTTCTCAGATGTTAATGCATTTAAAATAATGTTACAGAAGTTTGAATCACACAAATGTATAGAGGAGTTTATATATTATTTGAAGTAGGGATATAAAGAAAAAGGGAAATTTGAATGCAACCAGTCAGGTTCTCAGTCATCTTCTTAAAGTCATTCAGAGCATGTACACACCAGTGTTGAAGCAATGCTGCCTGTTTTTATTAACTCATTAAAAAATAGGAGTTCGAGTCATACTTTCAAACATACTTAAAGTTGTTCTTAAGGTGTTCAGTTGTGTGGAGTATAAATTCCTTTAGGAGTTTTAAATTGTAAAACTCTTCCAATTTTTTCCTTACATATTAGTAGTTTCCAATAATATAGCAATATCATAATTATATATATAATTTCTATTTTTATTATTTTTAAAGCACTATTTATATTCTATATATCAGAATGCAGTCCTTTGGTTTTAATTATTATCCCAAAATTTCAATCCATAAATTTCAGAACTATTTTGAAAAGTAGATCCTTTCTTATTTTTATTATTCTAAAATATTCTCCTTTTAGGAAAGAGTTCAAGATGTTTTAGTTAAAAATTTTAGACTTCTTCAACTAATCTTCTACTAAGTAAAGGTTCATACAATAATATTAGTTACATACTTATTGAAAACAATCCTAATACTCTTTTCCTTGTTAAATAAGTAGAGGCTAGTTTCTGATGGAAGAGTTATTAATGAGAATAAAAAACACTTCATTCAAATTTACTTACTTTTTTTTTTAAAAAAAAGCTATAAATTACTCAAAAAGTATAACATTGCATTCTGCTAGTAAACTTCTTCACAATGATGAGTAAGAAGGAAAAGAGGCCTGGATGTAGAATATTGAAGGAACATAGATAAGACTCTAGAAACCTTAATAAGGTGTTTAAAATTCATATGCAGCCTACAAAGCGATGAGATGATTTTAGGTAAAATGTAATTGACTAATAATAACTGAATTTACAAAAGAGTAAGTGCATGGCAAAACTTCAGTTTTCAAAATGAATCACTTATATTTTAAAAAAGGAACTTTTGAAAGAGTTCTTTCATTACTGAAAAGTAGCAAAATAGTCTAAATACCTCAATTACACCTCACTTGTATACAACTAGATACTAAGTAATTATGGTGCATTACTTATAATGAACCAACAGCATCCAGTAATTACAGATGAATTACTTGTTAAGACAAAGATCTTTAAATTCATAGTCTTCAATAAGCCAGTTTTCCTATGAATCTTAAGCATTTAATACTGACTCTGAATAATTCTCAACTTTAGCTGTGCATTAGAATCACCTAGGAGCTTTAAAAAATACTAGTGTCCAGGCCTCAACCCAGATCAATTATTTTAGAATCTCTCCTTTGGGGGGCCTGGCACTGATACTGTCTACAAGCACCTATAGTACAGATGCTTTATATAAACTGTTAGGAAAAACTTTGCTTAATAAGGCTTTGGTTATTAGAGAGCTAGTTAATTAAGGTATACTTAGTTCTTGCAAATGTTCTTTACTTCTTCCATTCACTTAGGTATTCATTCTTCACACATTTGTGCAATTCTACAAAGTACCTGACATTGTGCCAGGTACTAAGGAAAATAGCTAAGTAAGATCTAGCCCCTGCCTTTAGAAAACACATTATATGTTTTTATTTAAAGTTAGAAGACACTGGATCTGTAAAGAGAGGGAAACATGGCGGTTAAAAGTGTGCTTTGGAGTCAGACCTATCAGGATTAAATCCTGACACTAATAGTCATATGTGACACCAGACACAAGTTATATAAAAATCTCTGAGTTTCAGTTTCCTTATCTATAAGATGAGTATTATATTATTGATCCCATAGGTGAACTTTAATAACTAAATGCTTTTTAAATAATTAGTACTAATAAGTGCTCAGTAGATTATAGCTATTAGTATTTGTACAGTCACCATACACATGTTCCAGATTTTCACAAATTGCATATCAGTTAAGCGAAATGTATTTTGACTCCTCTAAATGACGACATCAATATGGTTCACTTTTCAGTAGTAATGATTGACTTGCTGTTATTTTTAATTAGGGAAATTATTCTCTATTAGCGTCTCTAGTGTTTGAACAAGCACAATGCATTTGATGACTCTAATAGGATGGGTTATTGCTATTGAAAACTCAATGATTCTGGGTTTCCTGATATTTGAAAGCTACCATGATATTAATGTATATGAGTAACACTCATCATACCATGTCATGTAGCAAGATTTTTTGTAATTTTATTCATTATATACCAAGTTCCTAAATAGTAGCTTTTATTTATTTTTGGAGAAGTTAGTTTTTATTTAATTAATTGGGTGAATTCTTAAGCCACTTCAAGATCTACCCAAAATGTAAGAAAACACACACACACACATACACACACACTTTTTTTTTTGTGGAGATGAAGTCTTGCTCTGTCATCTAGATTGGAGTGTAGTGGCTGATCTCAGCTCACTGTAACTTCCAACTCCTGGGTTCAAGCGATTCTCCTGCCTCAGCCTCCCAAGTAGCTGGGACTACAGGCATGCACCACCATGCCCAGCTAACTTTGTATTTTTGGTAGAAACAGGGTTTTGACCTGTTGGCAAGGCTGGTCTCAAACTCCTGACCTCAGGTGATCTGCCCACCTTGGCCTTCCAAAGTGCTGGGATTACAGGTGTGAGCCACGGTGCCTAGCCAAAAAATAGATAATTTGATAGAAGTCATAATAAAGTTAGTTTTTTATTCACATGCCACTGATTTGTACATATAGTGTTCTCTTAAATGTAATAAAGTGATTTTAGTTGAATAGAAGACACTGTTTCTACCAATAAGCAGTATTGGTGATTTTATTTTACCTCTACGTTATGTTTCCAGTGACTAATGTTCATCAGTACAGGACAATAGGTATCAGTGATTTAAAAAATCTGTTCTGCTCAATAGACACAGCCAATATCTGTGAAAGAAAGACTAATATTTTCTGTTTATGTTAAATCATTGTCTTCTGATTCACAATGACTCTAATCAACACTCACTGCTAGTATCCCAGTCATGATCATAACAACAGTCTTGGACAAGAATTTTAATCTTACAAATCTTCATCATTTCATAAGTGCATTAGAAATTAGAAAATGCAAGACACAATTCCTAGCAGTAGCTAGCTTTGTAAATCATATTAAATGTTGTTGTTCCAAAGTCCTTTAGTTTTTGTAGTGTTTTAATTATAGTCAAATGACAACAATTAAATGTCAATTCATGATATTGTGCTACACAATATTACATTAACTAGGGGTCTATAAGGTGATCTTTTAAAAAACCTTTTTTTTCATAAAAGCATGTTGAAGGCAATTTTGTTGTTTACCTAAAATTGCTCCAAAAATAAAGTCTATTTTAAAAAACATCTTGAAGATGTTCTCTCAAACAGTGGGATATTTGGAATGCGAGGAAGTTGAGGTTCTCGTCTGACAACATTAATGTTTATCTAATATGTATGGCAGTTAGGTTAGTTGTTCATGTATTTCACAACACCCTAGACTTTTCTTTTAGCTACATAAAGGTGAATCTTTTAGATGAAGAAAATTGTTTCATAATAAGTAGCAAAACAAATGTTTTATAAGGTTGGATTTGTGCTCCATTAAGCATGCATACTTTTGTACGTCATTAGGGTTGAAAACACAAGAGAATCATGTAAAAACTTACAGAAGGTTTTACGGAAGAGCAGACTCATAGGTAGAAGAGGAGTGAAAGGTAGAACCATAATGTGGGATTAGATATTATGACCAGTGAGGAGGACAGCAATCTCTAAAGCAGGAAATGAAGTATTGACCAAGCCTTTGTTTGCATAGTTTGTTTTTGCTACAATCTAGTGGGTAATTGGTATTACCTACCCTGCCTTATATTTTATGCTACTGTTTGTCATTGAAGCTATACTTTAAAGTGTGCCCTCTCTTTTTGCATTTCTTCTGTTATAGATCAAAAGGTTATTATTATGATTTTTTAAAGTATTAAATGTCTAAAATGTTTTTGTGTCAAAACTATGTCTATCAAATCAGAGCCTTTATGTTTTTCATCATAATACCCCTTGATGTTTCCGTAGCTTCTTGGACACTCAGACTTTGTTAAGCACCATCACGACCCAGTGTTGACCAAGGTTACAAATCCATATCCAGTGATTTTATAACATCCCCAATTCCCTAAACTGGAAGTTGCCACGAAGCCCCCATACCTTGCTCTTCTCTCAGCATTTGAATAGAGCTATATCTCATTTGGATTCCATTTGTTTTCAATGAATACTGTATTGGTGTAAAAATATGTATTTCAGTTGAGAGTCACTTTTGATTTTCTTCCTTATATTTCACTTCATCCGTTCCTTCTCTGTGCTAAAGTATCTATTCTGTTGCAGCCGCGCCTCTCCATGTCTTGATCGTGACAACAGCAGGTGAACTTCTGCATAATTCTTTATCTGAACATGTTGCCTATCCTCTCCCCCTTTACCATCTCCTTCTGCGTATTCCTTGCCTCAGGATGCTTTAGTGTGAAGATACCTAGCCAAAGAGAGAGAAAGATTGATGTTCTCCAAATCATGGCTATTGCTGAATTCCCCTTTCTCTATGATGAGGAGAAAGTGGTCTTTTTAATTTCAGTGGAAATAAAGTGGGGCTGTCCCAGACTTAATGTGGTCCGCCTGTCTTGGTCCTGGGTCTCCACATCTCCAGCTTCCTTTGTGAGAAAAAGTGCTACATGGAGATGAAAAATGTTGTTCCCCACAGTCATGCAAATTGGTTGAGCTATTTTAAGGTTTTATTAAAGGTTATGATTTTAACTGGCACTTAGCAGAGGTTTTTTTTGGTTGTAGTTCTGGGTTTTATTTTAAATACTATATTCTAGGTGAGGCAAAGGCTGAAAGTGTATTAATAGTGCTTTTCCTTGCTAGTAAGTAGTGCTATAAATGCAACCTTTTGATATTTTAGAAATTGTATTATGGAATGACTCTAGTCAGTGTTCTAAAAATACCCATTATTCTGTTATTTATTTAAAGTTATTTTTAAAGGTTCTGATTAGACTGATAATTATAGTATTTTTTATTATACAGCCATTCAGTATGGTACTACAGATTGTCAGTCTACCAAAAAGACAGTTTGTATTTTTATTTTTGAAAACTTTTATATACATTCTTATACTTTTTCTCAAATGCATGCTATTGTCTTTCCATACACGACCACAGTGGTTGATAAAGAATTGTTTGGTGATTTTAACAAATTTGAACCACTTTTTTCAAAGCCATTCCAAGCAATTTTTCAGTTTGTAGAATTTCGAGGATTAGGAAAGAATTAAGGGAGTTAGAGAAGAGAAAGAGCTCATGTTATGGTTTTGCTCACCATGCCTCAGAAGTCAGATTTAATCTGAGGCCCTCTTGCTATGTATATGAGGATCACTGAAGCACTCTGATGATTTTTTTTTTCCTGTTCTTACAACTAACTCTGAATGCTGCAATCTCCTTCCCATTCCCATCCCATGGTCCTTGATGACTTAAAAATAAAACTAAAGGAGTAATAACTTTGGAGGTGGAGGATGTAGTCCTCAAAAGACTGGATCATGGTTTTCTGCTGCCTCCTCTGAAGCATGTACTGTTTAGTTAATCAAATTGTGTATTTGTAGGCAAATCATCCGCATAATAATGGTTGCTTTTGCTTTTATTCTTTTTAAATTGTGATAACATTGTATCTCACAATTTAGAAAACTTCAACAAGAGTTTCTACTTTGCATGATTGCTGAATTTCATTTGGAGAGTAAGAGATGCAATTAAAACTGAATGTTAAATGATATTTTTTGTCTGTTCAATCTTAAGTTGATGTTTAGTGCAGTGTGTGTACATAATTTCTGCAGAACAGCTGTTTTAAGAATTAAGCAAAAATAATATATATTTCTTGAAGTAATAGCAGTTTATTTTCCAATTAGGAATTTTTTCAGAGCAGCTGAAATATTTAAGTACGTTTCCTAGCCTACTTAATAGTAAACTGTGCATAGAATTGTAATACTGGAAGGCAACTTAGAGTCTATTTAGTAGAAGTCTCCCATTTTATGGATAAGAAAACTGAAACCTAAAGATGTTAAGTGACTTACCTGAGGTTACAACATTAATTCAAGACAGAGATATATCTAGATCCAGGGAAGAGTATGGTACTTGCTGCATTTTCCTGTGCTTTGTGATAATAGTATGTTTTATATTTTATTTAAGCAGTAAATTTGATAAACTAATACAAATTTCATTATCATATTAAATTACTTAGCATAGTTCCAGGTTCACTGTAGGTACTCAATAAAGGTTAGTTTCTCCATTTATTTTTCAAGTGGTGTATTGTATTATTTTTAAGATATTTAAAATATGTAAAATCCTATGAGTGTAGAGAAAGGAAAATGATGGGAACTATCATCTATTGAATTCTGTATGCTTTACCCACACAAGATTTAATTCTCACCATAACCTTAAGTGATAACAGTGTTATTTTTCATTGGCAGGTGAGGCTTCAATGTTAAAGCTCATAGATGACAGGCAGAGTCATCAATCCATATTACCACCTCCTCTAAACATAGTTAATTATATGTTTTTACTTTAATTATTTTCATCTTTAGATGTTTATAAGGATTGTCTTGTCCCATTTTAATCTCCTGCAAACATGAGAAAAATCATATTGATTCAGTCTATTCTAGTATGTGAACCACTCACCGCATGACTCATACCTTCTAACCTTTCACATTTTCCTGTGGTACATAGAAGTACATTTGCTTGCAATTTGTTTTTTGCTTATTTGCAGTTGTTTGCTACATGGTAGAATACCTGTCTCCTAACTCTACTACCTGTCCAAATAGTGGCACTTTTGGATATTCTGATATTTTTAATGAAAATGCTCAAATGCTTACCCAATTTTATATTATCAACTATTGGGATTAACATATGAGCATGCTGACTATTGTCAACAGACTTTTCGTAAGCACCTAGCGATAAATTTGAGTTATTTTTTCTATTCTTTCTTAAATAAAAGACTTCTTTCATTATGCAATTTTGTAAATTCAGCATTTTTATCATCTATTTGGCAATTACATTATTTGAGTCCAATTTGTTTATTTTCTTGCGGATTTATAAACATTTTTACTCATTTTGACTATTAATATTTAGCTTTTTTTATGTCTTCCAACATTTTTGTTTCTTTCTTGACATCTTTCTGTTTTACTTTTCTTCTCTCTCTTTTTCTCTTCTAAAGAAAATTTCCTCACTACAGCTTGGTGGGTTTTTTTTTTTTTTTTTTTTTTTTTGGTTTGTGTTTCTTCCTTTAGTTACATGATAAAAACACAAAGTCTTGTTTTCTTTAAAAATTTAGTTTAGGCCAAGTATGGTGGCTCATACCTGTAATCCCAGCACTTTGGAAGTCCAAGGTAGGAGGATTGCTTAAGCCAAGGAGTTCAAAACCAGCCTGAGCAACATAGGGAAACCCCATCTCTGAAAAAAAAAAATCAGTCAGGTGTGATGATGCTGCCTGTATTCCTAGCTACTCAGGAGGCTGACTTGGGAGGATTACTTGAGCCCAGAAGGTTGAGGTTATAGGGTGCTATGACAGCACCATTAAACTCCAGCCTGGGTAATAGAGTGAGACCCTATCTTAAGGAAAAAAAATATTTTTTTCTCTGAATTATGCATATTGGGACCTTTAATTTTTTAGTTTGCTTTGGATTTTTGTGGAATACTTAAATATTACTTTCCAGATCTACCATGACACAGAGATACTTTTAGGTAAATTTATCTGCTTGCAGCTTCAGGCTTTAAGTGCTTTTATTTTGATTTTCCCATCTTTGGTCTTTCTTCATATAATCTTCACTTCTATTGAGATTGTTTATTTTGTTAAATTCAGACTTCTGGTTTTTGCTTACTTTCATTTTCTACTAATTCTCTCTCAGAGGAAATAAGTTTATTAGGTTTCTCCATTTACATTAGAGCAGGAATAAGATTGTAGAAGAATATTTAATGTTAAGAATAGTCGTTCCCAACTGCTTTCCTACATCTGAATATAGTGATTTGAATGACTTCTGACTGCTCTGATTGTCCAGAGACTAAAGAATTAAATTTTCTCCTTGTTACCCTTAGACATAAATATATACAGCTCCTCACATCTTGCCCTTTTCACTCTGCTGTACGTTCGCTTACTCAACAGATATTTATTGACTACCTACTAAGCGCTCCATCCACATTGTGCTGGGATGGAATTAATATGGAGGACACAGGAATTAATATGGAGAAAATGCTCATTGTGTGGACTAGCCATTTCTCGGTGACCAGGCTGAACAATGATGAAACCATCGTGTGATGTCTGGGGCTCAGACCATGGACTTTTTGGCAGCAGCTGCTGTGTCTTTACTTTCTGTATCCTCAGTTCCTAGCAGGGCACTTGACACTTAATAGGAGGACAACAAATGTTGCATGAAAAGGAGCATAGAAATAGAAATATAGAGCAAGTGAGAACAAAAAGAGGGTTTCAAGAGAAACAGTCAGTGACACAATCAGGGCCAGTAATCTAACCTGTAGTTGCTTAAACAAGAACTTAGCTACTCCAATGCACTCTTTAGAGAATGGGCCACCAGAAGATACTCCACTTTTTCTATGAAGGCTCCACGTTATATAGGCCATAAGCCATCACTGCAATAAATGTAGTGGAGAGGTTATAGCTTACAACATGAGTGTGGAAATTTCTTAAATGCCTTCAAGGGTATAAACAGTACTGAGGATTGATAACATTAAGCAGATATAATAATTCCTTACTAGTTTGAGTTCCTGTCTGTGCACCAATGGAGGCAGTAACCAAAAGATGAAGAAAAAAAAGAGAAAATATTAATCTTATTTATCACTGAGTCAAAAATATTACTGAATTGGAAGCAGCACCAGTTGAAATATGTCACTTTTTGCTACCTGTTTTTACAAGAATCAACCCAAGTATCCTATTCAAATAAAAACAATAAAACGGAAAGGAAAACTTTATATCCATCTAGAAGTGTTACCAGTATTTTCATTCTTTTGAGCAACAAATAGTTCACGTAAAAGTCAAATAAAAAAGAAAATTTTAAAGAATTCATACCTGAAGACTAGTAATAAGAAAAGTGGCAAAGATTTCTCATTATGTTTTGATAAAGACTAGAAACGTCAGCACTTCAGTACTGAACTGTTGATTGTACTTGCCGGTTTTTACTCCTTCCTGAAAACGTAAGCGGGCTAGGTGTGAATGGCAGGTCTAGCCTGGCCCCTGCATGTGGGAAGGACTGTGCTGCCTCTTGTGGTCTCATCCTGCATGATGTGCTTCAGACAGGCACTCTGGGCTCATTCGCACCAATTTTGATTACTAGCCACAGGATTTTTGTTTAATAGCATGTTTAATGAGTTCTGTGTTCTGCTTTGAAGAAGATGCTAAGATATTTTTCTTCATTTATCTAAAAATAACATAAATGTTTTCTGCTTATATCCTTATAACTTGCTTTGATAAAATACTTTTCAAATGTTTTTAATGTTGTCATGGAGGCAATATCTAGGTGTGACAAATTCAGTTGGTTCTGTGCTGATCAAATTATAAGCAGAGCCATGATACACCTATATGTTGTTTTCCTCTTCCCATTTTGGTGTAAAGATCTTGCAAATGCAATGAAAATTGGAAAAGACACTAATGTGATTTGTGAAAGAGCGTACACACAGTTTGTATGTCTTTGTATATGTGTACACAATGCTTAGATTGCCGTGTTGTTCAATTTTTGCTCCTTGACACAGTAAGTGCCTGGGAGACTTTATTGAGAGATAATACTAACCAAATGACAAGCATTCAAATTAACCTGGATCAGGATCTGCTAAGACCATCCCAAAGGAAACAACTTCGAAGTTAAGACAAACCCTTTCTCTTGGTACACTTAAAATAAACAAACCAAGTCACTTCGGATTATAGTTCTCCTTTTTCATGAACAATTAGCCTAGCAGAAAAGGAGAAAAAATAATGGGGATTCTCTTGACATTTCTAAATTATAAGCTGTGATTTTTTACATTCAGTTGGTTATAATTTGAGGAAAATCATGATACAGATGATACAGATATCCTCCACTAGCATGAGCCCAGGGTTTCCCACTCCTGAAATTTCACTCAAAAAATGTTGTGTGGAGGGCTCTAGTTGTTTCCTATCCACCTGCTCTTTGTTTCAATTAGAATGGTATGGCAGAGAGATTCCTCCTTAATAAGTAAAAAAGTACATTTTAACCAGCAAATTGGTTCAGTTCAAAACCTTTAATTATTTTGCTTTTCTCCTCCTTTAGGATATAATCAGTTAAAAATCTACATCCTGGGTAAGATGATTTTGGAACAGGATGCAGAAAAACTGCAGTTTGGTCTTTTCACTCTATCCTTGTATTATTTCAACATGTAGATATTTTAGGACATACAAGTAAGGAAGCAGAAGTCTTTGCATTTATAACAAAAGGAAACTTGTCAACTGTTCTTTATGTAATTTCATTCAATTTTCTTTTAAAATTCATTAGACTTATTTTGAATTTACAGTTTATATTTTCAGCAAAAATTAGAATTCTTCTTTACAGATTAAAATAATATAAAAATTAAAACAACAACAAAACAGAATTAAAGGCATTGGTATAAAGTAAAATCACTTTTAAAAACAAACATTTTGCCACCGTGCATTTAAATTAAAAAAAGAGAGATTTTGAGAACAAAGCATTATGAAAAACAACTTGACAAAGCTTGTTCATCCGCTCCCAATATTTCAAAGCATATCTAATCTTCTATTTTAATTTTCAGTTTCCTGGTTAGTTTTATGGTGGATGCCCGAGGTGGTGCTATGCGAGGATGCAGACACAATGGGCTCCGAATCATTATTCCACCTCGGAAATGCACTGCTCCAACACGAGTCACCTGCCGGCTGGTCAAACGCCATAGACTGGCAACAATGCCTCCAATGGTGGAAGGGGAAGGCCTGGCCAGTCGCCTGATCGAAGTTGGACCTTCTGGTGCTCAGTTCCTTGGGTAAGGGTTTCTGATAAACCTCCCATTTAGTCACCGATGAGCTTGTGTCCTCCACATGAAATCTCTAAGATGGAATGGAAAAAGGTACGTCAAACCATTTTGAAAACGGATTGGCGCCAATGACATTTTTAAAATTGGAAGTAGCACCTCAATGCTTGACTCCACTTACACGCCTCTTACTTTAAGGCACTAATGAGTTAAGCATTCAGGTTGAATACCACCTATTCTTTTTGGATGTAATAATAGCTGCCAGACCCCCAATGTGAATAACCATATTTTAGCCAATGGTAGGTATTTTTTTTTCATCTGAGAATTAAGTAATAAAGTAACAAAGAAAAAAATTCTACTGTGTTCCAAACATAAATGTAAATTCTTATGTAGTTATGAAACAGAATCATTATCTTTACTTTGGAAAGCAATGTTACCTTTATAGAATACCTACAATTTTAATCAATGTGGGTTTTTTTTCTGCTATCGAAATTGCTACATTGAGCCTTATCATTACATTGGTTGTCTATTTAATCACAGTTTATATCAGGACAAATACATCAAGACTTAACTTCTGCCATGCTCATTTTGGCAATTTTGAACAGAATTTAGCATTTCTTCTTTCTTCTGTTTGTTTGTATGGCTGCTATTATATTAAGTGGCATTTCAACGTGCCAGGAAATGAATAGCTACAGCGGAAATTAACAAAAGGATGAAATTTTGTAGGGGGACAAGTTTCAAAATATTTTGAAACAAATCAATTGTATTTAAGTCTTGGTGCTTGAAATACTGGGAGAAAATCCTAATAATCGTGAACTGTTTTACGTTGCTGATGTCATACTGGGAAGAGGATTTCTTGCTTTAGAACTCAGGAAATGTTCTAAAGCTTTGTAATTTGGACCAAGCTATTAGCAGATTGCTCCAAATTATATGCACACCCAAAAAGGGGTGTGTTTGTATTTCCCAATTATAGCAACCACCTCTCATGTCCTCCAATCAGACAGACCAGAGCTTTAGAAGGAGCCTGTGAAGTTCTGGGTTGCATCAGAAAATGCCATTATGGTTGGAGTAATTCCCCAATGGTTCTTTTCCTATTCTGTGTCAGACCCTTCTCCCCTCATGCTCAGGTAGTTTAGGCTTTTCAATAATCTTCAGCTCTGTTGGGGAATATTCATGAAAACATCTGGCCTCCGTACAGGGCAGAGTTTTCATCATATTCCCAACAGCTTGTCTTTCTTGTGGAGCATTTTTTCCCCCTTTTTGGCTAGTGCCCTGGCGGTGAACCTAATTAGGGACAGACCAGACAGCTAAGTGCTCTCCTTGCACAGACGCGCCTCCATTGTACACTCTGGGTCTTCTGTTCCTTGCTCTTTGTGACCAATGGAGGGGGCAGAACCAAACGCAGTGTGAAACCAAAGTTCACCCTGTGGATCAGCTGGTGATGCTGGGGTTCTGTGGAAAACAATACCTGAAGCTTACCTATGTTCTTTCTTTCACTGCTGCTTTGGATGTACTCAGTAAACTTCACCTGCCAACGGCTCCTCCCCCACTTAATGAGGGAGAAAGTTTGGTCAGCCGCATTCTTCAGCTGGGGCCTCCTGGAACCAAATTCCTTGGGTAGGAGTGACTTAAAACAAATTGATGGCTGCTGGCCCCCCATTCTTCTCCTTCTTCTGCAATATGATTTCTCTTTTTGTCATTGTGCCCATGACATGTCCCTCTCTATTATTTAAATTCTGTATAACCTATCTTTAGTGGACCATTTCTGACCCTTGTGGTATGTGACTTTTATTTTTGAGTGATGTTTTTATATCTTTCCCCTTAAAGTGCTGTGACCTTCATTTTCGTTTAAGCATGAGATCTGCCTAGTTGTACTATGTGCTAGTTATGATGTTGTTATGATGAATTTGGAGTCTGTATCAAAGCAACCTGGACCCAAAAATCAAAACCCTGTATATATTTTGAGAACGAATGTGACCTAAAAGTAATAGGGCAGTGCATGTTCCGGATCCTGTATGTAATAGGCATTGAACACAATTGGGCTGTCTGCTGAGGGCCTCAATTAGGACCACACTGTGTACACATGCCTATTGTTTCCTTGAATGAAGAAAATATAACCAAAAACCACGAGTGCATGGCTCTTTAGTTCACAAGTAGTCGATTTTCTGACATCTCCTCATTTATGGCACATCAAATTATGCAATGTGTAAGCCATTTTCCTCTTAAACCATTTCGTCATCTTGCACCTTGTCGAAAATGTTTTAGGAGATTGGCAGACATCATAGATATGCATGTACATTTCTTTTGGTTAAATGTGTTCTACTTACATTTATCAAAGGAGAAGTTCCAGAATGCCACATGCACTCACAGGGAAACATTATTTGGCTTAAGGTAGCAGCATGTACCTAAGGATTGGTGCCCTGAGGTGGAGTGCTACTATGTGACCATCTGCTAGCCAGTGGGCTCCAAAGGATGGCCCACTATGTCCCTATCCCCAGACAAAGAAGAATTCCAGGTCACTTTGCCACAGAGTCGAGGTGCTTGTCTTGCTGGTGGTTAGCAGCTGTCCACACTGAATGTTCTGCATTGCTGTGTCAGGCCTGTGATCGTGGAGATCCCTCACTTTGCGGCCCTTCGAGGAAAGGAAAGGGAACTGGTGGTCCTGCGCAGTGAGAATGGGGACAGCTGGAAAGAACATTTCTGTGACTACACTGAAGATGAATTAAATGAAATTCTTAATGGCATGGATGAAGGTACTTTCAGATTAAGGGTTTTAAAAGAAATCTAAACTGGAAGCATGAAAATGATTCATTTCTTTCTTATGACCTAGGGGTGTATGCGTGTGTGTGTGTGTGTGTGTGTGTGTGTGTGTGTGTCATTTGTGGTATTTGACTACAGCAGCAGTCTGCTTGGCTCCTGCAGTGATGAGTTGGAATGCACAATACTTTTGCTTAATCTTACTCCTGTTACATTCTGAAAAATAAAAGCCTTTAATATAGCAAACATCTCATTAAAGAGATGCAGCATGCTTCCATTTTTAGTGGAAATTTTTTGAACTGAAAATGAGATAGAGTACCTATTGTTGTTTCATAATGAATGAACTGATACTGGATAATAAATCCTTGATTTAAAAACATGACTAACTTGAAACATTAGATATTTAAGATACTGATAAAAAGTGTTAATTTATTCTGTTGGAAAACATACATCTACCCATAACTAGTACAATGTAGAATACTATAATTTTTTTCACTTTCTATTATTAAGGGGGTAGGAAAATTAAGTTCATTCAAATTTCTAACTATAATTCAGACAGGGAGTTAGCCAGGGTTGAATCGCATACATACACACACATACGCATCTAGTTTAGGAACTTAGTTTTCCATTAGAATTTTAATCTCTGTAAATCTCAACTCTGTCTTGGGCCAGACAAGGTTGTAATATGTCAGTATGACAAGAGGAAAGCAGCTCTTCCTTAGGTCTCCATAGTTTGCACAGAGAAAAAGTCCTAGTCCTAATAGTAGAATTCAGATTCAACTTTAAGTACACAAATAGAGGAATTTTTTTGCCTACATGCCAAGAGCTACATGCCAAGTTTTGTATACAGCTATACATGCCAAGAGTAAGTATAGCTGTTTATCAAGTTCTTGAGGCTTCTGGCACTAGTTTCAGGTATGGCTCATGAATAGGAAAGCGTAGCTGAACCATAGCTTCTTTACCATTTCTTTCTGCATCTTACCAAGGTTTCAATAAGAATAGAGACCAGGCTTATCTTATCCAAGGGGTGGATGGAGGAAGAAATTATTCCCTCTAGATGTATAAGTCAATATCTTCTAAGCAAAGTAAAAAGATCAGGGTTTTTATTAATAAAAATTGTTCCCTGAAATATTTAGCTGCTTCTACTTCTTGGAACCATTTATTTTACTGGCACTTAGGTTTAGGATATTTTTCTCTGAGACATTTACCTATCAATAACACTGCCAGTAAACACTGGTATCTTGTCCTTGGATGGGGACCCACTCTTTAACTTTCTATTAATACCTACGTAAAAAGCTTGTTATTAAACAAATAATCAGATTGTGTATGTCTGGAAATTTAAAAAATAAATATAGGCTAATATGTGCCAGTGCATCAGTTTCCAGTCACATGTGATCAGATCCTGGGACTTCTTACTTTTACTGTCCAGCTCTGCCCAATAGTCAAGAAAAACATAGTTGCTGTTCCTGCCTCTATAATGAATCGTAAATTGATTTCCATACATGAACACCTTTCCGCCACCTTTTAAAATTCAGTCATCCACGTAGTTCAAATTTTCGACATTTAAAACTAGTCTGATTTTTTTGTATTGCCCTGAGTATCTGCACTAATGCAATGTAAAGAGCCCATGATCCCATTCTGTTGTTGTTAAACGATATATTTGGAAAGTTAATGGTGTCAGGGGAATATTGAAAACCCTGAATTAATAATCACTGATTTTTAAAATATCCACACTAAGTGTCTCAGACACACCCCTTACACTGGAGTAAACAGATAAACATAAATCTTACTCTTCCAAGACAGATTTTATTCCTGCACTATTCCCCTGAGAACCCAAAGGGCTGTGTTACTTCTCAAAATCACAATAACTTGGCTTTGAGCTAACTTTGAAATTTGTAAAGAAAAAGAGTCCAGTAGCACTTTGGGAAGTTAAGGCCTCCTTTGGCTTTGCTTTGGAGAGATGATGACATGCTTGGTATTCCATTTGGATAATCAGGAAACCTCCCTAGTCCATCCATATTGCATCAGAGTGGGATTACAACCCTGGAAGAGTCCACTGCCAGAAGAATAGTTGCTTTCCTTGGGTTTCCAAAGCTTTTAGATTTTCTGGATCAAGTAACCCACTTCTTAAAACCAGAGATCAGGAGTTCGAGACCAGCCTGGCCAACATGGTGAAACCCCATCTCTATTAAAAATAGAAAAAATTAGCTAGGCTTGGTGGTAGGCACCTGTAGTCCCAGCTACTTGGGAAGCTGAGACAGGAGAATCGCTTGAACCCAGGAGGCAGAGGCTGCAGTGAGTCAAGACTGCGCCACTGCACTCAGAGCCTGGGCTGCAGAGCAAGACTCCGTCTCAAAATAAAAATAAAAAGGAAAAGGAAAAGAAAGGTTAGTCCTTCCAAATATGGGGGTAGGATGAGTAGAGCTTGTTTGATGTTGAAGTTGGTAAGGAGGGAGTAGCCTGAGACACTAGCATTGCAAACTTCCCTGGAGGTTTCCAGTAGCACTACTGTTCTTAAAAGAGTTTTGTTTTAACTTCATCTGCTTTGTTAACATCCAGTCCAATTGAGGTGATCTCAGAGGCATGTTCAGGACACCTAGCATTGGGAAGGCCACCTGCCCAGGTGGTTGAAAAGAAAATTGGTCTGACAGCCTGTTGTCTTTTGTCTTCATGTAATGTTTTTTGTTTGTTTTAAAGGACTAATGTTTATTACAGTGTTAAAAGTGTAATATACTAAGTGTATAGAATAAAAGTGCAATAACAAAAGAAAATGACTTTGGCACACACTTCAGTCTTTATCCTCTCTCCTTTCTTGCCCTAGCTTTTTCCATAATATTGTTACCGTGTTGTGTGCATTTTGAAGAGACGCGACTCTGGGTTAATCTTCGTTAATGTAATTTTGAAGGATTGGGTTTGGTTTTATAGAATATTCTGTACACTTGTTGGGAAACATAAATACCAGATGTGCTGTATAATAAAGATCACATTAATGTTTAAAAAAAAAAAAGAGTCCAGAAACAACTTCCTCTTCATTACATGAACCAGGAATAGAACAGATTCATTTCATCCCATATTTGCCCTCATCCCCTCATTTCAAAAGTGGCCCTGCAATGCTGCATCTAGAACTAAATGATCTTTCTCAGTGACCTGGAAAGGCCTGGTTTTCACAGAGAAAGGAAACATGCAAGCTAAATGCTGGCAGATCTTAAAAGATTGCATTTTTTTCCCCTGGTGTTGTTAGGATAGCCTTGTTTTAAAATTTTCCTGTTGTTTCCAAAAAAAGGGGGAGGTTTGCTGGCACTTCTGTTTATTATTAACCATGCCAATGAGTTGGCTAGAATGCTTTCAATAGGAAATCTTTGCTGTATGAATGAAGGTGGGTTATTTCTTGTCTTAGTACTAGATAGCCCAGAAGACCTAGAAAAGAAACGAATCTGCCGCATCATCACCCGAGACTTCCCACAGTACTTTGCAGTGGTGTCTCGTATCAAACAGGACAGCAACCTGATTGGCCCAGAGGGAGGTGTGCTGAGCAGCACAGTGGTGCCCCAGGTGCAGGCCGTCTTCCCAGAGGGAGCACTCACCAAGCGGATCCGCGTAGGCCTGCAGGTATGCCCATGTTAGATGCAAATGATCCTAACAGGATGGTATTCTACGATTAAAAATTGGCTTTGTCAAGGACTCTTACATTTCCAATCCTACCAAAAAGGAAGGTATCATTAATAGTATAGCTAAAGTCAAAATTCTTATTTATTGGTTATTAATATATTTAAAAATTCAACTTATATTTGGAGGATTAACCAAAATTAATCTCCAGCTATAAATGTTTTCCTCTTTTTTAAAAAAAAAGAAAACAAATTAGCTTTCAAATGAGAAATAAATTGTTAAAGAATCAGATTATTCTTGGTAAGCAAACCCTGCCATCAGAGATCATAGATCTTATGAGTTCTTAGTAATAGCACTGAATTCATAATTACCATAGTTGAAGTCCACCAAACTTATTTGTAAGATAAAAAATAATACTTTGGGTAAGAAATTTGAAATTAAATATAATGATTCATTCTTTATTTAAAAAAAAAATATATATATATATTTTTTACTTTGAAAAGGCTCAACCTATGCACAGTGAGCTGGTTAAGAAGATCCTAGGCAACAAAGCTACCTTCAGCCCCATAGTCACTTTGGAACCTAGAAGAAGAAAATTCCACAAACCAATTACCATGACCATTCCTGTCCCCAAAGCTTCAAGTGATGTCATGTTGAATGGATTTGGGGGAGATGCACCAACCTTAAGATTACTATGTAGCATAACAGGTGAGTCACATATGACTATGTTAGTAGAGAGTTCTGAAAAAAGAAACTTAGATCATTGTAAATATTAAATTACCTTTGTCATAAGATGTCTGCAGGGTCACATGCATTAATTCAGGGAATGCATTTTAATTAACTAGGGAATTGAAAGGTGAAAGGAAATAACTATTATTTACTAAATAAAGTCTGTATGTGAAATTGTTAGATAGTTTATATGCATTGTCATTCTAATTTCCACAGTAACCCTGTGAGGAAACTTTAACCCCATTTTACTGAAAAGGAAACCATGGTTGAAAGAAGTTCTGTAAGTTGCCTGAGTTACACTATAAATATTTGGTGGTGTCGCGATTCGAAACCACACCCATATGTCTCCAAAGTTCAGGCCTCGAGCCTTCATTGAAGAGATCAATACATCTGCTAGAAAAGAAAAAATAGTAATATCTTGAGTAATTATACCCAATAGTTCAAACCAAACTGTTATGTCATGGAATTGGTTATGTCTTTATTGTTGATCTATTGAACTAACTTTAGATAAACAACTTAAAGGTTTTAAGATTCACTGATTTTTGGCAATTGTTTAGTAGCTTTCACACAGCTACCAAACTCTCCAAAGACACTCCCAGTAAGCTGGTGGTCTCTTTAAAACAATGCTGCCACAAATAGTGAGGCAAAAAAATTCACAGGAATAATCTGTTTTAGGGCTAAATAATTTGATAATTTCTCTATCAATAATTACATGGTGTTGGCATTCAGTAAATATTAGTTCTATTATTAGAAGGAGCAGTAATCATCCCTGGATGTTTTGGTATTGAGGGGAGCTCCAATAAAGGGATTCTCTTGTGTCTCTTGGTCTCTCTGTTTTTCTCAACTTGAAGAACATTGTTAAAATTATTTTTTCACTTCTTTTTCATATCGGCAGAATGTCCACCTTCAATTTGTTTTCTTTAATTCTCCCCTTCTTACTAATATGTTTCCTTTAGTTATGACATAGAACCATGAGATTATTCCATAAGTTTAATAATAAGACAAAATTTAAAAATATATAGGCTATAATGAATAGTATGAATCATATGCTTCACTTATGATTTCTTTCCCAATTGCTCATTTTTGGTTATTACTATTATTTCTGGGTATCTTTCCCATAACTTCTGCCCCATAGGTATATGATTAACCTTCTATAATGTGCAGTATAATGTCATGGATATAAAACAAGTGAGACTGAAGAATGTCTGTGATACGCCCTGCCTTTATAATGATCAAATGAAGATACTATAGGGGCCTAGACACCATCTACTCTCTTTATTCCAGTCCAATGTTTTTAGACAGGTTCTCATAAACATTTCTTAAATTTACTAAAATTATTTTGAAAATTAACAAAGAATTTTATGAATTAATTGTTTAAATACCTAAACATTTGAGGTTTTGTATTTTGTTGTGTCACACAGTTATGCTGAGTATGTATTTTAAAGTCCTACTAGAATAAACTTTCATAAACTTTTGTTGATAACTTGTTCTCTTCTTTAAGAAACTTCACAGTCAAGACTTTTATTCATTTCAAACATCTATTCCTCCTACAGCCTTTGACATAAAATTTTGTCTTTGTCTATGTCATCTTAATTTCTCAGTAGAAATTAAAGAGAGGTGTCACCATCAGCCTTCACGGTAATTTTTTCAGTGACAGGGGCCATCCTTTGACATTCATTTATTTTTTCATTTACCTTGTAATATTTATTGCGCTCTTACTATTTTACAAACATTTTTTTGGCCAAACTTCCATTGCACATTGAAAGGAATTTTTTGAAAGCAATTGCATAAAATATGCAGTTTGGGAACAAAATAATGTTTAGATTGTTTATTATTTTAAAGAAGCGTTCAGCTCCTTATTTGCTCAAAGGATATTTTAAAATAATCAACTGTATACAATTCAACATTTTCTTCAGAGCCTAGCAACAGAATATCAGGCAGAGAACAGAAGGCTTAATAAACAGTTATTCAAATAACTACCCTAAAACTTAGTTGCTTGAGAGGTAGTCTGCTGTTTGTTTTCAGTGTGTCATTTTTCAGCATGTGGGTTTTAGTCATTCTTTTTCCAGTGTGTCATTTTGAGGGGTGGGTGGGCTGGTGAACACAGACAGAACCACAAAGACTTTATTTTAGGATCTAGAGTCTGGAGTTTTGCCTGATTTTTTTCAACAATCATATTATTTCAGGTGGAACCACCCCTGCTCAATGGGAGGATATTACAGGAACTACGCCATTAACATTTGTCAATGAATGTGTTTCCTTTACAACGAACGTGTCTGCCAGGTATCCTTATACAGCACGGAAAAGCCCGCTATGATATTTACCCCTCAAAAAAAGCCTGCCTTTTGTTTTGTTTAATTTTGTTTCTTTATTGTTTAAAGGTTTTTTTTTTTTGTTTCATTTTAAATATGGTCTGCTTTTGCTTTTATATATTAAACTAGATCTGTCAGCAAATGGAATAGTGATAATACAGTAACAAAGTACTACCAATCTGATTAAAATCTAAGGAAGAGGAGTGAGTGATTGTCTGCTTTGCCTGTGTGATTCTGACTTAGTCCATAGCAGCCACTGCTGATTTTTCCACTTCCAAAGGCCTTAGGAATGATAATTTTCTGTTGTCAGCAAAATAGCCCAAACCACTTTTCCAACAGAATGATAACAGTACAAATCTCACTGTGGTTTGCCTAAAAGGCTTAGAGGCTTCAGTGGCTCTTATACACATTTCTTATTTATGTATTAGAGATCTTTAAAATGCTGAAGTTATCTAGTTTTATTTCTTATGCGTATTCAATTTATTAATGTTAGTTCTCATTTGTTTGGTCTTTAATTGATTGCTAAACATTTTTCCCTCTCTTTAACTTGATATTATAACAACTTTGTGACTTAAGTAGGGCAAGAGACATTATGTCCATTTTACAGATGAGAAAACTGAAGTTGAGAGTAATTAAAACTTACATTCCCTTTTTGGGGTGGGAGAGAAAAGATAAAAGTGAGTGAATAGCTAAGTAATGGCATAGCAATAGTTGGGTGCTGTGGCACATGTTTATAGTTCCGGCCACCCAGAGCCTCAACTATTGAGTCTACAATTCTGTATTTTGATGTGTTTTGCCAAGTGAGCAAAACATGTTCTGAATAAGAGGTATAGACCAGGGGGACTAAAAGTATGAGAAGAGGGTGTTCGAATTGGGATAGCTAAAGAGGGTATCTAAGAAGAGGTGACTTGAGACATATGTTGGAACCTAATTGGCAGATAAAAGTGAAAAAGAGAATAGCATGAGCAAAGATGCAAAGACGGAATGCAGAAGGTATATTGGGGGATGGCAACAATTATCCATGTAGTCTGTAATTAAAAAATAATGCTTGAGGCTGGACCTGGTGGCTCATTCCTGTAATCCCAGCACTTTGGGAGGTGAAGGCAGTGGATCGCTTTAGCCCAGGAGTTCGAGACCAGCTTGGGCAACATAGTGAAACCCTGTCTCTAAAGAAAAAAATATAAAAATTAGGTGGGCGTGGTGGCAAACAACTGTAGTCCTAGGAACCAGGGAGGCTGAGGCAGGAGATCTCTTGAGCCCAGAGAGGTCGAGGCTGCAGTGAGTCATGGTTACATCACTGCACTCCAGCAGTGACAGAGACCTTGTCTCAAAAACAAAACAAAATAAAACAACAACAAAAAACAAACAAAATGCAGGACTGTTGGTTGGCAGCATTTTATAAAAGGTCTTAGAGGGTAGATTAAGAAGTGATAAATCACCATAAATATATACAATTCTTATTTGACAATTAGAAAATTACCAAAAGCCCCTGGACCTTCATGAAAATAAAAATACTATAAAAGAATAAGACTGGGCATGGTGGCTCATGCCTGTAATCCCAGCGCTTTGGGAGGCTGAGGCAGGTGGATCACGAAGTCAGGAGAACTAGACCATCATAGCTAACATGGTGAAACCCTATCTCTACTAAAAATACAAAAAAAATTAGCTGGGTGTGGTGGCATGCGCCTGTAGTCCCAGCTACTTGGGGAGGCTGAGGCAGGAGAATCGCTAGAACCTAGAAGATAGAGGTTGCAGTGAGCCGAGATCACACTAGTGCACTCCAGCCTGGGTGACAGAAGGAGACTCCTTCTCAAAAACTAAATATAAACAAAAATAAAAACAGTTGCATTTAAAATGTCAGCTATTTTGTGAGAGCATGTAAAAAATAAAAAATAAAATAAAACTAAAATATCAAAAAAGTGAGAAGGAATTAATATGTTATTGTACTAATAATTTAACCCCTAAACAATTGAAGAAACAGTGAACAGAGTAAGAGGAAGGTAACTGAGTGCTCGCCATGAGCTGGGAACTATGCTGAGCCTTAGAAACATTCTGCTAATTGAAATAAGCCAGACATAAAAGGACTAATATTGCAAGAGTCCACCTGTTGGAGGTACCTAGAATAGGCAACTTTATAGAGACAAACAAGTTTAATAGAGATTTACAGGGGGAAGTAAGGGGGAAATAGAGAGTTATTTTTTAAGGGGTACAGTTTCTGTTTGGGGTGATGAAGTTCTGGAAATGGATACTGGTGATGGTTGCACAATACTGTCAATGTATTTAATGCTACTCAATTGTACACTTAGAATTAGTTAAAATGGTAGATTTTATGTTATGTATATTTTAGCACAGTAAGAAAAAAAAGAGGTGGGTCAGGAACTTGAAAGAGAGGGTAAGAGAATAAGAAAATTTCATGACTTTAAGATGCAGAAATTTAAAAACAAAAAAAATTCAGTAATGATAATTTTAGATTATGGGAAATGAGTCAGGGGAAGGAGATTAATCCTTGGAGAAATGTTCCAAAGCATGAGAATATAGATTAAACCTTTGGAAGTATAAAATAACAAAATGAAAATATTTCCATCTGATGACATCTACTTTCTTTGTGAAGTTAGCTCTCTTAGGGCCTGTGGTGAGGGGTGAAGCTCAAGGAGTGTCATAAGATTCAGTAATGTTACTATAGTGAACAAAAAATTGCCAGTCAATGTTACAGACTTAGCCAACGCTGGAAATCATAGTCATTAAAGCCAGGAATTTCTTCTATGAATTATATTCAGCAATACTTAGGAGTTCTGGAGCAGGTTTTTAAAAATGGTTGGGTTGATTCTGCTTTGGTGATTAGAGAGTTCCTTGGAAAAGAATAACCAGGGGAGGAAAAGCCAGGTAGATTTTGTTGAAAAGAGTTTCAGGATAATTAAATGATGGCTAGGGAGCGGGATTGAGCAAAATAGAAACCCATGCAGCGAGATACTTGTCTTATGTCGGCTATTGAGCTCACTCCACTGAAAGATTCTAAAACACTAAAGATAGAGTTCAGAAAACTGAATATTCAGAAGAGTTTCCAAAAAAGAAAATTAGAAATACAATATTTAATAGTTCATCCTGAGAACCTGATATCTTTCTCTCTTCTCTTCACTCCTTTCTGCCTTCCCATCTATCCTCTTACCTTTATTTTTGTGCCTGTCTTGCTTTTTCTTTCCTTTGGCTTTCTCTCAGTATCTCCCTCTCTCACTTCCTTTTTTCCAAGAAGCATTTGTTGACTACTTTGATCATATTGAAGGAACTGATTTTATTTTTCAAGCGGCATATTTTGAACTTTAGATAACTGACTTTATTTCTTTTAATAGGTTCTGGCTGATAGACTGTCGGCAGATCCAGGAATCTGTTACTTTTGCATCACAAGTATATAGAGAAATTATCTGCGTACCTTATATGGCCAAGTTTGTAGTGTTTGCCAAGTCACATGACCCCATCGAAGCCAGGTTGAGATGTTTCTGCATGACTGATGATAAAGTGGATAAGACCCTTGAACAACAAGAAAATTTTGCTGAGGTGGCCAGGAGCAGGGATGTGGAGGTACTGTGCCAAAAATAATAATAATAATTTATGCCATGTTGTTATACCTGTATTAATAGATTACATTTAAATATCACTTAATAAGTAGAATCATTAAAAAGTGAAAGACCAGTTCATATCTTGATCAATTAGAAGGTCAGTACCCCAAATCTGCCAATTTTAGCCATTTTGGACCTATCCAATAGGAATGATCTGTGCATGTGAGTAGGTAAGATGATTTCTTTAAAGATTATTTAGGGAAAAATTATAAGTTATTAATAAACTCAAAGTATGTAAGTGACTATAGTAGTTTAGATGTTTTTAGCTTTCCTTGTTGTCTTTATTTTTTAATAGTAATTAAAACACCCTGGGAAGTATATCCTTTTGCATAAATGTTGAAGTAGGATGTCTAGTGCTTTTCTACATTACTTTTCCTCATTGCAGAATTTTCCATCAGTGTAGATCTTTGGGTGTTGAAGTCCAGTAACCTGACTCATTGTGATGTCAAAAGTTGCCCAAGTAGGCTGGGCGTGGTGGCTCGTGCCTGTAATCCCAGCACTTTGGGAGGCCAAGGTGGGTGGATCACCTGAGGTCAGCAGTTCGAGACCAGCCTGGCCAACATAGTGAAACCCCATCTCTACCAAAAATACAAAATTAGCTGGGCATGGGGGCAGATGCCTGTAATCCCAGATACTCAGGAGGCTGAGGCAGGAGAACAGCTTGAACTGGGAAGGTGGAGGTTGAAGTGAGCTGAGATCACAGCACTGCACTCCAGCCCGAGTGACAGAGCAAGACTCCATCTCAAAAAAAAAATTACCCAAGCATAAGTTTAAATTTAGGATTTAAATGCATTTTGGGTTTGTGGATAATGGGATACAGTTTTTACAATGAGATCATCAAATGCTACCATGCATTGAAGATTCCCATTACTAGTAAGAAGAAAGAGTGCTGGACATGTTGTGCCAAAGATAAGACAGAATGTCAGTTGGCAATTTAAAGATTGCTGTATGTGTATTTTAAGAATTTGAAATGCCAAGTAGTACTACCACTTCTTTGTGTAAACAAGAAGTTATAATTGCAGCACCTTTATTGTTATTTCTCTGTTTTCACTCAGGTATTAGAAGGAAAACCCATCTATGTTGATTGTTTTGGCAACCTGGTACCATTAACTAAAAGTGGCCAGCATCATATATTCAGTTTTTTTGCCTTCAAAGAAAATAGACTTCCTTTATTTGTCAAGGTAATATATACATGGAATTTTGTGATGCATTTTATTCAAGATCAGGGAAAAATTTGACTTCCTTTAGTAATAGAAAATTTTTGCTTCTCAGTCATTTTCAGAGTTTTCTTTTTAACCATATTTACAACATTTTACAGCCTTGGGAAACCAATTATTTTTAGTTCTGAGGTTCAAAGTCAACCTGAATTTTTATAGACTATGTTTAAGGATGAGAACAGGACAAATAATAGCCAACTTATTAGTTAGGACCAGTGACCACTCTTTTCCAAATTTGAAGGAAAGTCTGTCTTACTATTATAACTCTTAAATATTTACACTTAGCTTTAAAAATACATGTGAACTTCACAAGTATGGAGATCAAGACTTCTAAGTGGCAACTTTTCATAATAAAACCTCTCAAAAGACCCAGCATCTCCTTCAGCTAATAAGAAATTATCTCAGATAGAGATATAGACTTGATATATTTTCATAAATTCACTCAATAAAAAGCATCCACATATTCTCACTTATAAGTGAGAGTTAAACAATGAGAACAGATGAACACAGGGAGGGGAACATCACACACTGGGACCTATCAAGGGGTGAGGGGCTAAGGGAGGGATAGCATTAGGAGAAATACCTAATGTGGATGATGGGGTGATGGATGCAGCAAACCACTATGGTACATGTATAACTGTGTAACAAACTTTCATGTTCTACACATGTACCCCAGAACTTAAATTATAATTAAAAAATAAATAAATAAACAGCATGGAGGCACGTCTGTGCACCAGGTATTTGTCGGCTCTTTTTAGAAATATTAATCTAAGTTAGGGATTTGAGGTGATATATACACGTTTCATTTTTGATTCCAATCTAAAAGGGACCACAAATGAATGAATAAGAGATTCAGGAAATAAAAAAAAGGCAATAATTCTACTCTGCTTTGTTTTCCAAGCTCATTTTCCTTTTTGTTTTTCACAATTTATCTTACTAATCTAGAGGTCCTAACACTCAGTCCTCTCAAGTATAGGCTGGTTTTTGTAGGTTTGTTTCCAGTCCCTTTTCACCTATTCATCTCCAACTGTTCATCAGCAGTGACTCCTTTGATTATTTTAACCCCTTATTATTTTTCAAAACATGTATCTGGAAACCTCTTATTAAGTTTTCCAAAGATCTCTACTGAGTCTCTCTTATTGTGCCACTTCTGGTTCAATTGCTTTGCCTGATTGATGATAGATTTTTTATTTTTTATTTTTTTATCATTCTTTAAGGTCTGGGGTACATGTGCAGATTGTGCAGGATTATTACATAGGTATACACATGCCACAGTGGTTTGCTGCCTCCTTCCCCACCATCATCTGTATTAGGTATTTCTGCTAATGTTATCCCTCCCCTATCCCCCACACCCTGCTATCCCTCTCTTAGCCCCCCAACCCCAACAGGCCTTGGTGTGTGATGTTCCCCTCCCTGTGTCCATGTGTTCTCATTGTTCAACACCCACTTATGAGTGAGGACATCTATTTGGTTTTCTGTTCTTGTGTCAGTGTGTTGAGAATGATGGTTTCCAGCTTCATTCATGTCCCTGCAAAGGACATGAACTTATCCTTTGTTATGGCTGCATAGTATTCCATGGTACATATGTGCCACATTTTCTTTATCTCGTCTGTCATTGATGGGCATTTGGGTTGGTTCCATGTCTTTGCCATTGTAAACAGTGCCACAATGAACATACGTGTGCATGTGTCTTTATAATAGAACGATTTATAATCCTTTGGGTATATACCCAGTAATGGGATTGGTGGGTCAAGTGGTATTTCTATATCTAGATCCTTGAGGAATCACCACACTATCTTCCACAATGGTTGAACTAATTTACACTCCCACCAACTGTGTAAAAGTGCTCCTATTTCTCCACATCCTCTCCAGCATCTCTTGTCTCCAGATTTTTTAATGATCATCATTCTAACTGGTGAGAGATGGTGATTGATGACAGATTCTTACAGATCTCCACATTAAGCAGTAACTGCTCAGGGGTAATGAATCTATTTAACACAGACAGCTGTATAATTAAGCTAATGTTTGATATTGCTGGTGTGCAGAATCATTCCACAAACAACCCAATACAAAAATGACCAAAGTGCTTAAGTAAACATTCTCCAAAGAAAATATACAGATGGTCAATAAGCACATGAAGAGATGTTCAACAGTGAAGGGAAATGCAGATCAAAACCACGAAGAGGTACCACTGAATACGCATTAGGATGGCTATTATTAAAACAAACAGAAGAAAATAAACAAATGTTGGGAAGGAAGTGGACAAATTGGGACCCTAATGCACTGCTGGTGGAAATGTAAAATAGTGCAGCCACTTTGGAAAACACTACAGTTTTTCCTCAAAAAGTTAAATATAAGATTAGCATAGACTCAATTACTTGCATATCAATGTTCTTAGCAGTAGCCAAAATGTCCACAAACAGAATGTGGTATACACATGCAATGGAATACTATTCAGCCTTTGAAAGGAAGGAAGTTCTGATTTATGCTACAATATGGTAAATGAAATAAGCTAGACACAAAAGAACAAATATTATATGATCTCACTTATATGAGGAACCTAGGGTAGTCAAATTCATAAAGACAGAAAGTATTTTTTTAATTTATTTTTTTGACCTCTCCTTGTAGTGAGATAATGACAGAAAGTAGAAGAGTGGTTGCTAGGGACAGGAGAAGGGGGACTTGAGGAATTATTGTTTAATAGATAGAAAATTTCAGTTGGGAAGATTAACAAGTTCTAAAGATGGAAGGTAGTGATGATTAGACAGCAATGTGAAGGTACTTAATGCCACTGAACTGGACACCTAAAAATGATTAAAATGATAAGTTTTACATTACATATATTTTATCACAATTTTTAAAAAAAGGAATGAAATTCTGACACAGGATGCAATATGGACTTGGAAAACATTATGCTGAGTAAAATAAGCCAAACAAAAAAGGGTAACTACTGTATGGCTCCGTTTTTACCTGTACCTAGAATAGGCAAACATATAGAGACAGAAAGTAGAATAGAGGTTATTAGGGGCTGGGCAAGAGGGAATGGGGAGCTATTGCTCAGTGGGCACAGATGAAAACATTCTGGATAGAAATAATGATTATACAACTCTGTGAATGTGCTTAATGCCACTGAATTTTATACCTCAAAATAGTAAAAATGGTAAATCGTATGTTATCTATATTTTACCATAATTATTTAAAAAGCTAAGTTCTGAAGATCTAATGTATAGCATTAAACTACAGTTAATTATATGTAATATATTACATACTTGAAATGTACTAAGAGTGATCTCAAGTGTTCTCATCACAAAAAAGAAGGGTGAGGTGATTGATATGTTAATCAGTTGCTACGATAATCATTTCACAATGTATACATATATCAAATAATCATATTTTATACCTTAAATTTATGCATTTTTTTGTCAACAGTACTTAAATAAAACTAAAAAAGAAAGCTGAATGATTTTTAAAAAGGCTTTCCAGATGGTAAGGAAAAGAGAAAGAGGAAATCTTTGAGTTCTTACCTAGCATCAGCAGATGAATTTTACTTTCTCTTTAAAGCATCATCTATTAAAGTAAATGCTGCATGTCAAATATGCATGAATCACGTATGTCTTTCTTGTTCAAGGTACGCGATACAACTCAGGAACCTTGCGGACGACTATCATTTATGAAGGAGCCAAAATCCACAAGAGGCCTGGTGCATCAAGCTATTTGCAACTTAAATATCACCTTGCCGATTTATACAAAGGTATTGTAAAATCTGCTGTAGTGCAATTCAGCTAGTGTAGGAATTGACATTTAAATCTTGTATTAGGTCAGTGCAAAAGTAATAGCAAAAACAGCAATTATTTTGCACTGACTTAATAAAATGAGTATAAACAAAGACTGAATGCAAGCACATGTAATAATCACGTTTGATTCTCTGTCAAATTTACAATTTCCACTTAAGAAAAAAAGCAGTGCCACCTGATTTTATGTTAAATGCACTTTGATGCAAAAATTCTATTAATATTGGACATGGAAGTGAGAAAATTGGGCTTCAGATTTAACTTTTTGAAGAAATTTTTAAAACAAATTGGCTTTTCTTTTGTTTTAAACAAAAAAAAATTGTTTTTATGTGCTTTCCTGAGACCATACTAGCGCATTTGGCCTTACCAAAATACTAGAGTTCAACTTCTGTTTACTACCAGTTCACAGGGGCCTTACATATTATTAAATTCAGAGGCGCCTTATGATATTTTATTTTTTCTAAATGATTTCCTAAGGATCTTACAACTTATCATGTTTTAGGAGTATATAAACTGGTGTGATGGTGCACAGCTGTACTCATAGCTACTCAGGAGGCTGAGGTGAGAGGATCACTTGAACCCAGGAGTTCAAGGGCAGCTTAGGCAAAATAACTTGTGTAACATATTAGAATAAAAAAATAGTATAAATAGTTGATTAGTTAAAAATATTTGCCATGTTATGAAGAGTAAATTTAAAACATTGCTGAAAAGAAAAATTTCACTAATTTCTGACCCCAAGTCTACCTACAGGAATTACTTTCTTTTCGAACCTCTTTCCATCATGTAATTTATTAAATAGTCTGATTAAGTCAAATAAGACAACTAAATTAATTAAATGTTGTGGATAACTTATGTTTCATTCTTTTAAAGTTTTTAAACCGATATTTCTTTTGAGTTGGAAGCTCTCACATGTCAATCTGTAGGTGGATGCAGAAGTTGTCAGTGTCTATATGACAGGTTGGGAAGAGTGATGAGTGGTGGCTGCAGAAACCTGGAGGAGAAGTAGGCATATATTTAACATCCCAAATCTTGACATCACAAAACAAAAATGTCCTATAGTTCTTTTTCTCCACCACAATTATTAAATTTTGTATTTGCTTAACTAATTATTCTTATAAATAGAGATCAACCATATAGAGAAAAGGTCATCGCTTTAGGTTTGACATTGTAAATTTTTATTAAATGAATAAAACAAAATATTATTTATGTATGTAAATATACATGTAATTCCAAAAACTGAAATATAGAAATGGGTATGTTGACCCAGATGAGCATAATTTCATTGTATTCTGATGGTGCAGAATGTATTTGGGGTTTGTATTGCTGATTAGTAGAATCACTGGAGGCAGTACGCCAAATAAGAACCACAAAGAAATACGTACTGCTGTGGGTAAGCCACCTAAGTGTTATAGAAAGATGACTGAGATTTGGCTGATTTCAGTGAGCTTTCAGTGTGTTCTAAAGAAAGCATTAATTCTATTATTACATTTTATTTCTAAGTCAACACATAGCAGACACAGCTACTAAGGCTGTGATGGTCCAGCTATTTTGTAACTGAAAAAGAAAAAAATGCCAGACATTGTACATTGAAAATATACCTTAGAATTTAGTACCTCTTGGCTGGGCACTATGGCTCACACCTACAATCCTAGCACTTTGGGAGACCAAGGCAGGAGGATTGCTCAAGTCCAGAAGTTCAAGACCAGCCTGAGCAACATAGCAACACCCTGCCTCTAATAAAGAAAAGAAAAGAAAAAAAAGAATTTAGTAGCTCTTTGTTATAATAATGTTTCTAAATATTGCCTGTGTATTGAAAATTTTTCACCATATGCTTATTTGTAGCTTTTAAGATTTTCAACCAATTTCTATAATGACTGGGATATTATCGTCAGTATTTCTAAAGACAAATGCCATCCAGTTCATTTAAGGTCAGACTTCCAGACTGCTGTGGTGATCTAGTATCTGAAATTAGTATATTTATAATATTGGTTCTTTTGTCTCTTAAATCTATAAATTTGTATTTAAGTCAATCCTCTTTTCTGCCTTTCTTCTGTAAACTGTTAGTAAGAAGAAAACAGTATGCTGACCATATGCTTGCCTGTTGATGCTCGTTGAATGTTTATTTGCCCTTTCCTTTTCTTCTAAATACTTTCTACTCTTCCCTCTCTCTTTTTTCCATCTTGCATGGCATCTTGGGGCGGAAAGGAATCAGAGTCAGATCAAGAACAGGAGGAAGAGGTAATTTTATGACAGTGTCACTTGTTAACAGCTGTGTCATTGATATAACCACTAACTAATAAGAGCACATAGTTAGCCTGTGTTCTTAGAAGGGGTAGGCAGTTCTTCTTAGTAATTAGAGGGGCACAATTTTACTTAATCTCTCTAAGCCTGTTTTCTCATCTTGTGGACTAACTTAAGAGAATAGTAAAATTTCACTGTAAATTGTTGCCATGTCTCTAAATTTCTCCACCGACTATTAAGAACTAAACCATCATCTCAGGGGTTCTTAGTCTGAAGACATCTAGTGGTTGAAACTCTTTTTATACTAAGACATTATAAATGTCTAAATTTTTAATTAATTAATTTTTAGTTAAACATCTTAGTACATTTTTAATGTAGTAATAGATAATTTGCCTTTTCAACTTCTATATCTTCACAAACTACAGAGGAGTCTTCCAGAGGCTATACTACATGTGATGATATCGCCACTCTGGCAGTTAATGGAATGTATGCTTGCATACTCCTAGGTTCTAGCATTTTCTCAGCTTTCATTTGTAATACAGATATATATTTATACGTGTCACACACCATTAGAAGTTTTTCAGGCTCAGTAATTTTTAGGAGTGCAAGGAGGCCCTAAGACCAAAGAGTTTAATAAGCACTGAGACCAAAAAGCTTTAAGAAGCATATAGTCAATTCCTTAGACTATAATATCATAATGCAGAACTATACTACTACTACTACTTTCTTATAAAGTGGGATCTTTACTAAGTGTTGCACATGACTCATCAATATTGGTTTCTCACAACCACCAATGAGGTGTCTATTATTAAATATTACATTACAGATGAAGAAAGCAAATCTTAGAGAGGTTACCTGGAATAAATAGCCGTATGAATTATACCTGCTTCAATATTTAAAGCAATGTGTTGGTCTCCCTTATAAAGATCTGAAAATGCTCATAATAGAAGTGAAAAACATAATTGGAAAACTTAATGTATTTGTTTCTAAGATAGATGCATATTAGCTATATGTAAATGTTTTCAAATATAGTTTTCTTTTTTTAATGTTATTCTAATGCATTCAAAATAAAAAAATATAAAGAAAAATATAATAAATACCCTTGTACCCACCAGCTTAAAATGCAAGGCCTTACCAGTTTAGAAGATGATCCTGGATTCATTTTTTTTCCCCTGATATCTTGGCAATGGTGCAGGCTGAGAGGGGTGATTATAAACGCACTGTCCTGCTGTACATAGCCATATACACAACTGACTTAAGACTGAAGTCATTCTTTCCCTCAACCGCACAAATACTCTTGGTTTCATATACTCAATTTCCTTCCTGTGCTCAGTGACCCTACTACCACAGCTGTTAAAAATGAAAGGAAAGCCATCTTTGTCATGTTCACAAATCACTTTTTCTATTAGATAATTTTCCTACTGAATACTTTTTAGAACTATTCAGAGCAATAGATCCATTTTATATCCTTTTCAGGATCTGGAATGCTGGCTTATTATTAATGATAATGAAACTACTTCTATAGAACATATCATCCTGGCATTGCTGTTTGTCATTATTTCCCTTTTCTCCACTAACTTAATGGATACTGATTATTTAATACTGACTTCACCCTTTTTCTGATCTATTCCCTAATAAATATGTGTTTTAATATCAAAACTAGCCTGGGTCAGATCTTCCCAGTATTAACATGTTAGAAAGGACTTTCTACCTGTAGTGTGTAGAAAACAGAATTTTTTTTTTTTTCAAAATCAGGATAAGAATCATGGAGACTCTCAGGAAAAACTGTAGCAAAAATACTCTGACCTTCCTATAGCTATGATGTCGCCCCACATTTATAATTATGAATAGGAGCTTTTTGTGCACACCAGGGGCTATGAGCTAAGGCAGTATTTGTAACCATTCAATTTATGTATGTTTTCTTTCAGATCGATATGACATCAGAAAAAAGTAAGAATTTAAATAAAATTGAGTTTGTTTTAAAGCTGCCTACCATAAAAAGAAGCATGAATTAAAATGCAAGCTAGTTGCTATTACTAACCACTCTAGTAATTAAATTTTTGTATTATCTTTATTAATCATTAATTATAAAAGCAGCTTGGCCAGTTAAATTACAAATATACCTAATTTGTGAGCTATTTAGCAGTAAAATGCAATGATTATTCATCTAAGCATTCACTTTCTTTTGACATCCTTGTTAACCCTGGTATTGCTGTTATGCTTGTTTAGAAACCCACCCTACCGTTTTGTCCATTTGTTAGCATAACATTGTCATCTCATTATTTTTTAAGCACTGACATGACAGTATCACTTTTTATGTAATGCAATAGTGATTTCTGTAGAAAGCTAATTATTTTTGTAGGAGACACTTGCAAAAGTGATACTGTCTAATAGCTTTTAGCTGATGCTAACTCCATCCAACACCTGCCTCCCCCACCCCTCCTTTGCACTTTTTACTGTGGTGAAGTGTAACCAACATCTTTAGGGCTGAGGTCTAACAGACTTCTGTGAAAACTTTCTGGAAAAAATGAAAACAAAAACAAAGAGCAAAGAATGCAAAAATTAAAACTCCCTGGTAAAATTACTAATCACAACAGCATTTTATTATAGGGCTAATTTTAAATAATGATGCAAATCCCAAACCTGATCTAGTAGAGAGAGAACTGGTTTTTACAGACCTCAAAAGAGCTATCTTAGAGCTCATTTCAGGTTTGTAATATCCAATTGATATTTTAGTTTGTTGGACTATTTCTAATGACTCTCTGGCTTCTTGTGGAAACTCCAGTTGAATTTTACAGATTTCTGTTTTTGTGCCTCAAATGCTTTTTAAAAATCTGATTTTTAAAGTTTATTGATTTTAAGATCAATAAACTTTATTTCAGAGTTTATTTTGATTTACTGTATTTCAAGTGTATTCCCAAAAGGAGAAAACATAGAACCATGTTTAATATGGTCATCTGGCCCTATACAATGATCTGAGGGCTTTTTTTAAAGTCCTAAGACAACGTAATTTACTACCAAGTTACTGAAGTTGCTTTGAATGAGGCTTACCCTCAGGTTAAATCATTATTCAGATCTGGAATATTTGAGATTCTGGATGTTTTCATTGAAAACATCATTCAAAACAATTGAAAAAAATTGTATTGGTATAAATTATATTAATATATTTATATCTGTGAATTCACATACTGTATCTCAACAAATACAGATTCTCCCAAGAGAAAGCACTTTTGTTTATATGACATATTACATTGCCTTAATTGATTCCTTTTTTAAGTGATTTTACTGTATTCTCTTACTTTCTTCTTCAGAACTACTCCATTTATTTAACTGGCCCCTTACTTTGCTCCTCTGATACAAACTAGTAAGAATTAAAAATTAATTCATCCATCTGACTCAATTGTTAACAAAAAAAAGAAAGAAAGAAAGAAAAAAAAATGTTACCATGTTGCTATAATGCCGTGGATTTTCCTGAATGATTTCTAGGTGTTTTGAGTGTTTCAAAAGTTTCAAATACAGACTTATGTTTGCTTTTACTTTAAAGATAATCATTAAATAATCTTCATCTAAGTGTAAACTAATCTCTAAAGAAGGGCTCTGTGGAAGGGACTCTCACCTGAAGTCTTTTTATGAGTACCTTTTAAAACAGTTTACTGAGTTTTCTTTCTTACCTTTAATAGGTGTAAGACCCCATAACCTAAGCCTCAAATATACCACCTTCAGCAGCGTATGCCTGGATTTGTAGGGAAATAAGTTCACTTCACCACAGTAACGTTTTACATATCTGTTCTAAATTCCTGCCATCCTCCTGCCCATGTGTTTCAGCAAGGCCGGCTCTCCCAGCAGTTTTACTCCACCATTGCTTTGCATGGAAATAACTTGGCTTACATAAACTGTGCGTGTGTCCTGTGTGACTGTCTCTGACTTGGGTTGCCATGCATCACATTTTAACTTTGGACTCACATATAAGTTTAATCACAATTGTTGTTTCTGTTGTTTCTCTTTCCTTTCCTTTATTTCCCTCCTTGGTCTGTCCATTCTGTGTCTAAACAAGGAGGTTGCTCCAAGGAAAGGACCATGCCTTGTAGTACCAAACTGTTTGTTTCATTGTTAGGTGTGAATTTCCCTTAGATGAAATGCCGGTTTGCAGCTGATTCAGATATATTTTATATAGTCTTTGTATATTGGTAGAACTAAACATACAGAATTTTAGATTTTTATATGATTAATAATGTATATACATCATTAGATGTGACTCTGAGCTTGCTACTACTGGCTTTCTCCTAGAGGAAATCAACTTTCTGCAATTTCTAATGCTTTCTTTCTTATTTTTTCCCCATGGTTGTTTTTTGTTTTTCAACATCGATCTGTAACATCTGAACAATCTTGAGATACCTTTGTGTAATTTCACTGTGTTCTTTGTTTTGATATGTAAATGGGTTTTTCGTGTGTATGTGTGTCTTGTTTTAGCTTTGTTGTATGTGTGGATGTGCTACAAGTGAGAAAAATTAAGCAAGTTATTTCCTGCTCATTTTTCCTTTTCAGTTTTGTTTTTTTTTTTTTTCCGTTAGCCTTGCTTTGCTCTTGTACCCCGAGGCCTTGTGGATCTACCATTCCCAGCTCGTTTTGTTGCCCCTCCCACCACAACAGGAAAAGACGCTGTGTCGTTTCAGTCCTGATTACATTTGCCAATATCTTTTTTGATTTCCATTTTACTTTCAATGTTTTTCATTCACATCAAAGATGATGAGACAGAATCTACAGAAACATCTGTCCTGAAAAGTCACCTGGTTAATGAAGTTCCTGTCCTAGCAAGTCCGGACTTGCTCTCTGAAGTTTCTGAGATGAAACAAGATTTGATCAAAATGACCGCCATCTTGACCACAGATGTGTCTGATAAGGCAGGTTCTATTAAAGTGAAGGAGCTGGTGAAGGCTGCTGAGGAAGAGCCAGGAGAGCCTTTTGAAATCGTTGAAAGAGTTAAAGAGGACTTAGAGAAAGTGAATGAAATCCTGAGAAGTGGAACGTGCACCAGAGATGAAGGCAGTGTGCAGCGCTCTCGGTCTGAGCGAGGATTAGTGGAAGAGGAATGGGTTATTGTCAGTGATGAGGAAATAGAAGAGGCTAAGCAAAAAGCACCTTTAGAAATCACTGAATATCCATGTGTAGAAGTTAGAGTAGATAAAGAGATCAAAGGAAAAGTAGAGAAAGACTCAAGTGGGCTAGTGAACTACCTTACTGACGATCTGAATTCCTATGTGCCTCTTCCCAAAGAGCAGCCACAGACAGTTCAAGATAAGGCAGGGAAGAAAAGTGAGGCTCTGTCTGTTGGCAGGAGCTCTGAAAAGGAAGGGAAAGACAAACCCCCAGATGAGACACAGAGTACACAGAAACACAAACCAAGCTTGGGAATAAAGAAGCCAGTGAGAAGGAAATTAAAAGAAAAGCAGAAACAAAAAGAGGAAGGTTTACAAGCTAGTGCAGAGAAAGCTGAACTTAAAAAAGGTAGTTCAGAAGAGTCATTAGATGAAGACCCAGGTTTAGCCCCTGAACCTCTTCCCACTGCCAAGGCCACATCTCCTTTGATAGAAGAAACTCCCATTGGTTCCATAAAGGATAAAGTAAAGGCCCTTCAGAAGCGAGTGGAAGATGAACAGAAAGGTCGAAGCAAGTTGCCCATCAGAGTCAAAGGCAAGGAGGACGTGCCAAAAAAAACCACCCATAGGACACATCCAGCTGCGTCACCCTCTCTAAAGTCAGAGAGACATGCACCAGGGTCTCCGTCCTCTAAAACAGAAAGACACTCTGCTCTTTCCTCTTCTGCAAAAACTGAAAGGCACCCTCCAGTATCACCATCAAGTAAAACTGAGAAACACTCACCTGTGTCACCCTCTGCAAAAATGGAAAGACATTCACCTGTGTCATCGTCGAGTAAAGCTGAGAAACACTCACCTGTATCACCCTCGACAAAAACTGAAAGGCACTCCCCTGTATCATCTACAAAAACAGAAAGACACCCACCTATTTCACCTTCAGGCAAAGCAGACAAACGTCCACCTGTATCACCCTCTGGAAGAACAGAGAAACACCCACCAGTATCCCCTGGGAGAACAGAAAAACGCTTGCCTGTTTCACCCTCTGGAAGAATAGACAAGCACCCACCTGTATCAACCACTGGGAAAACCGAGAAGCACCTGCCTGTGTCACCTTCTGGCAAAACAGAAAAGCAACCACCTGTATCCCCCACTTCAAAAACAGAGAGGATCGAGGAAACCATGTCTGTTCGGGAGTTGATGAAGGCTTTTCAGTCAGGTCAGGACCCTTCTAAACATAAAACTGGACTCTTTGAGCACAAATCAGCAAAACAAAAGCAGCCACAAGAGAAAGGTAAAGTTCGGGTAGAAAAAGAAAAGGGGCCAATATTAACCCAGAGAGAAACACAGAAAACAGAGAATCAGACCATCAAACGAGGTCAGAGACTCCCGGTAACGGGCGTAACAGAATCCAAAAGAGGATTTCGTGCTTCCTCCATAGGGATTAAGAAAGAAGATGCAGTCACAGAAAAGGAGAAAAGTCTCAGCCACAAAATACCTGAACCTGTTCAGTCAGCACCTGAAGAAGAAAGCCACAGAGAGAGCAAAGTCCCCAAAGAAAAGATGGCCGATGAGCAGGGAGATATGGATCTCCAGATCAGCCCAGATAGGAAAACCTCCACTGACTTCTCTGCAGTCATTAAGCAAGAGTTGGAAGACAATGACAAATACCAACAATTCCGACTGAGTGAGGAGACGGAAAAGGCACAGCTTCACTTAGACCAAGTACTCACAAGTCCTTTCAACACGACATTTCCCCTCGACTACATGAAAGATGAGTTCCTTCCAGCTCTGTCTTTACAGAGCGGTGCTTTAGATGGCAGTTCTGAAAGCCTAAAGAACGAGGGGGTAGCAGGCTCTCCGTGTGGCAGCCTGATGGAGGGGACCCCTCAGATTAGTTCAGAAGAAAGCTATAAGCATGAGGGCCTAGCAGAGACCCCCGAGACGAGCCCAGAAAGCCTTTCTTTCTCACCAAAGAAAAGTGAGGAGCAAATTGGGGAAACGAAGGAAACCACCAAAGTAGAAACCACCACAGAAATTCATACAGAAAAAGAGCATTCTGCCACCAAAGACATTACTGGTGAGAAAAGTGAGGAGCAAATTGGGGAAACGAAGGAAACCACCAAAGTAGAAACCACCACAGAAATTTATACAGAAAAAGAGCATTCCGCCACCAAAGACATTACTGGTGGCTCTGAAGAGCAAGGTGCCACAGTCACTGAGGGCTCAGAGACTTCTACTGAGGGTTTTCAGAAAGAGGCCACTCTAGAGTCTCCCAAAGACACAGGTCCCAAAAGAGAAGATGATTGCACAGGCAGCTGTAGCGTAGCATTAGTAAAAGAGACACCCACGGGACTGACTGAGGAGGCAGCCTGTGATGAGAGTCAATGTACCTTTGGTAGTTCAGCCTACAAGACACAAACTGATAGTGAGGCTCAGGAATCCACAGCCACGTTGGAGGAGACAAAGGCCTCGCTGCTGCCTGAGGCTTCTGTAAAGACAGATACAGGAACTGAATCAAAGCCTCAGGGAGTCATTAGAAGTCCCCAAGGGTTAGAACTTGCACTCCCTAGCCGAGATAGTGAAGTCCTCAGCGCTGTGGCTGATGACTCATTAGCTGTGAGCCACAAAGACTCTCTGGAAGCCAGCCCTGTGCTAGAAGATAACTCCTCACACAAAACCCCTGATTCTCTGGAACCAAGTCCTCTGAAAGAATCCCCTTGCCGTGACTCTCTGGAAAGCAGCCCCGTTGAACCAAAGATGAAGGCTGGAATTTTTCCAGGTCACTTTCCTCTTGCTGCAGCTGTTGCCAAAACAGAACTCTTGATGGAAGTGGCCTCTGTGCGGTCCCGGCTACTCCGAGACCCTGACGGCAGTGCTGAGGATGACAGTCTTGAGCAGACATCCCTCATGGAGAGCTCAGGGAAGAGCCCCCTTTCTCCCGACACCCCCAGCTCTGAGGAAGTCAGCTATGAGGTTACACCCAAAACCACAGATATAAGTACACCAAAACCAGCTGTGATTCATGAATGTGCAGAGGAGGATGATTCAGAAAATGGGGAGAAAAAGAGGTTCACACCTGAAGAGGAGATGTTTAAAATGGTAACCAAAATCAAAACGTTTGATGAACTTGAACAGGAAGCAAAGCAGAAAAGGGACTACAAAAAAGAACCCAAACAAGAAGAATCTTCTTCATCCTCTGACCCAGATGCTGACTGTTCAGCAGATGTGGATGAACCAGAACATATAGGCAGTGAGGAGGATGAAAGTTGTGTCCCTGTATCAGTAACTTCAGAGAGCAGGAAGGTGTCTTCCTCCTCAGAAAGTGAACCTGAGTTGACACAGCTAAAAAAAGGTGCTGACTCGGGTCTCTTACCAGAACCAGTGATTCGAGTTCAACCTCCTTCTCCACTTCCATCCAGCATGGACTCCAATTCTAGTCCAGAAGAAGTACAGTTCCAGCCTATCGTTTCCAAACAATATACTTTCAAGATGAGTGAAGACATTCAGGAAGAGCCAGGCAAATCAGAAGAAGAAAGAGATTCTGAATCCCATTTAGCTGAAGACAGTCATGCAGTTTCCACCGAGGGTGCAGACAGGTCTTATGATAAGCTAAACAGAGACACTGATCAGCCAAAAACCTGTGATGGCCATGGATGTGAGGCCATGAGTCCTAGCAGCTCAGCTGCTCCTGTCTCTTCAGGTCTGCAGAGTCCAGCTGGTGATGATGTTGATGAACAGCCAGTCATCTGTAAAGAATCATTAGCTCTCCAAGGCACTCATGAAAAAGACACAGAAGGAAAAGAACATGATGTTTCTACAGCAGAATCTCCACGAGTAGATTGCCCCAGTGAAAGCTTTTCATCTTCATCCTCTTTCCCTCATTGTTTGGTATCCGAAGGAAAAGAACTGGATGAAGACATATCTGCCACATCTTCTACTCAAAAAACAGAGGTCACAAAAACTGGTGAAACATTTGAGAGCTTAACAAAGGACTGCCCCACTCAAGACTCATCCATTACTACTCAAACAGATAGATTTTCCATGGATGTTCCCACGTCCGACCTAGCCGAGACTGATGAAATCTATGATCCCCGAATTACTAGCCCTTATGAAAATGTCCCTTCCCAATCTTTTTTCTCTAGTGAAGAAAGCAAAACCCAAACAGATGCAGATCACCCCACAAATTTTCACTCTTCTGAAGTGTATTCTGTTACCATCACATCCTCTGCTGAAGACATTGTAGTGGCAAGCTCCTCTGGTGGAACTGTTTTAAGCAAAGAATCTAATTTTGAGAGCCAGGGCCTAAAAACGGAATCCCAACAAGAAAGTACCTTGTGGGAAATCCAATCAGACAGTGCCTCGTCATCTCTCAAACCTTCTCTGTCAGCTACAACAGAAGTTGTTGGTGAACAAATTAGCAAAGTCATCATCACAAAAACTGATGTGGATTCTGATTCCTGGAGTGAAATTCGGGAAGACGACGAAGCCTTTGAGGCTCGTGTGAAAGAGGAAGAACAAAAGATATTTGGCTTGATGGTAGACAGACAATCACAGGGTACCACCCCTGACACCACTCCTGCTAGGACCCCAACTGAAGAGGGGACTCCAACAAGTGAGCAAAACCCATTTCTGTTTCAGGAAGGAAAATTGTTTGAAATGACCCGAAGTGGTGCCATCGATATGACCAAAAGGTCCTATGCAGATGAAAGTTTTCACTTTTTCCAAATTGGTCAAGAATCCAGAGAAGAGACAGCCTCTGAAGATGTGAAGGAAGAGGCTGCTGGGGCTGAGCCGTTACAGCTGGAGACATCAGTTGAGTCACTAGTGCTTTCAGAATCAAAAGAAACAGTGGATGATGAAGCAGACTTACTTCCAGATGACCTGAGTGAGGAAGTAGAGGAAATACCTGCTTCAGATGCTCAACTTAACTCCCAAATGGGGATTTCAGCCTCCACTGAAACATTGACAAAAGAAACTGTTAGTGTAGTTTCTTTTGTCAAGGACCGCTCCACCATGCAAATGGGTGATACACCTCCTCTTTCTGATGTAAAGCAGATATCCTGCCCTGACTCTTCTGAACCAGTGGTACAAGCCCAGTTAGATTTTTCCACAATCACCAGGTCTGTTTATTCAGATAAGGGTGATGCCTCTCCTGATTCTTCCCCAGAAGAACAGAAATCAGTGATTGAAATTCCTACTGCACCAATGGAGAATGTGCCTTCTACTGAAAGCAAATCCAAAATTCCTGTAAGGACTATGCCCACTTCCACCCCAGCACTTCCATCTGCAGAGTATGAGAATTCACTCTCTGAAGATTTTCTATCCAGCATAGATGAGGAAAATAAGGAGGACGAAGCAAAACCGAAGTCCAAACTCCCTGTCAAGGTACCCCTCCAAAGAGTCGAACAGCAGCTCTCAGATCTAGATACCTCTGTCCAGAAGACAGTGGATCCTCAGGGACAGGACATGACGAGCATCACACCAGATGATAGGAGCAAATCTGAATCCGATGCCAGTTCTTTGGACTCAAAGATCATATACCCAGAAAAAACCAGAAGTTACACTGAGACAGAAACAGAGAACAGAGAGAGGGCAGAGGAACTTGAGTTAGAATCAGAAGAAGGGGCCACACGACCAAAGATACTTGCATCCCGATTGCCAGTTAAGAGCAGAAGCACCACATCTTCCTACAGGGGGGGCATGAGCCCCACAAAAGAAAGTAAGGAGCATTTCTTTGACCTTTACAGAAATTCCATAGAATTCTTTGAGGAAATTAGTGATGAGGCTTCCAAGTTAGTGGATAGGCTGACACAGTCAGAGAGGGAGCAGGAACTAGTTTCAGACGATGAAAGTAGTAGTGCCCTGGAAGTTTCAGTAATTGAAAATCTGCCACCTGTTGAGACCGAGCACTCAGTTCCTGAGGACATCTTTGACACAAGGCCCATTTGGGATGAGTCTATTGAGACTCTGATTGAACGCATCCCTGATGAAAATGGCCATGATCATGCTGAAGGTATTTGCCAGCCACTGGGATTCCCTGTGCTACGCATGTCATAAAATTGATATAGTTTCTCTGTATGTTTGTTTTATTTGATGATTTGTGTCTCATTTTCTTTAAGCTTTCTGTAGTGGCTAATGTGTTTGTGTAAGCCCTTTGTGTTTTGTGCTTTCTTTGTATACTCTTGTCTAAGAAAACAATCTCAAGATTGAGTAATGAGAATGCTTATGGAAAACATAAACATAATAACCAGGCAACAGTGATCTTGCCTTTCTTTAGCCTCTGCACGTAATAAGGCCATGCGAGCTTTGAGTTTTGTTGTTCTGAAGTCCCAAGCTTAGACTCAAATTAAACACTTTTGCACATGAATATATTGGATTTTGTTTCATAGCATAAAGATACATTGCTTTTCTTCTTACCTTTGCATACTTTAAAATAATTTGTACTTACAATTGTAATCATTAGGAAGCCATTTGCTTGAGATGATTTCACATAACATGAAATTCTAATTGTTGTGGATCTGTTTTTGATTCAAAAAGGTTGGATTTCAGATACCATTGGTAAATACTTTAAGCAAACAAACCTAAGGTAAAAATATTCTTTTCATTTATGTGGTAGATGAATGGAGAATGTATTCAAATTAGATGCAGCAGACAACAAAAACTCAAACTTTGCAGTTTGACTGTGAGGAGATAATGGCTCTTTGAGTTATAAAAAAGGAAACCATAGATGGCTTTGAAAAGTAGCCTGTGTTCTTCCAATATCTCTACAATGAAGACTGTTATTCCTAAATTTGGGTTATGCAAAATTTCCTATACCATGGTGTAAAATGCTGCCCATCAATCAGTGGGAGTTAAAATAAATGGGAAAATTATAGTTTATAGGAGTAAGTAGTATATAAGCTTAATAGCAAGCAAACAGAAACTTTGTCCAAAAGACATGTATGCATACAAATACAATATACACATATAAATGCATGTGCTTTTGTCCTTGTTTTCCAAGGTCACCAGGACCAAGGCAAATATTGTTTCTGGCCATACTAATCAGGATGGTCTGATCAACTCATAAGCGAGATCTCTCGTGACTCTCTGATGTGATTCCTTTCAGACATGACCTGGAAATGATCTATCCCTCCACAAGCAATAATAGGAGGTCCTAGCCAATTGCTCCACTTCTGCATCCCATTTATGATTTCTCTGGTGTTTCATAAACAAGATTGTGATATTCTGGTGGGCAGTATTCTCTCTGATAATTTAAAAGAAAAGTTGTAAGACTACTGGAAATCAGCAACTTATATAATTATGTCTAGTAACTAGTCTTGATTAAAGAGATATGGAAGCAGATGGTTTTCATGATTCATATTAGATCTATTCCCCATTCCACCCGGGAAATCAGACACACAGTATGATCTGAAATGTAATATACAGTTTGTGCTTTCAAGTATTTGGAGAAGTGACTTCCTTTCTTTGAATGAATCAGTACTGTGGTTCCTCTTCTGTCATAGACAACCTTTGGCCATTCTGTTTTTGACCTTCTCCAGATCCACAGGATGAGCAGGAACGGATCGAGGAAAGGCTGGCTTATATTGCTGATCACCTTGGCTTCAGCTGGACAGGTAAAAAGAATGTAACCCAGTGTTCCAATAAAACCTGACATAGATGCATCAGTCAAGTGTCATTAACAACATAAAAGGTACCACCACCCCTTTCTTGAGAAAGAATATATGAAAAGAACAAACTAAGAACTAGAAAACCTGGGCTCTGCATCAGTTAATGGTGTAGCCCAGGGCAGGCCTTTGGTCATCTCTGAAATTTAGAATCATAATACTTTCTATTTGAAGATTTAGAGAACATAGCAACCTTCAGGAACCTTCTTTGGCAGTTGTAGAGATCTAAATTGGGGAAGATATCAATTTTAGATATAATTATTATCAAATTTAATGTGAAATTTAACCAGGGCTACTTCTTTTAGATACCTTATGTCAAAAATCTTCATAGTAAACAACAACAAAATTTGCTTTGGCTAAGTGTTAAAACACACATGAATGAGATATTTTACCAATATTTTTGAGAAATGAGAGTGTTTAAGTATAGAAATTTTATGTTAATAATTTATTTTAAAAAGTGAAATCTAAAATTAATATACTTTATTTATAAATTATGAATTGTAGGTTTTAAAAAACTATACTTTTTCATCTACCTGTGACTTAACCTATTAAAGCAGGATTGTCAGTCTGGTTTTATTTTTTTAAGTCTTTTTTTTTTTAATATCACTGTGACTACTTCAAAGAGACAAACATTATAAAGTAATATTCTTCTCCTTTCAATTTCTTAGATTTGGTGATGAATATGAGCCCGTAATACTCATAAAGATAACTAATAATTTAGAGTAGATGACTGGAAACAGGAGGAATAGCCATTTTCTCACTTTTAATGATTTTAAAGTACTCCTTACTTACTGATCAAACTTAATTAATTCAGGGATTTAGGGGAGACAGTGGTGCCAAGCTATCCCTGATTGACTTACTAGATAACATTCAGAAGTATTTCTTTTGCTCTTTACATATGTTTGTACTCATACTTACAAATTAAATGCAATATGTATATATTCAGTAAAAATTCAAACCTACCACCATATAGAATGACATAAAATGAAAAGTAAATATGGCTCTCACACCTTCTTCTGTCTTCTAGCCTTGTGCCTCAGAGGTAACTGCTAATACTTTCTCATGCTTTCAGAAAAAATATACAATGCCTATATTTATGCCTGTTATTTAAAAGTAGGAAAAATATTTACTGAATAATATTCCTCATAAATAGTTTGTTAACATAGAGATATTTATTTCATTCTTTTAAGGGGCTATTTAATTCCACTATATGGAAGTTCTATAATTTTATCGATGGCCTTTGTTGACGGGCTTTAGGTGGTTTCCTGGTAATGGCAAAAAGTAATCTTGTGCATTGGTATATTTTTGTGAGCATATCTTTAGGGTATATTCTTAGAAGTAGAATTGCGGGAAAAAAGATACATATATTTTTAATTTTGAAAGATATTGTCAAATTCCTTCAAAAGAAGTCACCCCATTTACACACCTACACACACATACACACACCCCATAATGTATAAGCATCCATATGTAATAGTTTGTTTATTGTTTTGTTTGTTTTGTTTTATAGAGAGAGGATCTTGCTCTATTGCTAGGTCAGAGTGCAGTGGCTCATTCATAGCTCACCATAACTTCAAACTCCCAGGCTCAAGTGATCCTCTGGCCCCAGACTCCTGAGTTGCTAGGAGCTCAGGCAAACACTACGACACACAGCTAATTTTTTAAAATTATTTTTTGTAGACATGGGGTCTCACTATGTGGCCCAGGCTGGTCTTTAGCTTCTGAACTCAAGCAACGCCTACTACGTCAGCCTCCTTAAAGCTCTAAGATTACAGGCATGAGCTACTGGGGCCCACCCAATCCATACAGAATGTTAATAGAATTCAAAGGAAGACTTTGTGTCTTCTTCCCCGGATCAATTAATGTTTCCTCCACCTCTTGTTCACATGACATCAAATCAAATAAAGGAATTTATCCAACCACCATAATATAGCTACAACTAGTATTTATCAAAGTATCCAGAAAAAGGATTTATAATACTCAAAGTATCACTCATGTTAAAGGGAATATTTTTTCTCTTGTTATCGGTCATTTATTTTCCATTATCTTGCTTAAAAGTATAAGCAAGTATTAATGATCTCATTTGCATTTTGGAATCAAATAGGCCTGCTTTATACATATCTTATCATCACTACCTCACACTTACTATTTTCAGTATGCAGTGATCAATTCTATACCCAGTTTTAGGGGAAAAAAATCCACACTTAATACTGGAAGAAAAAAAGCATGTAAGAGTCACTTCTAATATGTAGAAATAAAAGAACCCAAATACTCACCGCAATATAAAGAACACATTGTTTACAAAATCACAAAGCAAGTTGTAGAGACTAGAACTTTGATGTTAATGTGTTTACAAAGTAGTATTTTATCTTCTAGAATTAGCAAGAGAACTGGATTTCACTGAGGAGCAAATTCATCAAATTCGAATTGAAAATCCCAACTCTCTTCAAGACCAGAGTCATGCACTGCTGAAGTACTGGTTAGAGAGGGATGGGAAACATGCTACAGGTAAGTGGGGAACTATCTGTATATTGCGCTAAAGTTGGACATGTCTTGCTCAACAACTGCATTTTGCAGATTCAGTGAAATAGTAAAGTAACAAATGCCATTAATTGAAGTGTAACAAGTCATTGAGTAATATAATTTTGTTCAATGTCATTTCCTTATAACGTTGATGAGAAAAAAGAATCAGTTCCCAGCAAGGCCACTGTTTGTGTATAGTTTTTGTATCCTCTCCATGTTTGTGTGGCTGTTTCCTCAGTACTCCAGTTTCCTCCCACATCCCAAAGATGTGCACATTAATTTCACTGATGTTTCTACATTGTCCCAGTCTGAACGGGTGTGGATGCGTGTGAATGCACCCTACAATGGAATGGCATCCTCTCCCAGGTTGGTTCCCATGCAAAGTGCTCTGAGCTGCTAGGTTAAGTTCCACCCACTTGAGACCTTGAACTGAGTAAGGGGATTGAGAAAAGAATGAATGAATGAATGAATGAATACAAATTATTGTCAAATAAAAATGTGTACAGTGTATGATAATTATACAAGTGCATGAAATAAATGATGCCTTAGGAAAGTGCTCAGCAAGCCCACCATATTTGTTATTGTTTGTTTATAAACAGCATGGTGGGAGGAGATGCTCCTTACATTTTTCACTTTGTGAAGATTTATTCCTTGATTGAATCCCACCACCACTATGACCACCATCACTCACTGGTTCCTCAAAAACTGAATAATTATCTTATTTATATTTATTAATCTTTCTTAAATGTATGTGTAACTCATTTTCACTTCAGTGTTTAGTATTAAAAGTGTTTGGGGGCCGGGCCCGGTGGATCACGAGGTCAAAATCGAGACCATCCTGGTCAACATGGTGAAACCCCGTCTCTACTAAAAATACAAAAAATTAGCTGGGCATGGTGGCGCGTGCCTGTAATCCCAGCTACTCAGGAGGCTGAGGCAGGAGAATTTCCTGAACCCAGGAGGCGGAGGTTGCGGTGAGCCGAGGTCGCGCCATTGCACTCCAGCCTGGGTAACAAGAGCGAAACTCCGTCTCAAAAAAAAAAAAAAAAAAAAAAAAGTGTTTGGGATTTTATTTAGAAAATTGACAGTGTTTTGTGACCAGAACATTGTTTTCTAAGAACCTACCAATGATGAGTGAGAACTTAGTGAACTACTCTAAGAAAATGAGAATGAGTTACTGTCACTTCTAAAGTATGCATATTGCATAAAGACTCTTAAATGATATGTGTATGAACAGCATTAAATGTAAGAAATTATAACAGCCCTCACTTCTAACTGTAATGTTACTCAAGCCCCAATATTTTTAAACTATTGATAAGTGTACACAATTGCTCTGTTTAGCATTGTTTCTTGGTAGTGCATTAACCTCAGTTTCTGCTTCCTTTACTCATAAATAACATCCAGTCTACATTTATCATTCCTTCTCTTTACATTATTCTAAGTAGAAGTGTCAGATTTGGCAAATAAAAACAGAACAGCACCTAGTTGAATTCAAGTTTCAGGTGATCAGAAAATACATTTTTAGCATAAGCATGTCCCATGTAATATTTGGGGCATATTTATACTAAAGAAGTATTTGTTTTTGATCTGCAATTCGGGTATGGCAGGTGTCCTGTATGTTATCTGACAATTCTATGTTTAGGACTTGTGCCCCTGCTGTGCCACCTTTTTTGTACATATCTCTTTTGTCTGTTTGCTTATTTGTACAAAGACATTTAATTAGGCTTTGATTGTTTCCTGTACAGATAGCAAAAATTTAGTAAGGTAGTTGAGTGAAAAAGTTTTTTAAAGGAGTACCTCTCAGTTGTAATAAATGCTCTTTCTCTAATATGTCAGATACCAACCTCATTGAATGTCTCACCAAGATCAACCGAATGGATATTGTTCATCTCATGGAGACCAACACAGAACCTCTTCAGGAGCGCATCAGTCATAGTTATGCAGAAATTGAACAGACCATTACACTGGATCATAGTGAAGGTCAAACTTTGTGTGTCTGTGTGTGTGTGTGTGTGTGTTGTGTCTGTGTGTGGTTAATTGAGGCACTGGACATACTCTCTTTTTTGTTCAGAAGGTAGACCGTGACATATGGTGATCATACGCTCTTTTTCTTGCTACCCTGAGGCTTTTCTCCCTGTTTTATAGAACCCTCTCACCTCTGCTTCATGCTTGTTCTTTGTTACTTCACAGATGACAGAATGATCCATTGAATCCCCTTTCCTCAATTCCATGGTGGCACTTCTTACACTTACATTTTTTATTCTACGTTAGCCACGCATTTCTAGGCACACAACTAGGATTATATCACTACCCATGACTGTACATTTCCTCTTTTATTTCTGTGCCAACAGTTCTTCAGACCTGCGGGGACCTCCAGCCTTTGGCTGTACCACATTTTCAGTATCAAAGTTTCCCTAACCTATTCTCATTCATTTGTGGTCTCTAACACTATTTTTTTCTCTCTCTTTTATCTCTATTTTACGTGTTCTCTTCTTCCTTCAAACCTCCAGTTTTGTCTCTTTTCTTTATTTATTCCCAGCCGATGACCACACTTCATATTTCTTAGAAAATATAGGAGTAATCAGAAGCAAATGTGTATATTTTTCCAGCACAAATCTACCAACATGAGTGTATCTCAATGCATATACTTGCTCTACATGCCATCCTATTAAAATGGACAAAATTTCCTCACTTTGCTAAAACCATCACCTCTTGTTTTATACTAGATTTCATCTCTTTTTACCCAATCAGGGACTCTATTCCTTGCAAGTATCCATTTTGGCTTCCTTCCACTAGACTGTACCCAACAGCATTAAACCATGCTTTAATAGATACCATCTTTAAAAACAAAACAAAGCAAATAACTCCTTTTACCCCATATGTTCCCCTGGTATTGTTGCTGTTACTCTATCCACTTTATAGGAAACCTCTGAAAAGAACAGTCGAAATTTCCTGTCTCTGCCTCCTTTCTTCCCATTCCCTCTAGAACTCTCTCTATATTTCACTCTAGTCCATCTTTTAAAATTCACCTGTTTTTTCCTCATTGTCAAATTTAGCAGGAAGCTCTCAGTCTTCAACTTACTTTGCCTCTGAGTAACATTTGGCATGAATATTGAAGCCTTTCTTCTTAAAACCCTTTCTCTACTTAATTTTTATGACATTCTTGCTTCGCTTCTTCTTTGTCTTTTTTTCTACTTTACTGGGTGTTTCTCCTGAGTCTTTCCTTCTGTGTCAGCTTACTTCTCGTGGATGTAAATGATGATGTATCTGAGTGTTGAACAAAAGCCTCATGGCTTTTCCCCGTCTCCCACCACTCTGCTTGTCTCACTGCTCCTTCATGCCTGGCCTCCTTGCCATTCCTGGAACACCCTCCGCATTCTCCTGTTTCCGGGCCCTGGTATTTTCTTCTCTCTCCACCCTAACGTGTTCTTTCCTCAGATCAACATATATCTTTTTCTCTCACTTTATTGAGGTCACTGCTCAAATATCACCTCCTAAGCGGAGCCTTTCCTGACAAGTCTATTTAAAAAACTGATGGCCGGGCGCCGTGGCTCAAGCTTGTAATCCCAGCACTTTGGGAGGCCGAGGCGGGTGGATCACGAGGTCGAAATCGAGACCATCCTGGTCAGCATGGTGAAACCCCGTCTCTACTAAAAATACAAAAAATCAGCTGGGCATGGTGGCGCGTGCCTGTAATCCCAGCTACTCAGGAGGCTGAGGCAGGAGAATTGCCTGAACCCAGGAGGCGGAGCTTGTAGTGAGCGGAGATCGCGCCATTGCACTCCAACCTGGGTAACAAGAGCGAAACTCCGTCTCAAAACAACAACAACAACAAAACAAAAAACAAACAAACAAAAACTGGCCCCATTTATCCTCTACCTTTATCCTGGTTTAGTTTTCTCCCAATATTTATCATAAAAATAAATCTGCAGAAATGCAAGTTCAGTGAGGACAGAAGCTTTTTCTGTCTTGTTCACTGCTGTATGTGAAGCATTTAAGCAGCACATACTACAGAGTTGATGCTCAAAATGTCTCTGTTGAATAAATGAATAAATAGATGAATGCCAATCACTCCTCTGCTAAACATCTTTCAATGACTCCTCATTTCCTTGAATATGATAAAATTCCTTAGCCTGTCATAAGAGACTCTACATAAAACAAGTACTATCCTCATAGTGTTAGAGTGAGGATTAATCAAGTTAATACTTGCAGTGCATTTGGAACGGTGCCTATTAGCCATTATTTATTATGATTATTAACTGTCACTCTTCTTACTCTTTAGATTCTATGCTTTGACTATATCAGTCAATTCCTGCTTACCATTAGGTCTCCTTAGCATGTAACACACTCTGCATTTCCTTTCCAAATCCTAAGCCCGTGTTAGGTGCTCCCACACTCATTGACTGGCACCTATGGCCCAGTTGCTCTGCATTGGAATTGACTCTTACTTGTCTGGACTCTTCTATACAATCAGCATCTTGAAGGTGGACACGGTGTCTTCTTCATCTTTATAATCCATGGGCTATCTCAGGATGTAGACAAGTAGTTACTTAATAAATATTCATTCAATATAGGTAAGCTTCAACTAAATACTTAAATCATTCTCCCTTTAGGGTTCTCGGTACTTCAGGAGGAGTTATGCACTGCACAGCACAAGCAGAAAGAGGAGCAAGCTGTTTCTAAAGAAAGCGAGACCTGTCACCCTCCTATTGTCTCAGAGGAAGACATTTCTGTTGGTTATTCCACATTTCAGGATGGCATCCCCAAAACTGAAGGGGACAGCCCAGCCACAGCACTCTTTCCCCAAACTCACAAGGAGCAAGTTCAACAGGATTTCTCAGGGAAAATGCAAGACCTGCCTGAAGAGTCATCTCTGGAATATCAGCAGGAATATTTGTGAGTTTCCAAAGAAAGCCTGTCAAATGTAATTCCATAGATACAGGCTAATGTGGGTGCCAGGCATATATAAGCGTAACTGGTTTTTAAATAATTTTAAAATGACCCTATCCATCAAAAGTGCCAGAGCTAAAGGGGGAAAAAAGCATTAACATGTAAGAGACATAATTGTGACAGTGTCGTGTGGCACAGACATACAATAACCAACTTCCAGAGCTGTGACTTTTAACAAGTCCTTAAGTGCTTTAAATATTCATTTCCACATCTATAAAGTATAGTAATAATACATACCTGAGTCATCTCACAGGGTCAAAAGTGTAGTGTATCTATGACAGCATCATCTAAACTGTAAAATCCCCTGTAGATGACACAGCCATGACTTGTAATATTGCTGCACCTCGTTTACTCTGTAGTGCTTCAGTTGTGGAGCTCATGGTGCCATTGCTGGTTGGGAGTATGAGCAGCGATGATGGAGGTACCACAGCCAATGGTGCATTTCAACCAAACTATGAGGGGACTAATCATCAAAGTGTAAATGCAATGCAAACTAGCCACATAGAATGAAAGACTATTAAAATGAGGTGAGATAGAGTTGGGGTGGGAATAAAGAGAAGTCTTCTGAAGAGTTTCTGGCTAAAGGAAACTGCAGAGCTGAATTCTCCTCAAATTTAAGTTCTGGCCTTTATGGAAGCCAAAGAGAAAGAGTTGTTTAATTGACACTGATGGTGCAGAAAAAGAAAACAAATCATGAGAAAGGCCAACATATCCCTCACCCTGAAGTCTGAGAATAGGGTGTCATGAGATTGTATCAAAGCATTCCCTTGTCATTTGGTGAGTTTTGTGGTCACTGACATGAGAAGAGATTGAAATGCATAATGAAATTATCTCTTCTTCCACTAAGCCACCCTTGCCCCATCATCCTATAGGCTTTAAGGGTGAGCATAAAGAAAATACAAGAAAGAAGGAGAAGGACCAAGAAAAAGACGGGAAGAAGAGGAGAAGATAACAGAGACATTTGAGGCATTTAATATCTATGGAGTGACAAAAATTGCACTAAATACCAAAAGAAGGCATAGAAGAGGCAAAGAATCTTCTTATTTAGTAGTTGAGATTATTCAAGGTTACACTGGAGTAACTCCAGACTGTATCAATGAAAAAAGTTTTCATGTCAACAGATGCCTCCATTATTAAACAAAACAGTTTTTTCAGAGGTACTGTAAGAATTTCCTTGTATTTGTAGTTATGAAAACTATATTAACATGGAGATTTATTTAATTCTGCCAAATTTTGATTCTTGCTTCAAAAGCCTTATTATCTAAAAATCTTTACGTAAAACTCCTCACATCCCCAATATCACCTTGAGTTAGAAAAGATGAAACTATAACTCTACATTGTAGAGGCTGGGTAACTGTAATATATTTTAGGATAATTTTTATCTTTAGAATAATACATTACTCTCTGCCAATGCTAGATCAATGAACTATGACTCTATATCTTGTCATATTATTTTTCTTCAAATGTCCTTTCTTGGCAAAATGTACAAAAACGATTTTGACTGTCAGACTGTTTTGACTCTCATAGACTATGGAAAAACCAGTTCCATCTTGCCTAGTGATTTCCTTGTTTGAGCAGGAGATGACATGCAAATGTGCCTGAAGTATCATTTGGCTTTTTTATTCCAGTGTGACAAGTCCAGGAACAGAAGCGTCAGAGACTCAGAAACCTACGGCAGTACCCGACTCTCCCAGCAAGACACCTGAGGAAGTTAGCACCCCTCCTGAGGAGGAGAGGCTGTATCTTCAGACCCCAACATCCAGTGAGCGGGGAGGCTCTCCCATCATACAAGAACCTGACGAGCCCTCAGAGCACAGAGAGGAGAGTTCTCCACGGAAAACCAGCCTCGTAATAGTGGAGTCTGCCGATAACCAGCTAGAGACCTGTGAAAGAGTTGACGAAGATGCAGCTTTTGAAAAGGTAAGATGTTCCTCTCCACTTTCTCACCCACCCACCGTAACAAAGCTACAAATCTTCCTCCAGTTTCCATTTTTCCGACGTTTTATTTTTTTCACTTCAAACCAAAAAAGTTAACAAAATGAATTAACTTGGCACATGGAAACCCTCAACCCCTTTTAAAATCTGAGAGCCCAGGAATCTAGAAGAAATGGTGCCATTTCAGGGCTAGCGATTTGACCATAAGCCCTGATTTTATCACATGGGAAACTTTTGCTAAGAAAAGTAAACATGGTGGTGACACAGCATATCTGGAGGAGCTTTTTAAAATTAGTAAACTTAGGCACGAAAGCTGGCGGCAGAGATTCACAGTGCCAGATAAGTCTGCCATGAGATGTGCTGGGACCAGCCGGCTTGTAGGATCTCTGGGCTGTCAGGTGATGAGCACACATACTGTGAATATTGGGTGGGGTTTAGTTGCCAAAATAAATTTTTCTTATTAGAGGCAAGATGATTTCCAAGTCAGATTTTTTTTAAGATTTATTTTAGGAATGACTGAGAAAAAGAACATTGTGCCTAAACTTACTGCAGTTTCTGAAAGTGCAAATGCCTGTCAGTGGCATGAGGGTGCATCACAGCACCTTCTCATTAGGTGAGTTTTAAAATTGTGAAGAGGGGTGGGGATGATGTGAAGAAATTCATCAACCATTTATTCTCAAAATGTGGGCTATATAGTTCACATATCTCAGAATTGATTGGAGAGCTTGATCCCTCCTCAGAAATCCTGAATTAGAATGAATCCCAGGGTGAGGAGAGAGAGAGAGAATTTGCCTTTTCAGTAACTCCTCAGAGGATTCTCAGCCACAAAGAAGTATGAGAATCTGTTTGAACTAAACTTAATTTAATATAAATTAAATTATATATTGTTTTTCCTTTTAAAAAGTAGTAGAATTCAAAAATGTTTTCTATTTCAAAGTGTTTTTAGAGCATTAATATAAAGCTTAGTAGTAAAAGAAGAGTTAAATGATTGAAATTTTGGGAGGAAAATAAAGTGAAACAGCATATCTTTGGGCTGAAAAAACACATTTGTTTTTGCTCACTGTAAGAATGAGACCTGCTGCTGGGAATTATCTGAAATCATAACTAAAATTAGGAAAGATCCAGGCAGATGACAACTGTGTCCTGATTTTGGCAGTTTTCTTAAATAATAAATTCATCCCATGAATGAAATTCTATTCCAAGTTTGCTTCTGCACAGAATTACTCATATCTCAAATTCTTGGCTTCAATGAATACTAGTAAAAATGTTTCATACATGTTATCTGGGCTAAAAGCTACCAAATTTAGCCTATGAGTCCACAGACTCAGTGAAGTTAGACTTGAAACAATTATCTGGATAATACATATGTTTAATCTGTACAAAATAAATACATTTTTATAAGTCATTCTGAATTTCACATCATTTATACAGGCCTGTTCAACTTACTCTTGATGAGTATTCAGGCATTTCTCTTAAGTTTCCCATGTTGACCCATATTTCTCATAACCCTAACTTGGGCATTCAATTTTTTTTTTGAGATGGAGTTTTGCTCTTGTTACCCAGGCTGGAGTGCAATGGCGCTATCTCAGCTCACCGCAACCTCCACCTCCTAGGTTCAGGCAATTCTCCTGCCTCAGTCTCCCGAGTAGGTGGAATTACAGGCACGCGCCACCATGCCCAGCTAATTTTTTTTTTTTGTATTTTTAGTAAAGACGGGGTTTCACCATGTTGACCAGGATGGTCTCGATCTCTTGACCTCGTGATCCACCCCCCTCGGCCTCCCAAAGTACTGGGATTACAGGCGTGAGCCACCGTGCCTGGCCAATTTTAATCACTTTTCTTGCCAACCATATTCCTAGGTAGTAGACTCCTGATTATATTTAAAATATAATTTGGTTTGGAATTTACATGTCTTCCTTTAGCAGAGATAAATATAAATATATAAGTTGAGTTTTTCAATATGTTAAGTAAACCTACTTGAGCTTTCTCTTTTTTAAAAACAAAATTTCATTAGGAAACAATAATTTGATATATGACTCCTAAAATAATGTGTGCTAAGCTAAAATTATGTTCTTTGCTTTATCTCTGGCTTTTGGCCAGAGCCCTAAAATACTATTGACCACTTTATCTCAACTTCTCTGCAAAATTAGTCTAATGTTATTCATCATCTGTCTTTTTTCATGCCAGGGAGATGCACTATTGGTTAGATAATAGCTACAGGAAATGTTTATTTCCTGCAAGAAGTTCTTCTAGAAACGGGATATTCCTGTACCTTTGGGTTAATAAGTCCAAGCCTGAACACAAGTGTCAGTGGCTTATACATGTTTACTCAGCTACTAAGGGTCTATGTTTACAGTCAGCCTTTTTAAAATAGGAGTTTAAGTAAAAGAAGTCATGTGAGCAAGCTGCTTGTTTTTTGGAGAGATTTTGACAGATGGGTTCTCCAGCAGCTCTCAGAAGTCCAGATTTTTTTTTCATTCATTGGACCAAAAAAAAAAAAAAAAATGGCAAAAGAAACCAAAACACTGTATTTTTGTTGAAGTCTGAGACCAGCACACACTTGTTTTCACCTCTACCAACTTGTCCACCAAAGCCTCCATGAGTAAAAATTTCATAATACAATGTAAGCAAAAGAAGAAACCGGTAGTGAAGTCATTCCTTAGCATATTAAGCAAAACAATGCTTCCATGCTTCCACCAGGAGCTAACAGAGGAATTAGGGGAGCTGGAGTCCAGCTCAGATGAGGAGGCGATGGTAACTACCAGGGTTGTCCGCCGGCGAGTGATTATTCAGGTACCCGCTGTTAAATTACTGCACGTCAGCGACCGTTCTGTCCCCATACCCTTAGAGAGTGATCAGCCTGGATCCATGAAGGCTTGGCATGTTCCTTAGGTAGTGCATGGCCATTCAAAAGCAGATCCCTTAACTCTCCTCAGTTCTGTTTGTAAAGAAATGCAGTGGTCATGATATTTGCAGCCTTCCTCCAAGAGAGCCACCAAGCAAGAGCAAGATTTGGCTTCTTCACTTCCACCCGCCTCACCTCTCGCTTACCTATTTTTGTTGAAGTTTTGTCTAACTTTGGACAGATTCTCCTAAGCATGTTTTTACCCACCTGCATTTTACTTTTAAACAAACTAGTTGCCAGGATTTTGTATTTCAGCAATGCTTCTCAACATCGCCTTTGATTTTCTAACATTCCTCGTATTATAAGCACTTGGGAGTAGTTCCTCAGAATTGGTGCCAAACAGCACAGTGACCCTTTTCTCCCAACTGTTTAGGGAGACGATATGCCTGAAATACCCCCAGAAACAGTCACAGAAGAAGAATACATTGATGAACACGGACACACCGTGGTAAAGAAGGTATTGTCTAGAATACCCTAACAGGGTTGATTATAAACTTCATGTTTAAAATTTATCAATTCTATGATACTGCCACACAAAAATAAGATACACAAACAAAATACATTTCAGGTTACTAGGAAAATCATTAGGCGGTATGTATCCTCTGAAGGCACAGAGAAGGAAGAGATTATGGTGCAGGGAATGCCACAGGAACCTGTCAACATCGAGGAAGGGGATGGCTATTCCAAAGTTATAAAGCGTGTTGTATTGAAGAGTGACACCAAGCAGTCAGAGGTGAGACAACCTGATTCTCTAAAACCCATTCAACGGAGAGGACCAAACTAGAGCTCAAAAAAGATGAATGAGATTGTTTATTCATATTGGCCTCACTTCTCCCTTTTATAGGTAGTTTTCTTTTAGTTGGACATTCACTTTTTTTTTTTTTCATGATTCTATGTGATTTTAAGACAGCCATCAGGGAGACTTCTAGACATTATACTTGTTTTTTTGGTTGTCCTTTTTAAAAATCTCTACTCTTTATTTAATTAATGATTGACCATGGCAGACATCCAAAAGTCAGATTTTGAAGGATTATAATTCTATTTGTTGGGCAATCAGTATGTTGTGGAGAGACCGTATAAAAATGCACTGTGGTGCTTGTGTTGAGTTGGCACACGAGCCATCTGAAAGTCACTCCAGATAAATATTTGAGATTTCTGCATTGCAGAGTTACTAAAATAAGGATCTGTAATTCTTTATCTTTTTTTTTTTGAGATGGAGTCTCACTGTCACCCAGGCAGAAGTGCAGTGGCGCGATCCCAGTTCACTGCAACCTCCACCTCCCGGGTTCAAGCAATTCTCCTGCCTTAGGCTTCCAATAGCTGGGATTACAGCCATCCACCACCATTCCCGGCTATTTTTTGTATTTTTAGTAAAGATAGCATTTCACCATGATGGTCAGGCTGGTCTCAAACTCCTGATCGCAAATGATCCACCTGCCTCAGTCTCCCAAATTGCTGGAATTACAGGCATGAGCCATTGCATCTGCAGAGTTATATTTTTATTTATTTCTGTTTTACTTCCCTCTTTCAGGAATGTATTTACTTCTTTTGACAAATAGTTTGTGAAACTCTCATTTTCCATTCCTTCGCATCCTCAAAATTTTATATTATGCACATGAGAATTCTCTAGAAATCTACTTTTCAGTTTCTCACACCTTTTAGATTTCCTCCTTTGAGGGCTAATTTTATCTTCGTAATACCAAAAGAAATTATTTGAACATGAGAAAAGAGAGTTTCTTTGCATATTATTATGTCTGTATTACAGTTTCTTATTGACAAAACTGATAACTCTTTGTTCAAATGACTAATTAAGGTTGCTTTGGTGTTGTGAAGAAACAGTCATGATGTAGATATTACCAATAGATTATAGTTTGTTTTTTTCTAACTCTGCTTCCCATTGCTGTTTTCTGGAAACGTTGTATTTTTGTCCTTTTTTTTAAACATAGAAAAAATTCATCATAGTTATGTTTGGCAGTCAGACATTGTCTATTGTGTGTCCTTCATTCATTAGGTCACTTTGTGTGAGCCCAACGTTTTGTCCAGTACCTCACAATTTCAGTCTGAGCCAGTGGAAGGCCGTAGAGTCAGCAAAGTTGTTAAAACAACTGTGGTACGTGGAGAGAGGATGGAGAAACATCTGGGGGATTCTAGTTTAGCCACTGATCTTCCTTCAGCCAAAGATGACTTTGAAGAGGTATAGAAGCATCATCATTTTGTCTTTGTATGTGTGTGTGTTTTATGTTGCTTTGCATTTGAAAAGAAAATTGCTTGTCACTGTGTCATTCCATACATGAATTCATGGAAAGGTGTGAAATAATTCAAGAGGGTAGAACTCCTGTTGGAATAACTTGAAGAGTAACATTTCCTCAAACTGTGGTGTTCCTTGGTGTCACCTTAACAGCTTTTAAAACTTCAGATAACCAGGATTTGTTTCTGCTGAATCAGACTCAGAATCTCAGGAGCTGTGCTATGATTATAAATCTTATTTAAAAGTTGCATAAATGTCTTGCACTGCCGATTAATAAGGGAAAGAAATAAAGACACTGCAAATTGTATTTTTAGCCAGTCTTTTCAAATATCATCTGTGATTGATATTAAAGAAAATTCAGATATATTCCATGTCCATAATTTTTAAAAGCATTTACAACTATTTAAGTTCTGGTTTCCAACAGTTAGAAAATGGGTCCACAATAACAGATCCACAAACTGTTACTAAAATCCCAAAATTCTGAAAACCAAAACAAATTTTGTAAGTTAATTTGGAAATGAAACTTGAAATAAATTGGCATGGAGCTATTATGACACAAAGTTCTTTTATTCCACTTAGAATGAATGTTTTGATGATATAAAAGTGGGTTTGGTTACAGGATGTCATCTTTACCTCCACTGGGGTGTCAGTATTATATAGTACAGTCATGCATCACTTAACCCATTTATGCCAGAGGTTGCAATTTTTTAAAGTTTTGCATGAGTAGAAAATCAGACATTGGTGATGACCTTGAGCAGTAGGATGTAAATAACTCTCACATGCCCAGCTTTCACTAGGCATATGTGGGTTTGAATAACAAGGATATGTGCTAGGAAATGCATCATTAGGCAACTTTGTCATTGTGTGAACATCGTAGAGTGTCCTTACACAAACCTAGATGGTATCGCCTACTACACACCTAGGGTATATGGTATAACCTATTGCTCCTGGGCTGTGAACCTGCACATGTTACTGTGCTGAATACTGTAGGCAATTATAACACAATGATAAGTATTTCCCCATCTAAAAATGGAACAGATATGGTAAACATATTAAAAAATTAAAAATGTCCTCCCGGAATAGTGTACTTACCATGGATGGAGCTTGCAGGACTGGAAGTTTCTCTGGGTGAGTCAGTGAGTGAGTGAGTGGTGAGTGAAGGTGAAAGCCTAGGACATTGCTGTACACTACTGTGGACTTTATCAACACTGTACACTTAGGCTATGCTGAATTTTAAAAAAATTTCCTTTAATTAAAAAAAATCTTTCTGTAATAACAAATTAACTTCAGCTTACTGTAACTCTTTGACTATAAGCTTCCACATTTGTCTTAACTTTTGACTCTTTTGTAATAACACAGGTTAAAATGCAAACACGTTGTGAAGGTGCACGAATAAATGGTTTTTCTTTATATCGTTATATAAACTTTTTCCTGTTTTTAATTTTTTAAATTTATTATTTGTTTTTACTTTTTAAGATTTTTTTGCCAAAAACAAAAGACCTAAACATATACATTAGCCTAGGCCTTCACAAGATGAGAATTTTCAATCTCACTGTCTTCCTCATCTGCATATTGTGCCACTGGAAGGTCATCATGAGCAATAATGCACAGAGCTGTCATCTCCTAAGAAAACAATTCCTTCTTCTGCAATACCTCCTGAAGGACCTGTCTGAGGCTCCTTGATAATTAACTGTCTTTTAATAAAGAATTACACTCTAAAATAGTGATAAAGTATCACTTTTATAGTACTTGATAATAATAAGTGACTGTTAACTGATTTATGTATTTACTATACGTAGTAAATTTATTTACCATACATAAACCAGTAATGTGGTCATTTGTTAACATTATCAAGTATTATGTACCCTACATAACTGTATGTGCTATGCTTCTATATGATTAGCAGCTTAGTAGGTTTATCTGCACCAGCATCACCACACACATCTGAGTAATACATTGCACCACGAAGTTAGAACAGCTATAGCATCATTAGGTGATAGGAATTTTTTTAGCCCCATTATAATCTTATGGAATTATGCAGCCCATTCTTAATCAAAATGTCATTATGTGGCATGTGACTGCGTATGCGTTATATTACCTTGCTAAAATCCAAAAGGGACAAAAAAAAAAAAAAATCTAAATTGTTGAAACATATCTGGCCCCAGAGTTTTGACTAAGGGCTCCTGGGTTGTGCAAACATCTACAAAGTACTTTTGCTACTGGAACATTTTCACACTAAGTGCTATGTGTATTTCACACTAAACACTATATTCTACTATACCCATAATATATATTGAAATTACATGTTAAATCACTGGAGTATTAAAAGCAAACCTTTTTAAATACTTTCAGTTTTCAAATTTTGACAACTAGCAATCTTGAATGATCAAAAGATGAATTATCTGAGTTACATTGTTGGGCCTTGTTTGCTTGTTTTTGCCTCTGGTCATTATATTTATTGTTAAAATTTTCACTGTGAAAGGAGTAGGGTGAAGCAAGGAGGAAATTGAAAGTCAATCCAGCCGGGCACGGTGGCTCAAGCCTGTAATCCCAGCACTTTGGGAGGCCAAGGTGGGTGGATCACGAGGTCAAGAGATCGAGACCATCCTGGTCAACATGGTGAAACCCCATCTCTACTAAAAATCCAAAAAATTAGCTGGGCATGGTGGCACGTGCCTGTAATCCCAGCTACTCAGGAGGCTGAGGCAGGAGAATTGCCTGATCCTAGGAGGCGGAGGTTGCGGTGAGCCGAGATAGCGCCATTGCACTCCAGCCTGGGTAACAAGAACGAAACTCCGACTCAAAAAGAAAGAAAGTCAATCCATATGGATATTAGCAGCTTTTGTAAAGTAAAGTAACAAATTTCTCTCACAAATGAGAGCAATCGAAAGGACTTGTTAAATAAAACTCCAAACTTAGATCTGCTTCTAGGAATTGTATTTATTTATCCTTTCAAGTATCTTTTCATACTGACTATGAGTAAAGCAAAGCAATAGATGGTTTGAAAGTCTGTGGTTTATGACGAGTTTTTTCTTTTCTTTTCTTCTTACTTCAGGCTTTGAGTTACACTGGTAGCCACATGAAAATCCACTTACCCAGTTTAGTAGAGAATGAGATCCTGAAAGAGGATGGATCAATAATTAAAAGGTTTGGGTTAGCATGGGGTGATGCTTTGCCAACTAACACCATAAAAATTTTCCAATATTAAGAAAAGAAGGGGAGAATTCCTACGTAGGCCCTTAAGCCCACGGAGAACTGGCTACTCTCCTGCATTATAAGGCTTTGGTCAAGTAATGGACCCATCAGTGTATTATCCCTGAAGTATCCTCGTGATACTTTAAACATAACACTACGTCATAGCAAGAATCAGACTTGAGTTTACACAGTCTGACTCCCTGGGTTTTAGCAAGTCATCAACTTAGTTAAAGCCAGACTTTGGATATGCATTCAGAGAGTATAGGAAGAATAATCTAATCAATGGGACACAGATTAATTTTGTGACCAGCTATATTTAGCTCAATCTTAGTAAATCATTACTTTGAATGATATGTGCTTTCTTTTAACAGCTGTTTTATGATTCTGCATGTGAGTGGCAAATAACATACGCACGAATTTGATACCCATGAAACAAATGTACCTAGCCATGCTGAAACCTGGGGCTTTAATGAGTTAAGCAAGTGTCGTGAAAGCAGTAAGCAGCACATTTTTATGCTTATACAAGGGGGCTGACTGCGAGGCACGCTGGTCTGCCCCAGTCTCTGTCATAGATTTGATGTATAAACTTGGGCACTGTTCCATAGATCTACTCTCTAATAGCACTGTAAGTATTAAGATTAATAAAATGTGCTCAGCTTCTCAGTGAAAAGACACAATGGAAATCCAAGTTACCATTGTGCTTTTCACTTCATTGAAAAGGAGAGATTGTCATTCAGAGTATGCTACAAAACTATTTTAAGCCTTTAGAACATAATAATTAGAGCAGCAAAATTAAAGGTTCTGTCACAATTCCACCCTCCAATAAAATGGGAAAACAGCAGCAGCTAGGAATTTAAAAGAGTGTAATTACTCTCTCAGAACTTTAAAAATGCTACATGAATTAAGAATAAAATGCCTTTTAAACATCTCAACTTTTAAGTCTTTATTCAGTTATTCAGATGAAACCACATAATTCATGCATGTCCCAATATCATGGGCTCTTCAAACTGGAATAGATTTAGAGACCAATTAATTCAAAGTTCTCAATTACAGCTGGTGAATTTGAAACCAGAAATATAGACAATTCCATACAGTTCCATAGCTAGTTCCTTATGTATGCTAGTTAGTTGCGGAACTCTATTTGTGACGTACAATGCTTTATATTATACATTGTTGAAGACATCACATCCATGTGCATATTCAGAAGCACATTGGCTTACATTTGCCTGCACAAAATATCATGAAATGTCCTATAATGGAGGCTTAACCCCTGGTATCAGTGCTATAAAGGCTTCTACTAGCTCTTTGCAGAAATAGTCAGAAATGTGCCTTTCTGAAGAAAAAAAATATTTAGAAAAACATAACCTAATTTCAATCATTGGAATCAAATTTGACCTTTTCATCAGCAAGAACAAACTTGAGTTTGCTTCCAGATGCAGAACAATTCATATAGCATTAACGAAAAAGGGAGAGTAGGAGAACAGGAGGGAAGAAGGAAACAATGATATCCAAAAGAAAGCTGAAAGTATTTTGGCTGAAGTAAGTTATTTTTTTAAGAGTTAGGATGATAGTCACAAAATCACAGAGGTATTGGAAGGCGGCAAAACTTCCAGCTTCTGAGCACTGGGAACCTGTAAGGAAAATGCTGGGTAAAGCTCCAAAAACTGATCACTTCCTACGGATGCTTTAAGTGAAGATTCATGGTAAATGGTTATGGACTCAGGCTCTAGGAATCTTTGGCTCTTGGCCCCACTGCATGCTAACTGTTATTTTTTATTTGGACTATTGCTTAAATTCTCTACGGTTCAATTCCCTTACTTCTTATAATAATAGTGTCTGGCACATAAAACAGATTCATCAAATATTTGTGGAATGAAGATCTGCATTTAGAAGTATATAGTGAAAAGGGCCGCTCTGCTTATAGAGTAGCCATTCTTTATTCATTTACTTTCCTAGTAAGCTCGCCTTTACTTTACTCTAAAAACAACAAACAATCAAACAAAACAAAACAAAAAAGAAGTATATAGTGAAAAGAACTGAGAATGAGCAAATCATAATTATTTTTAAGTACCGTTACTGGACAATATTAGTATAACTTAAAATTATACAACTATATAAAAGTTATATCTCTGGCTGAATGTGGTTACTCACACCTGTAATCCCAGCACTTTGGGAGGCCAAGGGGGACAGATCACCTGAGCTTAGGAGTTTGAGACCAGCCTGGTCAACATGACAAAACCCTGTCTCTACTAAAACCACAAAAAATTTTCTGGGCATGATGGCACATGCCTATAATCCCAGCTACTCAGGAGGCTGAGGCCAGAGAATTGCTTGAACCTGGGAGGCGGAGGTTGCAGTGAGCTGAGATCGCGCCATTGCACTCCAACCCGACAGAGTGGGACTCTGTCTCAAAAAAAAAGGGGGTTATAGTTCCTTTTCTCAAGTAACCACCAGTCTTGTAAGGGAAGCAAGTAAGCAACAGACTGTTAAATGGCAAGAAATACACAAAATGAGCAACATCTGTGAGGCTCTGAGAATACAGAGGAAGCAGTTGTCTCTCAATGGCTTTTCTCTTTTTCCCTTCCTCCCTCACCATCTCCAGATGGAAAAGTTAGAGACCTGAGCAGACCTTCATCTTTTGTTAGCAGCCACCTTCTTATATATTGATAGACGAATATTTTAGTTTTTAAAGACCTATGTCTCATAAAAAAGCTCTCTGAAAACATAATTTTGGGAGGTTTGGGTCAGGGTGTGACTGTAAGGTTTAAGCTGGCAGCTAAGGTGTTTCAAATAAATTAAAAACTATTTTTTTTTAGCCTCTCAGTGGGTACTTGTTGTACTACTTCAGAATGAACCAAACTCTATTAAGTCAGGGCTACGTGATCAAAACATGAATGATTTTGTGGTTAGTTTTTGAGAGGATCATATTAAAGCATGGTTTCATTTATCTGGAATTTTTCTTTAAGATTTAAAAGATACTCCTTGTTCCAAAACACACTTTTTAAATCTCATGAATCGTTTTAGGGAGGGGAGCCATGTTTATAAGAAAGACATAAAAATATATCTATAGTTTGTTATGCTAATACTTTGGTGTGAAAACACCTAAAGGTAAGACAATAAATACTCAGTGCAATGGCCACCTTCATACCTAACAGCTGTCCTCTAACAGTGAAAAGAGCATAATTCTCTTTATCTGCTTTTCTCCAGGACAACAATGAGTAAAGCCAGTACACAGAAGAGGGCTGTGGTGAAGGACCAGCATGGAAAACGCATTGACTTGGAGCACCTGGAGGATGTACCAGAAGCACTAGACCAGGACGACCTCCAGCGCGATCTCCAGCAGCTCCTTCGGCATTTCTGCAAGGAGGACTTGAAGCAAGAGGCCAAATGAGGGGCTGCCCAGTTCTCACACCAGAAACCACACATTCACTCAATATGCAGCTTCCTGTTTCAGTAGAGGAGTGACCTAACTGGCCTAATTAATGGGATACCCCGACATTTCCAATGTTAGCAAATATATGGCATTTTGTTTTAGTTTTCCCCCATCCTCTTTAACTATAAAGCTAATTTGTGACCAAAGATGGCATCCTTCATATTGGATGCTGTATCCACTACTTTGTTGTGTCTGTGCTAACCTGGGAACTGGCCACCTCCATTGTTCTTTGCTTCTGCACAAGATCCATGAAAATCCATTGATCAGAAGAACTTCACCTGCAGACCTCTTCAAGTGACATTATATAGGAATCCTTCCAAGGGATATCTATGTAAAATGTATATAGCTGAAATGCTCAGATGAACAATACATTAAAATTAAAACCACTGCCTATTATAACTACACTGGGCATCGGAATAAAAGGCCTCTAGAAATTGCTGAACAATGGTTAATTAAGATATTGCTAACACAATCGAGTGATAATACAGTTTTACTGCAAAAGAAGCACTTCAGACCTAATCATGTCCTTAGAACTTCCAGAGTAGCCACTGCTCCCAGCTAAAGGTGGGTTAATAGCCTTGAAGAACTGTCCTGAGAAGTTACTGCTGGTGCTGGCTAGCCATGACTTAGGACTCTCCAACAGCTACTCCGAGGCAGGGGAGAAGGGAGCAGAGGGCACACAGAGTGAAACCATGGGGAATTCAGTTGCTAGCAGCCACATTGTGTGGCATTCTAGCATCTTCAGGTCTTTAGATTTTGGAAAAGTTGGCAGGGTATTTTAAAAGCTATAACTACTGTAGTTTTCCAGTTTTCATTGCTGCTTTAGCAAACCACGCTGTCTTACTGGTGGTACTTACTTCTGGCCACTGCACTGTAGATAATTCATTGGAAACAAGATTTACCCACTACATAAAAGGTTAAACTCCTTCAGTATGTTGGAGTGGAGTCTTTTTCTTTTTCTTTTTTTCAGGTTGATATCTTCTCTAATACCTGCATGTGACATTTAAAAATCAAAACCATGGTCTAACCCCTCTTCTAATCACATTAATGGTTTCCATTCTTTTTACCCTGAGTGAGCACTTTTCACTTTCCAGCTAGGTCTGTTTTTCAGCTTGCAGAAGAGATTGAGAAATCCTTGAAAAATTGGTTCTGGTTAAAATTTTTGGTTTATTTATTTGAAATCCACACTCCCTTGGAAACTCTTAAGTGCATTTGTGCACTTCTGTTTGTTTGTCTCAAAGAAGGGACTATAACAGTCTGAGTGATTTCCGTGTCCTCTTCCTTATTCCTCTAGTGGTTGAAGCTGTGTAGCATTTTAACATATATATATTCACAAATATATTCATATAAACAGTATACATTTTGAATCAGTCATTTGTTAAAGAAAAGTATATTCAATGAAGATTAAATTTAAATAAAAAAGGACAGAGTCTATCCTCCAGGGTTGAACATTTTCCAATTATCTGGTCTTTTCCTGTTGTGCAAAAATGACTCATTGCTCTGAATGTCAAAAACAAATGCGACAAACAATGGCACTTCATCATTTAAAGTAATGTTGCCAAGAGAAAAAAATTTCCTGGGAGGAAGGTTTCCCACAAGCCAAATCTCCTAAGCCTCAAATGCTAGCACTTTCTGGCAGTCGGATAGGAAATCAAACATTCTTTGGCAGCCAAAATGAGAGAGGCCGATGGTGAAATTTTTTGAGACACCCTATGGCCTTCTTGTCAAAACCTTCACTGGAGCTCAAGAAACGCATTTCTGTTGTGTTATTTGCAGTGCAGATGATGTCTGTGTAACAACATAATGGTTATTCACCTTTTTTGATTTTGATTTTTGCTGTGTTATCAAAAACTTGAATACTGTGAGAAGAAGTGAATTTTCAGTTGACGAATCAGCATCTTGTTCCCATGGTGATAACACTAATTGAATATATCTATGAGGGCATGTATTAGTTAATGGGAAAAAAATACAACACTAACAATACATAGCTGCAATGTGTACAATGGCTGATTTAATTAAATAAAATGTACAAGTGTTAAATGTGGCATCAGTGATTTGTTCTTCTTTATCACAAATCTGTGATTTCAGGAGAATAAGAGGTTATTAAAAAGATGAGCTAGACTTGAAACCAACAGAAAGACACAAATTGCTTTTTTTCTTATGGTTTTTATTTAGTTATTGAATATGCTATATAACGGAACTGGATTAAGACCTGGGATAGATAGATTTTGCCTCTGCCCTCAAGAAATTTTCATTGTTCTTGTTATGCAAAAGGAGAAAATAAGGATTTTAGTTTTGGATCACTACTAAATGAAAAAAAATAGGAATTTGGGGACTTGTAGGAAATGAGAAAGGGTAAGTGGGATTGGCAGCAATGCAAGGCTGGTTTGGTCCTCTCCCATGAGGACATGGCTGTCACTAAACACCTTCTGCCTTTGGGAACAGCAGTTGGCTCTGGAGTTTTATTTCTTAGAGCCTGAGAATTTAAAATTAAATGAATAATTAATATAAATAAAGACAGGGCAAGACTAGGCAAAATCAAAATCAATTGTGTTTGGAGAGTTTTCTTTCATTTCTTGAAAAATCCCTTTACTGCTGCTATAACATTTTTTACAGTAAAAACAAAACAAAAAAGACGTAATTTAGAAATTGAGTAGGTTTGATCTAAATCTTATCTAGTATGAGACAGGAAGCTCACTGGATCTGATTTCTATCCCTGCTTGATTTATAGGTCTTCTGAAAGTTAAATACCAATTATGCTTGACATTTTCCACAGAAAACAGTTAAAGTCAAAAATAATTCTAAAGTAGGAGTGTCTGTGTGATCATCTCTTTCCCTCTCATTTGTTTAATGTGCTGTACTTTATACTTACAGGAATTCTGGGCTTGTGTTACTTTGGGTTTGATTAAGGAGATCAAAGCATCAGAGAAGATTCAATGTCTTCTCAAGTTTAATTATTTGCTGCGCAAAACCCATTTTTGTAAAAGAACTTCAGTGACTCACATGCCGTGTTACAGAAATATATTTAAAGGTAGGGTGGGGGAAACTTTCAGACTGAGAGAAGATTATGCAGAACTCATAAATCACTTGAATTAGTCATAAAGAGATGTAAGTGACATATAAGCACACGGAAACAGGCCGAATCGAATTTGAAATTAGTTTGCTTGTAGAGTCACTTGATTTATGTCAGCACGGAGAATCTGGAGGTGGGCAAGTTGTCAGGCAAATGAATAAATCAGATAAAGAGAAGTTAAACATAGGTCTAGTGAGAATCAAAATCACTACGAGGTTTTCCTGAATAACAGAATAAAGATGAACTGCTTGCTTTCATCATGCTTTAAAAGAAAATCTTTCAAAGTCTATGTCTTCGATTGCCACCTCTGCTTAAAAACTATATGCTCCTTTCTTCAGTTAAGATATGATTTCTCTTTCTAATTTAATTGAAGCTAGAATTACAATCATAGAATGAATCACCAAAGTAAATATGTGATACAATTTCATCTCACTGTAATAGAACATTTAAGAAAATGTTTTAGCTATCCTTGGAGCAGAGGTGGGAGCAGGGGTGGGAGCAGGGGTGTCCTGCACAGAAATTAAAATACTCCTATTGGGTTATACTCAGGCTTTCTGGGAAAACCAAAAGTACTCCCTTGTTTTAAATTAGCACCACAGGATGGAGTAAATAGTGGATGTGAATAGACTTTGGGTGGACTTATCATGTATGGTAAACAGACATTTGACAGTGGTACTTGTAATAACTCAAGATATGTCTTCAGTCACCAGAGATGTTCAGTGGTTATGTTCATAAGGTGTTTCTAAGAGGCAATATGACAAATTGGGTAAGTTGTGATCTTACAGTAAGACCTGGATTGGAATCAGTTTAGCTATGTCTAGCCCCCTTGTGTGACTTTGTGAAGTTTCCCCACTGGATGACAATTTCCTCATCAGTAAAATAAGAGATACTGCTACTAGCCTTGGATGCAACTCACTGTTCCAGGCAGGGAAGGGCAGCCAGCCCTGGCCGGCCTGTCTTTCACTGCTTACTGTAGAAGAGCCCCTGTCGCCCAAGTGTCCTTGATGTCCATTCATTGTGGACCTCTATTTATGACCCTCTGCCTCTTTGTGTAGGAGTCAGGCTCAGGGTGAGTGTTAAAGGCATTAACTTACCCTCTAGGTTAGAAAATACAGTTAATCTTTTCCTATTTGGGAATCACAAGGGTGTTGTCAGTTAAGACCTTTGATTCACTTCCTATTCTGAGGAAGGATTCTTCAGGATCTCTTTCTGTTTCCTCAGCAGCTCCTGTATTAGAGTTTTCTAGAAGGACAGAACTAATAGGATATATATATATATATATATCCTATTATTCCCATATTATATTCCCATATATATATATATATGGGAATTTCTTAAGGATTTTTAACTCACATGATCCCAAGGTCCCACTATAGGCCATCTGCAAGCTGAGGAGTAAGGAAGCCACTCTGAGTCCCAAAGCTAAAGAACTTAGGGTCCAATGTTCGAGGGTGGGAAGCATCCAGTGTGGGAGAATGACGTAGGCTGGGAAGCTAAGCCAGTCTAGTCTTTTCACATTTTTCTGCCTGCTTTATATACTGGCTGTGCTGGCAGCTGATTAGATGGTGCCCACCAGATTAAGGGTGGGTCTGCCTTCCCCGCCCTCTGACTCAAATGTTAATCTCCTTTGGCAACATCCTCACAGACACACCCAGGATCAATATTTTGCATCCTTCAATCAAGTTGACACTCAATATAAATCATCACTCAGTTCTGGTTTCCATTCCTTTTTCTCCCACCCCCACTTGCTATTTTGAGGTTTCTTTTTTTTTCCCCCCCTTGTCTATCAAAACTGACTACAGAATTGGATAGAGACCATTGTGGGCAGGGCCTCAGCTTGATTGGAGGTGGCTATGGATGCCTCAGCTGTCTTTGCGATGTGCAGAAACAATTATGAATGAATTATAATTGGATCTGCAAAAAAATACACATTGTACCAGTTTTTCCTGGGTGTTGATCAGAACTCAGCCTTCATCTAGGCTGTGCTACAGAATTTACGTGGCACTAGTATAGCAGCAACTTCTGGATGAAAGGTGCCTTGTGTGAATTTTTCAAGTGACTCACAAATAGGTGATGCCTTACAGCCTTAGAGAAACACCATAACATACCCTCTCTCCCCACAGAGTCGGGGGACAATTTAGTCTATTGTTCTAACATTCCAGTTTGTGTTCAGATTAATGTAGTAGTTTCCTAGGGCTGCCATAACAAAATCGCACAAACCAGATGATTTAATCAACAGAAAATCATTTTCTCACAGTTCTGGAAGCTAAAAGTCTAAGATTGAAATACGGGCAGGACTTTTTCCCTTAGGTCGCTCTCTGGCTTACAGACGGCCACCTCGCTGTCCTCACATGGACTTTTCTATGTGTGCCCACATCCTTTATGTCTCTCTGTATGTCCATTTTCTGCATTTTATAAGGATGCCAATTATATTGAATTACGGCTAATTTTTTTTTTAATTTTTTATTGGATTTTAGGTTTTGGGGGACATAAGCAGATCATGCAAGACAGTTGCGTAGGTACACACATGGCAGTGTGCTTTGCTTTCCTCTTCCCCTTCACCCACGTTTGGCATTTCTCCCCAGGCTATCCCTCCCCACCTCCCCCTCCCACTGGCCCTCCCCTTTTCTCCCCAATAGACCCCAGTGTTTAGTACTCCCCTTTCTGTGTCCATGTGTTCTCATTTTTCATCACCCGCCTATGAGCCTTATTTAACTTAATCACCTTTTTGAAGACCCCTGTCTCGTCTGTGGCCATACCACCCTGAAAGTGCCTGATCTCGTCTGAAGACCCATCTCCAAATGCAGTCACATTCTGAAGTAGTGGGTGTTAGGGGCTTTGACACAAATTTTGAGGAGGAGAGGACACAATTCATCCCATAACAATTGGGTTTAATCCAAAATAAACAGATCCCTCTAGGTATTTTAAGAAGGAAGGGATCTAATGCAGGGGATTAGAAACTCACCCTAATGTCAGGACTGCCGCAACAATGAAGGCAGGTGTAAACCAAAAGGGATCTGAGACAGGCCGAACTCAGTTTAGTTAATTTTGCCAAAATTGAGGACATACCTGGGAGGTAGGTCGGAGCCTTCTTCGAAAATAATTTTGAGGGCTTCGGTATTTAAAGGGGAAAGGCAGGCTGGAGAGGGAAAAGGGAGGGTATGGTTACACCACTAAATTCACCTGCTGCAAGAGAAAAGGAACAGGCAGGGGAATACTCAAATGTCTATTCATTTGGCACTCAGTGATTGGCGCTTTACATGGAGTAGCTACCCACAGGGATATTTAACATTTTATCTGTAGCTATCTGCTTAGAAACAAAAGGAAAGTCTGTGTCTTGCTTGACCCAGCTTTCAGTTTAACTCTTTTCCTTGTGGCATAGTGAATTGGGGTCCCAAGTTTTTATTTTCTTTTCACACAGGGAAGCTACTACTGCTTTGAAGAAATCCACCAATACAGAAATCAGAAATCCAAGCTGCCACTGAAGGACTCAGATTCATGTAGCAGCAAAGCGTATGTTTCCTAGGAGATTGCCCAGATATGGCTGCAAAAACAGTCCGGGTGTCTTCTGCCAGAGTCCACACCCCTCTCCCCAGCTGCCCCTAAAGGAATAATTATTTTCCTTCTCTTTCCTTTTCAAATCTTGGGCAAACAACTTTCATTGGGAAAATCAAATACATAACCTCACTAGAAAAGGATTCCAAAAAATGTATCCTTGAGGTTCTTCCCCCAATATGCAGGGAAGGATATCGAATAGGGCCAAAATGATGCTCAGCTGCTAACAATCAACCACAGTGGCTGAGCCACAGAATAACAGTCTTCATCCATCCATTAATGCATGCATTCAAGATCTATATTTTAAATATTGAGCTAAGTGCTCAGGGCCAACATGATTCCAGTGGATCACATTTGCTGAGTTTTCACTATTGCCAGTTACTAGTCAAAGCACTTCTTTCATCTCCATCAT